CTTTCTTATTTCACTGACAGTGGCATTGAGACGGTGGAAATTAACGTTAGTTCCCTAATCAGAATAATCGCCATTGTCTCCCTTAACTGTGGCACGTAGTGGTGTTTTCTTCCACTGTCTACTTCCTATTTTTAAATGTTTGTTTAGCAATCCTGTCAGGAACACATGTTTTTTGGTTTTGTTCTTTGCTTTTCTTTTTTATTTTCACATTGTTGCTTTTGGCAGAAAGACAAAGCTAACATAACATCTTCATCTTTAAAAAGAGACGAGTACAATAGGAAGCAGTTAGCAGATGGTTGTTGGCGTGGCTGCCAGTTAAATTTTGACAATGCATCTGATACATCGTCGCTCTTGCCCTTGGATCCTGTGATTTTTGCCTGGGTCTGGTCCTTCGCAGTGGTCCAGGCCTGACTCCCTCCATCAGGCCTCTGGGTCGGCGCTGCTGTCCTCGGTTTGAACAAATGCAGAGTATTTCCTCCCTCCTGCCGTCCCGCTGTTTTCTCCGCGCCCACAGACCGATGCAGAACAGGCAGGGGCTCCCCAGAGAGGCAGGTGATGAGTTCAGAGAGGGAGACGAAGTTCATGTCATTCAGGGTCTTACATTAATATGAGTTCAAGACTTTTAAAACTCCTGAAGTCGTTGGAGAGTTTCGATTGGGATGGTGGGATGCGACTTGGGTTTCAGGGCCTGAAGGCTTGATCGTTGGGGGCGGGAGGACAGGGAGGTGGCGGTTAGGAGGCTCTTGCAGAAGTTGAGGCATGAGGCGGTGGCACCAGAGGCAAAGGCGGTGGGTGCATGGAGAGCTGGGTAGTTGGTGTTTGGGGGCACAGTTGAAAAGACTTCGTGATAGACATGTCTTTATGGAGAGAAATCCATATGAACGTCCAGAACTCTCACAGGAGCATCTGCTGGGACCGCATGCCGTCTGCTCCTCCCTCCCCCCCCCCCCCCCCGGATATAACAGAAGGGACCGGCTGAGCCGTGAGACTGAGGAGCCTGTCTGCAGGACTCTTAAATGCGGAATGTCCGTGGGCACCCACGTACGCCAGACTGAGGCTCAGAAGGAGAGGTGCAGAGTCTGGGGGGAGAAGTGTGCGACCTACAGGTGGCATTCAAGGCCTTGCAGTTGGAGGAGGTCTCTGAGGGGAGGGCGTGGGGGCTGCAGGGGAAGAACAGCCCCGGGAGTAGCCTGAGAAGACGTGGACGGCGAGGAAGGAAGAGAGCGTCAGGAAAGCGCCGTGTCCGGGAACTCGCGAGGAGTGTTTCCGTGCACGTGCTGCGTGATGGAGACATGGACGTGCAGGGGAACCGCAGGCAGCAGATCAATGTGTTACAGATGAACAGGAAAGAGAAAGAGCCCTGTGGGGAAGCGCAGAGGTGATCTGAATGGGCAAATCCTAATGGCCAGGAAACCTACGGAAAGGCGTGTGATCTCATCATTAATCAGGGAAATGAGCGGTATTACCGAAGGACGTCGAACATCGGCACGGAGGACGTTTTCCTGCCTCGGTGGAGATGCGCGTTGTCACGGCCTCGTTGGAAGCGGTCCGGCCGTGTCCATTAAAATGGGGAGCACCTCTAACCTATGACCCAGCGATCTCACTCCCGGTAATCTATTCGTGGAAATAGAAGCTGCAAGATACAAAAATCTACATAACTTTACTGTAGCCTTTTTAAAGGCCAAAAACATGGAAAGTAAGCTAAATATCCATCCCTCAGGGGAAATAAATTATAGCTTATCCAATCCCTGGATTATCTGAATGCATTAAAAATAAATGAGTTAGGTCTATGCCAGTGGACTTTAAGGACTCTTCGTGGTGCAGAGAATTTGTTAAAATATGATTTATTTTGTGTGTATATATAAAACACTGTAGCCTCCCCCAAAGCACTTCTGCCTGCGTATAAAACATTTGCATCTACACGATCACGTACACGGACCTGGAGAAACGCACACTCAGTTCCCGACAGTGATGGCCTGGGGGTGAGGGAGTCCGAGGGGGGCTGTGGGGTACACATCTCCACGCACCCCTCCCTCCATAAACACCCCCCAAAAGAAAAATGGTCCCCATGGTGAAGCAGTGTCTGCGACTCGTCCCGTATATGTAAACTCTGTGTGTGTGTGTGTGTGTGTGTGTGTGCATGCGTGCGTGCATGTAATTTGTTTCTAAAAGTAAAGTGCTAATTTGGGGTGTGCACATCACACATTTGTTAGCTCACGATTTCTGAGGGCCAGGAGCACACGTTTTCTGGACCTTCTGCCTCCGCGTCTTCTCCAAGATCCTCTTAAAGGGGCGGTTCGCTTCCAGGCCCACTCCAGCTGTCACTGGCAGGCTACTGGCGCGCAGGCCTTACTTGGTCATGAGCTGTTGTTGGTCCCAGCCCTCCTGCGCTACCGGCCACCCTGTCTTCTCCATGGAGCAGTTCACGCGCAGCCGTGGACACCCCCAGGGCGGGCAGGCAGCAGGGCGAGAGCCGGCAAGGTGGGCGTGGCACCCCCTCCCGTGTGCCCACAGCCAGGGAGAGGGGGTCATACAAGGCGGCGGGTGCCAGGCACTGGGGGCCGTTGGGCACCCTCATACCCCGCCCCAGTGTTTCCGGGTTAATCTCATCTGTATTTGCCTTGATCGAGGCCAGTGAACCTCTCAAACAGTCACGTAAAACACCGCCCTCCCTGAGCCTCTCGGGGTGCATCTCCGCCCTCTGTTCTGCCGCGGTCTCCTTTCCTCCGGGGGCCTCTGACAGGTTTTAAGACGGCCCCCTGCGATCTCTAGCTATGGTTCTCGGAAGGCTTGCATCTTCACCCCGGGGGCTCTGGGCGTGCAGGCCTGCAGCCCCTGCCTTCACTGCCACCGCGCGGCCGGGCAGAGAGTCCTCTCGGGGTTTCTCGGGCTGCGGTCAGGCTCGTCTTCCGTGATGCCCGAGTGCTGGAAGACATCGCAGGCTCTCCGAGTGACCTGGGAGGAAGGAGGCTTTCTCCTGAAGCCCTCTCCTAATCTCCAGCCCCGCTCTGGCCTCTCCGCCCCTTCGTCATCGTCGCTGGTGTCGCTTACAGGAGAGCTAGTTTCCCAGGGGTTCCGACCGCACTCTGAGCAAGTCTGGCCCGGCGGTCACTCGCCTCCTTTTGGGATGTCTCGTCTTCTCCGGCCATGGGTCTTCAGCTGCCCCGACACTGGAGAAGCCCCACAGTGACACCCTGTCCATCTGCTCCTCGCCGCCTTCCTGTCCCTTGGAAGGCATCTGCCCTGCGGCGTGTCAAACCCAACAGTGAGCACCAGGGAGGGAAGACATGGGGAAGAGCGGTGAAGAAGAGGAGGGGGACGCACTGGGCACCCTTCGTTTCAGATGAGAATAGACAGACGTGGAATCTCAGTGGTATCATGTACATTCTGTGTGAGTGGTGTTCTTGAAACATTTGAAGTACTTGTAGAATTAAAAATGAGGTACCGGGGTTATAATGCACAGAATAAAGGTAAGCATGAAGAGAAAAAAAGCAGGCATAAAAGGTCAGATTGCAAGCATACATGATCTCCACATGGATCAATAATATTCGACAGTGTCATGTTTGTAACAGACCAGCCTGACGGAACGCGGAGGCAGAAGTCAGCCCTGAGTTGGAAACACCAGTGTGTCCCGCTCGAGTGAAACCAACGGCGAGACGGCGGTGGTTGGTGTCGGACAAAACGGCGTTTGGGGGGAGCAGGTACTGCACATCAGGCTGACGACAATGAAGCCCCGCGGATCGGCATTAAAAATGAAGGGAGATGCCTAAATTGGCACAAGTCTTATGAAGTGGTTTCACAAATGTCTGAGTTTAGTTTTACGTGATTGTCTTCCTGTGAATTTTTTTGGTGTGGGAGTCAGAGTTTGAAAGATCTGACTGAAGCAGTGAAATCCTCCCCATAATTACACTGGAAACAAAGGAGGCAAAGGAAAGGAGCTCAGTCTTAGACAAGCCGAGGAGCTCGGGGACCTGACGGAAACCTAGAGGCTGCCTGGTGTCGCCAGCTCGTTCTACGGGTGAAAAAGGCGAGGCCCGAGCGATGATGTGACTAAATGGTGCCTTCGAAACCACAGTTCGGGTCAGAAGCAGGACGTTACTGCCACTTTCTGGACTCGGGGTCCATATGCGCTCAGTCCACCCGGGCATCTGCTCTGTGACCCGTGGCCCCTGCGGTTTGGAGATGCCCTCGGGGCGGTGTGCAGGCCTCTGCAGGGGGCCGATCTGCACTCCCACTGTCCGCACAGCATATGGGGGCCTCTCCTCCAGGTTCGGCGGCTGGTAGGACCTGCAGGTGGGCGTGGTTTGCAGGCATCTGTGGTTTTTGTACCTGGAATCCGGAGGAGAGGTAGGAGCCACAGACGGAGGTGAGACACTCGAGGACCATGTCTTGAAACATTCTAAGGAATTTGGACTTAATCTTGAGATTCTCAGCCTCCGCCGTACCTAAGAGTTGCCAGGTCTGGGGAAAGGCCGAAGTACTTTTAGTCTTTCCAAGTTCCACGGGCTTTAAAGGCCCAGCTAGGAGTGCTGTCCTCGGTGGGAAGTTGTGGACCGTTTGAGGCAAGGACGTGGCATATAACCAAATGTGCATTTTCAAAGGTCCTTCCGGGGAGGATGCTGGGCGGGGCGAGAGGCTTGCAGAGGCAAGAGGTGGTGGCATCTTCCAGTGACTGACAATATTTCATCAGGTTAATTTTCTCTGATTGCTCTGTCTTGTGCCGTTTACGTTTCTGGGGCGGGGGTGTAAATGCGTGGTTGTGGCTGCTAATGCCTTGCCGTGGCAGCTGTGAGCAGTGTGCAGTGTGACTCTCCCTCCATGCGGGGAGGCCATGCGGGCATTCCGCATCATTCTGTAAGGTTCAAGAAAAAAACTACTGGGATTTTGATTAATTTTATATCAAAATTGGCAATATATTCTCCAAGCAACATTTGAATTGTCTTTATGGTGTTTTACACGATGTAACTGCATGTTTAGTGACTTGACTTTTTCTCTGACAGATCGATGAACTCCCGGAGGGAGCCGTGAAGCCTCCTGCAAACAAGTACCCTATCTTCTTTTTCGGCACCCACGAAACGTGAGTCGCAAAGCCACCCCAAGTTTCAGAAGCTCCAATGGGACTCTGCTAGACTACGTTGTTGCAGACGATCTGTAACATTTAACACTAACATTTAACACGTTGTGAACATCACTATAGTCAGTTGTATGAAATTGCCAACCTTGATCGTCTATCTTTTCTGAAGGGAAAGATTTCCCATTATTTTGCTTTTGCATGTCACCTTTGTTTCTGCTTTAATGCTGGGCGTCACCCAGAGTTCCCCATGGGACACCAAAGTCCCAGGGTGACACACACACACCCACCACCCACCCCCAGTGATTTCCTCTGCAGCTCTCATGCCATTCCCTTCTGGGGGACTTTTCTCCCTTCATACTTCCCAGAGCAAACTGCCTGTCCTCTCGGGCTTCCCCAATTTGTCAGATCCAGAAGCAAACACACCACGATTTTTTTTAAGGTTTTCTAATTGTATTGGTTTAGTGTACAGTCTAGAGGACTCTGAAAAGACAGGTCTTTCAAACAATACAGACGTTTATTTCTGTCTTTTGAAACAACCCAGAGACAGGCAGGCAGAACAAGGTGGGCAGAATGCTTGTCCGCTTATTTCTTTTTAAAAAAAGTTGTCATTGAAAAACAAAACAACACCACTTGGCTGAGCAGCACCTCTGCGTTTTGCAGGTAGAGGGGAGGGGGAAAGAGAAGAGGTGAAGAACAAGTAAGTTCTTGTGAGCCAGTGACCGGCAGGACGCGGCACGCCCAGCTGTGAGGGAAGCTGGAAAACACGGCTCGGTGGGGGCGGGTGGGCGGGACCTCTCTGAGCAGAGGAAAGGAGGGGCGCATGGATGCCAGGGACGCACTGAGAATGTCTGGACAGGCACACGACTGGAAATCAGGAATTGCAAACGCCGGGGAAGCCAGAGCTACCACGAATCCATACATGTCTCCAGATGCTGGGTCATTCCAGTGCGCCCTGGAGTGTCGACAGAGGCCCAGGTGCGCTGCCAGGCCCAGCCGGCTGCCTCTGCTCCCTGGAGTCCTCCTCCATCTCGCCCCAAGGGGGCGCTCACAGGGAAAGGGGCCTGAGGACGTCTTTCTGGTCTTCACAGCGGAGAGGCTTATGTTTCTTTTTGGAAGTTAGTTTTCTTCTCTTTTTTTCTGCTTTTCCCAGTAGACACTGGGGACTGTGCGACTTAAATGTTCTTTCCTAGAGAGGTTGCTAGAAAGCGTCCCCAGGTGGCTGGCCCATATTCCCAGCTCTCCGTGGGTTCTGCCCGGAGTCCCGTATGCGAGACCTGTGATGTGTGCCTAACACTGGTTTTTGTATATTTTTAATTCCTGTGCCAAAACAGGCTCTGGCACCTTAGAAGGTATTGATATTAAAAATACCTTACGTTTGAAGGTCAGAGTATCCATTCTATTTCTAATCTATCTCTGCAGCGCATTTCTCGGTCCCAAAGACCTTTTCCCGTATAAGGAATACAAAGACAAGTTTGGGAAGTCCAACAAACGGAAAGGATTTAATGAAGGACTGTGGGAAATAGAAAATAACCCAGGAGTAAAGTTCACTGGGTACCAGGTAAGGGTTTACCTCAATGCCACTCGCCATAGCTCGTTTCTTTGGCTTTAACTCCTTTTTGGGTCTTTCTGCTGTGTCCTTTGGACTAGTAGTTGCCCTCCCTTCGTTAAATTCGAAGTCAGAATTCTCTTTGGCTTTGGTTGCATTTTGGATTAAATGTAATTCTGTTCCCAAGAGGATTCAAGTGAAGTGGTCCTGGGAAAACCGAGGTTGGCTGCCCTTTATTTTTAAAACCTTAAGAGTAAGCTGAACCCTTTCAAATTAAAATAAAAAGCTTCTTTTCACAGTCTGTGTTCTTTGCCACTTTATAGAAATGTCACTAGCTAAGACGTTGTTTCTTAGGCCATTCAGCAGCAGAGCTCCTCGGAAACGGAGGGGGAAGGCGGCAACACAGCGGACGCGAGCAGCGAGGAGGAGGGCGGCCGCATGGAGGAGGACGGGAAGGGCAAGAGGAAGAACGAGAAAGCCGGCTCCAAGCGGAAAAAGTCCTACCCGTCAAAGGTTGCCGAGCCCCTGTGCTTCTTCTCCTTAGGTTGCATGCATGTGCACGGAGACTTTGGGGTTACTTTTCATTCACTCGTGCGTGCACAGAGGTGTACTGGCTCCGTGGAGCTCTGCCTCGGAGACGGGGTGGCCGAGGGGAATCGGACAGGCACCTTCAGGGGAGGACACCCGGCTACTGACTCTGGGGCTCCCTCAGCCCCCAAATACTGCCTTGTCAGCTAGAGGAAGACAGTTCTTTAGTGGAGGGTGTGAGGCAGGTGTGTGCCCTGCAGTGACCTGCAGAGGAGCGTGCTCAAGAGTGAGGGCACGGGAGACTGGGTGCGACGCAGGGCCAGCTCAGCGTGTTAGCCCTGTAGACATGAAGCCGTGTTCTTGCCTGTCTGCCGGCCTTAAAGACTGTGCTTCAGCCCTTCGGTGTTCAGTTGTCCTATTTCCTGGTCACGGAGCCTGTGTCCAACCCTTGCATTCGCGTGCAGGGCGTCAGCAAATCCGGTTCCGCCCCTGCCCTCGTGTGCCTGGGAGTCCAGTGGATTGGAGGAGGGACGGGGTAAACAAGACAAGTAATAGATACAAGCCGTGAAGGGAAGGCATGGGAGCAGGAAGTGACAGAGAACCTGCTGTAGATGAAGTAGCCAGGCCTTTGTGAAAAGGTGAGAATGGGGGGAGGAGCCCCATGCCCAGAGCAGTGGAGGGGGGGGGCTGAATTGAAAGAAGGCAGCTGGGGCTGGGGAGTTCTGAGGGCAGGAGAGAGGCAGGCAGAGGCTAAGTCACAGACAGTCGTATGTCCCGTTAACGACTTCGGATTTGATTTCAGATGTAATGGTAATTTATTGAAGGTTTTAAACAGGAGTGACGTGATTCTACACTTACAAATCGAAAGTGTAGGTTTTTCATATAGCAATTCAGAAATACAATTGAAAAACCATGAGAGTGTGAAAACTGTTCACCTTTTAGAAACTGAAAGCAAGATGAATGGACCTTTGAAGACCAGAGATTGGCCTGGTTTGACCACAGTTGGTCTGTCACACGATTGAATACTTGGATAAATTACTTCCATTTAGATTCTGGTGTTTAGCAGCGCGATATACTTAAGGGAACTCCTTAAAATAAGTGCCAAGAGTTTATCAGACTATAAACACTTTATTTTGTGGTCGGTGAACGCCCCCAGGCTTGTGCACAGGGGAAGCTGTACGAATACGCACGGCCTCTTGTGCACCTGGTGAAAACCACAGTGTCTGCTCCGGACGGGGATGAAGTTTGCATCTAACAAAATAAGGAGAATTTTCCCCAAAAGGCTGCATGATTTCCATCGCAGCGATTTTTTAAGCTGAATATCTTTTAGCTCTTTGGGGCTTCCCTTAAATAGCCCATTGAATTTACTTTATTTAACTTACGATTACCCGCTGAGCTTCTGCATCTCACGTTGCGTCTCCCTAAATTGTCCAGGGCAGGCTGGGCATGCGGTAGCGTGGCCGTGCGGCCTTTCAGTGGCATTGTTGCATTCTTCCTCGTGAAGACCAGAAGTCATGGAGTTCATGTGTTTGTTTACATCTTTTTCTTAAAGTTGAATGTTGTTCCTTTGCTACTAAAAATCAATGATTCACGGGCTTTTTGGCTGCATTGCAGTGAGAGGGGTGAAGGCCCCACACGGCCTCTACCTGACTCCGTTGTTGTTCTGTGAGAAAGCAGAGCTCGCTCAGTGCTCAGGACGAACAGCTAGAGCCCCAAACAGATCTGAGGGCGGTTATGTATGTGTCTTCTAGCAGGGAGTGTGTGGGTGATTCGTATTTGAACCATAGGAGAGACTGGGAAGCTATAGGGCAAAAATAATTCGCCTGCAAACCACTAGTAATTTTAGTGGAAGAAGAAAGGTGATGACAGCTAGACACACAACCAGCTCAAGACCACGGTGATGAAACAGCCAAGGGGTCCTCCCGCAGAGTCCGGGGACTGCAGAGACTGCCCGGGAAGAACAGCACGAGACCACCAAACACAGCTTGGCAGCCGGGAGTGTCGGTGCAGTTCTCCGCGTGACTCTTCCGCGGACCTGGGCGGCAAGCGCCCTCATTCTGGTCTGTGCGCACCCCATGGTAGTAGCTGCAGATCACTCGGAGGGCCGCTCGCAGCCTTGGGGGCGTTACAGACTCTAGGGAGCCGTGCACGGTTAGCCCAAGAGCTGCAGGCCAGGGACTGTCATTTGAGAGCCGCTGTGTGAAGCAGTCCCTGCAGCTGAACGACCGCGCCCTGTCTCCTCTGGGAACACGGGGTGCCCCACTTCTGTGTGCTCGTGCTCCGTCTCAGCCCTTACTCCGGACACCCCACCTTTGGATTCTTAGCCCCTGCTGCCCCTCCCTCACGTAAAAAGTAAAACTGGCCTCATTTTACACGTACATTTTGGGCTGGGTTGGTAGTTTTGGTTAAGTAAAGTAGAGGCAGTGTAATCACGTGTATCTGTCACGTGGCCAGAAGATATCGTCTCTCTGGAAGTTGCATTTTAAACTGTTGTTCATCCGAGGATGCTCCCATTTGTCAATTTGTTTTTGGAAGACCAGAATGAGCCGGCTAAATCACTTCTGTCTTAGCCCTTGTTTACCAAGCGCTTAAAGATTCCTAAAATGCACTACGGAGGACATGTTGGCAAAATGCTCCATTTTACTCTCTTAAAGGTCATTTTAATGCTGTTCTGCAAAGTAATTCTGGCTGTGAACTGTAACTGTGTTTCCTCTTCCTCTGGAGTTCATCTTGATTTCAGATGCAGGATGATAGCAGGGGAAAGGGGCTGGGTCACCAGCATGACCTTGGGTTCTTAAATAACTACCCATAATTTAAAAGATTAATTATTCTCCATCACCTGCTGATGTAGAAGGTTCGTCAGTAGCATCCCACGTACACCAGCCACCACCCAGACAGCTTCAGCGGGGCCCCGGCATCACTGTCCACTGGCCGTCTTGGGTGGCTCACCTCGCTCTCTGGGCCTCGGCGTCTGCTGGAAGGAGCTGGGGAGGACGAGGTGACTGTCCGGGCCTTGCAGCCCCGGAGCCGTCCTGAGGCGCCTGTCCAGCTCTGTGTTCGTTGACTCTTCTGGGTGCATGAGTCTCTGTTTCCTGCTTTTTAACATCTCACTGCTGGACGGAACTGAAAGAGAAGGTCATCTCGTCCACCTCTTCTTGCTTCCAGCTGGTTAAACCGAGGGGGGGCCCAGTGGGGCGAAAGGACTGGTCCAAGGTCAGCGAGCCCAGCCCCGGCCCCCCTGCAGCTGGTGGCCGCAGATCCTGCGTGAGGCCGGAGGGGTTGGGTGCGGTCAGCCGTACTGCGTTTCTTATACTCGTGCGTTTGGGTTTCTACCACGACTATATTAACTTTTAACTTGTCTATACATTTAGAAATCCTCTAAACAGTCCCGGAAATCTCCAGGAGATGAAGATGACAAGGACTGCAAAGAAGAGGAAAACAAAAGTGGCTCGGAGGGTGGGGACGCCGGCAGCGACACAAGGAACACAAGTTCAGACTCGCAAAAAACGAGCGAAGGGGTAAGGGCGCCATTTCCACCTGAAAAAATGATGACAATAAATATGGTTGGTCAGATTTGGCTATGTGGCGCTTTGTCAAAGATAAATGCAGTGAGCCCTGACTGGTGTGGCACAGCGGTGTGGGCACTGTCCGGCAAAACAAAAGGTCGCGGGTTCGATCCCCAGCCAGGGCATATTCCTGGGTTGAGGGCCCAGTCCCCATCTGGGGGTGTGGGAGAGGCAACTGACTGATGTTTCTCACCTGTCGATGTTTCTCTCCCCCCCTTTCTTCCTCCCTTCCCCTCTCTCTAAAGAAAAACAAAATCTTGTTAAAAAAAATAAAATAAAAATTTAAGTAAATGAAACGAGCCTGTTACTTCAGAGAAAGCAAGTGACAGTATTTGTTGCCAATGGTACAATTTTAGTTTTTAAGTGAAAATTAGAACTCTGAAAAACTTAAATCCTCCATGACCAACAGCTTCCCAAAAGATTTTTCTGAAAAGATTGGTAGTGATATTAAAAAGGTAGTTAAAGTTATTTTATGATGAAATGGGTATATTTATAATGAAATATTTTGAAGACAAATACATTTTTTTTAAAACAGCAAACATGCCCCTGAAGTCGTGGTCACGTTTCAGTGCCAGCCTCACGTTATTTCGGGCAGTAATAATTTTCCGAGGCTGCCGTGGGACCACCTATTTCAAAAACAGTCTTCTTTCGGATGGAATTGTTCCTACGCGCTTTCTGCTAGTGCGGACAGAGACTTTGCTGCCTGTCCCATTAGTGTTAATAAAAAGACGTTAGTCAAGCAGTTTCTTTGGTTAATGAACAGGTTTTGATTGATTGTCTGAATGGGTGTCTTCCTCCTTCACAGGGAGGAAAATCCTTCAGTGTCTGTGAGCATCACCTTTTTTAGATTGTCTTTTTAAGATTCCTGAGTTTGGTAGCACCAGAGGCTGAGAAGTGTGTTTCTGCCGCTTGAGGGGATGGTGGGTTTGGCAGCTTCTCCTCGGTGGAGGCCCAGGCGTGCCGTTCAGCGCTGGCGCTGCTCTGGAGTGAGAGCTCAGCCACGGGCGAGCACGTGTGTGCTCACGGACACCGCCATCTACGCCGTGGAGGGACGAGTGAGCGGGCTGTTAGAGAAGCAGTAGTTGGGGCCCGAGTTCCCCCTTGCGTTCGCCCCCGGAGAGCATTGCTGGGCGCTGCAGCGTATTTGGGTTAATGGTGAGGAAAACAAAACAGGGTCCCCGAGGGCAGTATAATCTGACCTAGTTTAAAGTGGGGCAGACATGGAAACTTTTTTTTTAAGATTGTATGTATGTATGTATGTATGTATTTTTAGGCACAGGAGAAGGGGGGAGAAAGAGATGGAAAGAAATGTCAATGTGTAGTTGCACTTGTGCTCCCCCTACTGGAGTCCTGGCCCACAACCCAGGCATGTACCCTGACTGGGAATCGAACCAGCAACTCTTTGGTTTGTAGGCCAGCACTCAATCCACTGAGCTACAATAGCCAGGGCGAAATATCATTCTTTTAGAAAATAGAGAGAGTTTATCTTTGTTTTACACAGATGCCATCTAAATTCTGGAAGGAAGGTAGCCTTTCTTTCTTTTAGTCCATCTTGATTTTGTCAACTCTAGTGTTTCTGTAAGCCATATGTCACAATAATTAAGTTGTAAATATTACACAGAATAATTTGCATACACTTCATATGCTTTTTTTCCCCCCAAATCCTCACCCAAGGACATGCTTTTATTGCTTTGAGAGAGAGAGAAACGTCCATCGGTAGCCTGCGGCATTCGCCCTGACTGCGGGTCAGACCTGCGACCTTTTTGGTGTGTAGGGACAAAGGCTCCAACCAACTGAGTCGCCCGACCAGGGCCACCCCAAATGCTTTTTACATTTTGAGCATCTTCCCTTTCTTCCTGGCACCATAGTCCCCAAAAAGGCGGATTGCCTCGGCGTCCCCACTGACCCGGTGCTGGACTTGCACCCTCTGCGCTCCTGCCCTGCCAGTCAGCCCGCAGCCCCGGCTGGCTTTATGTTTCTTTCCCTTTTTTCTAACGGGACACTGAAGGCACCCTGGTAGTTCCTTTGGCTTTTTGCACCGAGGGCACAAGGCAGAGCCTCGGGCCGTTCTCACTGAGCATGCGCCGTGCCGCTGTGCTGGCGGAAGTCTCAGCACGCGCAGTGGTACACGGTCTGACCGTCGCCTCAAGGTCCGTTTTCTTTCTTCTCTTCCAGACCTAACCACCGTCCTGGGCGCTGCGTATTGAGAGAAACCGCAGAAAGGTGGTGCGTTTGCTTGTCTACTACTCTTGGATTTCATCTGAACCAACACGGCCCCCGTCGTCCCGACAGAACCCCCGTGTGCGTGCCCGTCACTCACAGTCCTCTCTGTCTGTGTTTAGAGAAAGGGAAGAAAAAGACATTTTAGCCTTTTTTAAGGTTGTTGATTTAATTTTATGTTATTTGGTTGCATGAAGTTGCCCTTAACCACTAAGGATTATCAAGATTTTTGCACAAACTTAAACATGTCTAGGATCCTTTTACCAAGGCAGTTTACCTTCTTAATTCTCCTGCCTTTACTCCGCCATCACCAAGCACTCAGACAAAATAAAATTTTGCATTTAAAACAGTGACCACTCAACATGAGGTACATTTCCTCTCTGCAGCAGAACCCGGGAGCCGGTTCCTAGACAGGTGATGTTGGCATATTGAAGATGGAATCAAAATTACTCTTCATTTTTGAGGCCATGTGTAAAGTCTAATCACACTGTAAAATATCTATTCCGTATTAGAAATAGCCCATTGACAGCTTACACTTCTCAGAGCTCATGTCCCTAGGCACACAAATCAGTTTCTCCATGCGAAGTCAGTGAGCCCTTTCGTGTTCCTCCAGCGTAAAGGCGACACTCTGCTCGGCCCCACTGCCCACGCGTCGCTCGCGGCGGGGCCCTGGCCTTGAAGCCGGAGCTCAGCAGCGGCCCTGTGGGAAACCCGACGGAGCATCGGCCTTCAGACGGGCTTTTCCAACGGCCTTGTTTCCTTTCGGGATTAGCGTTAGAATAGTTACTCTCCATCCACGAACCGTTATTATGTGTACATTATTGTTGCTATTGTGACAATAGAGAATTTTATTTATTTTTATGCTTATATTGTGAGAACACATCTAGTCAGTTTGGGTTTTCTCCTCAACCCTGTTATGCTTGTCCTTGGAACATATTTCGCGTACTCGAGGTTTGTAGTTGAAAAGTTTACTGTAAAAAAAAAATCAAAAACAAAAAAAATGTATTGTTTTTACAGAATAAATCTATTGGAATGTGTACCGGGAGTAAGATTTGAGGTTGTAAACAGCTAAGTTAGTGTAATTTGGCTTCATATATGTAATGTGAGGTATTAATGTAATTCATATATTAAAGCAAAATTTGTTAACAGCAAGTTAACAATAGAGTCAAGTGCAGGCGAGGGTTTTCTTTTTGAACAGTCCGGGTCGTAGGGCCGCTGTGTGACCTCTCGGGGGAGGGAGAGGAGCAGGCCTGTGGCTGCCTGTGCAGCTCAGCTGTTGACCAGCTCCCTGGGCCCTCACGTTCAGACACCGACGTTATCCGTGTGTTGGTCTGCACCCCATGTTTTTTCCATTTTCTTTTTGTGATGAAGAGCTGGACGTGGTGGTGGAACTGCAGAGGGCAAGAGCGTGCCGGCCGCCACTCCTCGCCCAGCCCCGCCCTGCACGGCACTGCGGCTGCGCCCTTGGTTCCTCTCACTTCGCACGCACTGACTTCTCTTCATTACGTTCCTTGCGGAAAGTGCATGTAGAGGCCGTAGGAATGACAGTGCAGGTCTTATCCTTGAAAGGCCTTTTAAAATTTACCATTAGTGACATTTAACCCCTCAGAAGGCCTCTTCAGTGCCGGCCCAGAAGGAGCATGCCGGCGGCGTTTGGAATTGGAACACGCAAATGACAGCCTTTCAAAACAAGCGACCCAACTTTCTGGAAAAATTTTTTCAAATTTAGTAAGATTTGTTGTCATAGAAAGACAATTTTATTAAAAATATACACAGAAATACAGTAGAAATATCTCCAGTCACCGATAAAACAAGAACTCCGTTACAGATAAAGGTAAAGTTATCAATCCCTCCTTAGCTATTTAAACTCAACAAGTTTTAGTAAAAGCACTTTTTAAAACAGCAGTAAATAATATACTTTCCTCGGGAAAGCATTTTTCAAATAACCCTTCAAAATCCTAGTAATTTGTCTTTATGTCGGTGTTGATGGTGGGCATGTCCATCTCACAGGTGCAGCCATTTCCCCACTCCATTTGCTTTTCGGAATTTTTAATGCAGGTGAAGCACCTTCACTTCCGAATGGTTGCATGCCCGTGCTCACTGCGGCAGGGCCTGAAGGGTCACTTTTCACACTTACATTTTATATGTGCAAACAGAAGACTGAGACGGTCACGTTTATTCACAGATCATTTTGAATGTATTTCTTTAAACAGTTTCTCAACAACTTCAGCTTCAACAAATTTTTTAAAAAGACAAGTTCACCCACGCAGCCCCACATACAGGTCACATACAGGGCGCAGGAAGAGCGTTGGCGTGTTCTCAGGTGTCCCGGCAGGGAAGCGAGTGGAATGGGACGAGGTGCCGGCCCGGACAACCTCAGTCGGGAACTTGGAGAAGAGCGCCATGAAGTCCGCGAGTTCTCATTCAGCCTTTTCATCTGCCTTTGTTTTTATGAAGAATTCCGGCCTCTGGATGCAGCGATAGGCCAGGAGCTGAGGGAGGGCGCCATATGCTATGTTTAAGGCCAGAAAAAGGATTTTCGCGTCTTCGGGGACTCTGTAGACATAAGCAGTTCTGGCATGAAGAGAGGCACCAATGTGAGAAAACTGCGCCTGTTGCATTAAAAAAAATAATAATAAAAAGGTAAGCATGATTTTTGTGTTGAGTTGGATGCACAGTGAGTTCTGAGTGACTCACACGGACCCTGTCCCCTGAAAAACTAGTACTTTTGGACGATCCCTAGTCTTGCATATTCCGTTGAATCCAGGGCCGGTCTTGACATACCTGTTTGAATAAAGTATACTTTCTCTAGAGTGGCTTTGTCATACCAGCTGTCTTCTGACGCCTCCAGCGCCCTGTACCCCAGACATCAGCGGTTCAACGGAACCGAACAACCTGGGGATCCCGTAAAGAGAGACTCGACTGCGGCTCACACGCTCTGTTCCCGTAGAAATGAAGCAAGTGTGGGAATTGAGGAAGCCGAAATATTTTGGGCTTAACTATTTAGAAAAAGCAGTACCGGGGGCCTCTGTTTGGTTTATCAGTCTTCGTACCTCCTCCCGGGTGCAAAAACTCAAAATCCCTTGTGTGTGTGTGTGTGTGTGTGTGTGTGTGTGTGTTTTCTCATGCAACTTAATGCTGAGGGTGGTGTTGTAAGATCAGGCGGCAGCGGCGTGGGTGGGGCTGCTCCCTGCGGAATGGCCGCTGTGCTGGCAGCCTCCCTCTTCACGCCCAATCATAACAGTGCCGCTGGTCGGCCTGGGAGATGGAATGGCAAGCGCTTCCCCACGGGGACCTCTGTACTTGTTCAGAGAATCCACCAGACTGTGCTGGCCGGTCTTTTTTGGGTACTTTTCCTGGGAACGGGGAAACTGTATTAGAAAAGGCTTCCTTCCGTGAGATTTCCTCAGATCCGTGTATCGTTACAAAAAGCAATCCTGGAGCCTGCGTTCGCACATCTTACTGAAATTCAAGATACACACGAATAAAGAATTGGGAACTTAAAATGGAATTAAGTGGTGAGTTATTCATCAGGATCTAAGTGAAGAAGACAAGAGATGGTAACTAAGGAAGTCAGAAGTAACCATGAAAAACTGGTTTTCTTTGAATATACATACGCTCTCTCCCATTTTCTTCCACACAAAGTGGGTTTATTCTGCCGAGTGGGAAAAAGGCGTCGGTGTTACTGAGCACTGACCATATTTGCAGCGGAAGGACAAGCCGCCATAAGCGGCGTGCGTGTGGGTTTGTGTCCATCAGATGTTTCACTGGGCCCGGGGACCTCTGGCACAGTCTTGCTCCTCTCTGGAGACCGAAGTTGAATCAGCTGGTGTGTTGCCCAGGACACCTGGGCACTGCCACCCACAAGGGCTCTGCCCTCTGGCACCTCCAAGGGACAGGAGCCATGTTGCCTCCAGGCTGTGAAGACCAGAGACCAGGGGGAGCAGGGGCCTTCTGGATCAAGACTGCCCTGAGTAGCGGTCCGGGCCCACCAGGCAGGTGCTGGGCCCCAGACCCCGGTTTTTGAACAATAACAGTGCTGGTGTGAATGTAGAACCAAATGTGGTCTCCTGCACTAGAGGTCAGACCTGAACCCTGATCTCAGAAAGGCAGGATTGGTGTGTCTACCTTCCTAGACACGTGTCCTTGTACGCATCACAGATCACCAGACATGGAGACACACCAGACCATGTGTTCAGGTTAGATAATGAGCTGGCCGGGGAGGCACTGTGTCCAGTGTTTTCTGTGGCGCCTGTCACGTTGTCACAGCTCACCACACGCTCTGCAGTGGCGGCCTCATGACCGTCAGAATACTAAAGCCTCCACGAATCATTTCTCTGGTTGTCGCACCTATCTTAGGGGGCTCTCTTCTTCCTAATTACTTCACCAGGGGCAAACCCAATGATAACGTCTCATTGAGGGGTGTCTATCCGTGAGAGAAGCAGCCTGAGGCCAGTGTTCTGGAATTTCCAACTCTGCACATGGTTTGGATGGTGTGTTTGGGGGGGGGCCCCGCTCCGCGGAGGGGGCACCCAACCAGAGCTTCCTCCCAACGCCTGCACAATCCAGCACACAGTGTCCTGAAGCTCCAGGGAAACCCCAGCCTCACCAGAGCAGGGGAGGGCTTCCTTCCCAAGCACGGAGCCCACAAGGGGGCGCTTGGTGTCCCTCTCCCTTCCAGGGCCCACGGATATCGGCCTGAGGCCGGCCTGGCGTCGGACGGCGCAGGGAAGTCTGTGCTGTGAACAGACACGTGACCCAGGGCTGCAAGTCAAAGTCCTGGGACCCAAACATGGCTCCAAACTCCATGGTGTGAGGTTGAGCGCCTAATATTCTGCCTTCTACTTCATTCAAAATCACTTTTCAGCTTAAATTATATATGAAAAATGGATGGTTGGGCTAGAAGGTGAGGTGATGAAGACAAAGAAAGGTTACATCTTAATAGCTCTGTTTTCTTAGAGAGTTTTCCTAGAGAGACAACGTGGTACCTGAAAATCTCATTCCTGGCTCGAGAAAGGAGCACTGAGAGTGTCACGTGTCTGCACAAATACAGGCAAAAACGGATGCGAACACTGACTGGGACCATAGCCAAGCTCTTCGGGCAAAACCAAATAAATAGCTGATCCAGAACCGTGTTGTCATTTCGTAGGGTTTTCTGAGCAGCACAGGCTGGTCCTTAACCCTGAACCTGAGAGCAGATGGAGCATCCGGCCCAGACCTCTCCCGACACACCAGCAGCCTGACCTTGCTTTAGGTTCGTGATGACCCCTTTGCTTCCTCGCCTGTGAAAGGTAATAACGGGGCCAGGTTCGATGAGTTGCATTTTCTGAGGAGCGTGGGGCAGCTCCAGGCCCACGATGCTCTTCCCCAGACACAGGTCCAAAAACACGTGAGTGCCTGCTCAGGATGCTGTCCTTTGTTAAAAATCCCGGGCTTTGTTTTTCGATCCCCTTGCTGACCTTCCGGCAATATCAAGACTGTCTTTCTCCACTAAAGGATAATGAGCATGTGAAATACAGACATTAAACCCAAAGTCTGCTTTTGATGATAAAAGGTGCTCCGTGAACCTCACCCTAAGCGCCTGATGAGAATGGGATCTGCATTAGCGTCCCCGATATTTCTGTTCTTCCTCAACCCTCACCACCGGGTATTTCTTAAAGGTTTCCATGAAGGAAGGAGCTTATAAAATCCACCTCCAGGGCGGCTTTTCCTGCCTCCGCGGCTGATAGTGTTCCCTGGACGGTGTGCCAAGCAGCTGTGGAACTCTGAGCAGTCTAATCCTCTCAAGAAAGGGCCTGGGAAGAGTGGGGGGCCCTCTGTCCAGGCGGACACAGGAGAAGCAGCCGAGGGCGCAGACACTGAGGCTGTGTCCTCTGATCTGCACAGGGGACAAGCCCTGGAACCTCGAGAGGCGCCATCCAATAACTGGCGGAGCACCTCCCAGGTCCTTACTGTGCAAGTTCAATACAATGGGCGCAGGATTGACCTCTTAAGAAGCACAGGACAAAAGGGGACCCGTCCAGTCAGCGGTTTCTACCCTAAGACAGCGAGCAGAGGTGTTTTTTCAGAGAGGCGGCCACGCCAGCAAAGCCCCACCCGGCGAGCTTTGGCAGTGGGGCATCTCGGTACCTGAGCCAGACCCCCAGCGTGGACCAGCGTGACGTCGGCCATCCAGGAGCACCCCGGCACCACCAGGCCGTACAGCGCCACCGCGAAGTACGGGACGGAGTAGAACAGGTACACCAGCATCTGCAGGGGACAGAAACAGCGGCGGTGAAGCAAAAAAATGTTTTCAGTGGTGGAAATGTGTTCATTGTTGCTTCCTACGCAGAACCATGTTTCCCCGTTCTTTTTTTTTTTTTTAATTCACAGCCAAGTGGGGGAAGGGAGGCAAAGAGGGAGAGAAACTGCTCCTCACACGCACCCTGACCGGGGATGGAACCCACAACCCAGGCATGTGCTCTGTCCAGGACTCAAACCCACGACCTTTCGGTTTATGGGACGATGCTCCACCAAACTGAGCCACCCCGGCCAGGGCCACATTTTCCTGTTCTTAAAGAGAGGAAATTAGGAAGATCTTAGGCTCTGTAACTACTCGACCTGGATTTTTGGATAAGCGGCAGGATCCTTCAGGTAGGGCTCTTGAAACTGCGTGTACAGGCGGCAGAGCTCGGCGGGGCAGTCCAGCGCGATCTGGGGATGAAAACGATGCTGTTACCGGGACGCGGTCCCCTCTGGTTCTGCTGTTTGTGGATGAGGCTCAGTGTGCCAGGGTTAGCCCCAGGCCGCTTTGCTGTGTGACAAAAGCTATTGTGCCGTAGAAGCACCTCTGTGAAAGGGGAAGGGAAGCCCTCTGCAGATTCGCTGGGAGGAGACAGAGCGCAGTCCGCCTCCAGTCTCCAGCTTCCCTGCTCCGGGCAGGGGCTCGCCTGCTCCTCCCTGCAGGGAGAAGAGCACATTTCTGTACCCAGTTCAGCTCACTGTGCTTTTGCAAGACTGAGAGGTAGTATCCTCTGTCCACTGCCTCACACAGTAGGTGGCCTCAGGGGGCAGTAAAGGACAAAGATGTGAAAGCAGGGCGCTCTCATGGGCAACCAAGAGCAGCAAGGGCCTGGTCACGGCATAGTAGACTCAAGGCCACCAAGGAGACAAAGTGTCCCTTTGGTGCCTTACTAGGTCACCTCCCTTGGGCATCGTCCTTCCGGTCCTTGGACACAGGTGTCCCACCCAGATGACACACACAAACACCGACCAGTGGCAGAGCTGGTAAAAGGGGTCCCACCCTAAGAGCCCCACCCACCAGCATGAACACACACACACACACACACAGTCTCACGTGCACAGGGCAGTAAATGAGGCCTCTCAAGGCTGTCTAGGTGGGGCTCACCTTTGTTGCTATTCTTTTACGTGGGCACTACAGCAGACTAACCCAAGAAGGGTTCCCCTGCCCTGTGGTCTGAGTAAAGCCCATGGCCCGGCTTTCTCCTTTACTCCCCTTCCTGGGGCCTCTCCAATTAGCCAACTCTCCTCCAGGAAGTTCCTGACCACAGGTCTTAAGACAGCTTCTCACCCTGAACCCAGCCAGCTGCCCCCAGAACGGTGCATCCACCGCCTCGGCTGGTACCCGCCACCCTGCGGCCACCTGTTGGGCAATGCCAGCAGCCTGAGAACTGTTAGCAACGGCCACCGGAACTGAACACCATGTACCGTGCAGTTCTGGCTGCCCAGACTTGTCCCCACCAGGAGTGATCAGTGAAACTGGGGCATCGTGAAGGATCACCAATCAATGAAAATAGTATCAGTCATTTCCCAAGCACCTACTATGTGTTAAGCGCTCTACCCGTGTCTCATGTTCAGTATTTAATCTTCGAAATAATACTCTCAGCCAGCTTTTTATAGAGGAAGAAACTGAGGGTCAAAGAGGTTAGGTAGTATTTCCAAGGCCACGTAGCTGCTTATGTGGCCAGGACTTGAACTCCTTGCCCTGGTAGCCCTTCCTCGGCCCCACGGCCGTGCCCCCAAGGACACGCATCCAGGTCTTGAATTGTCACCCTTTCCCAGAATATTTAAACCAGACACATCAAGGAACCAAAAGAATGAGCATCTAACGGCTAATTCTTCAGGTGCCCCCAAAATCAGGGAGGGGAGATAGTTCTGGGTAGAACTTGATCTAAGGGCCTGAAGCAAGTGGCAAGAAGCAGCCCCAGCCACCCCACTAAGAGGGAGACACGTGGCCTTGACCCAGGGGGGAGAGCGGCCAGTCGCAGGCCCAGGATCCCATGGGCGGGGCATCTGTCCGTCTGCCCTGCGTGTCCTTGTGATCTGTTAGGCTTACCAAGCCTCGAAATAGGCTGAACACCGTCGCCAGGAGGAGACACACGACCAGCAGGAGATCAAAGGGTCTTCCCAGCAGGTCCTTTGCTTGGACTTCCTGAACGACCTAAAACAGAGTCCGTGACCAATGTGCAGGGGGCCCCCCCTGTGCCAAAGAGTCGGCGGTCCCCGGACTCACGAGCACCGCAGCGGTGGGTGAGGGAAAGCCGAAGACCCACAGTGCATATGGTGAGCCACCAGCCGGGTAACGAGCAAGCTCATTTTCCCCTCGAGCCTCTGTTTCCTCATCTCTGAGGTGAGCAGACGGGCCGTGTGGTACTGGAGGGCCCCTCAGGCTTTGGGCCCCTAATCTTCCTTGAAATAGCATTTTTGGGATTCTAAATGTTAAGGCACACTTATTTTAAAAAATAAACCATAAACCTGCCACCGTACTGCTAGTAGTTCTATTTTTTTTCCACAAAAATTGGGACTGATTGTATACACTGATTGTATGACTTTTGATACCCAACCTCTACCTACTTTCCCACATTAGTGGAAAAGTCTTCCAAAAAGTGACATCATAGGGAAGCACCGTATTTTAGCTGCTCTGCCACTGCTGGACATCTAGGCGTTTTCACTGCTACATTCACGGTGGTGACAAGCAGCTCTGCACCTCAATCTCGGACCAGCCTCCCTCACGATTTTCTGAGGCTGGGGCCCTTCCGTTTGCAAAGGTTGAGAGTGTAGCCACATCGCTTTGCAGGGCGATGCCGAATTTAGGTTTCTGCCTGCACCGCATGATAGCGTCCACTTCTCCCTGGCCATCTCTGCGTCTGAACAGCCTTAAAACATAGCGGTAAACAGTTCTGTGTCTTATGACACCAATGCTGTTGGCCCATGGGCACGGAGGCCTCACAAGCCGTGGAGTGAGGACCGAGCTGACGGTCACTGTTTGCTTTTTCTAACGAGCACCTCCTTCCCCGGAAGGAGGTCAGGGGTCCCAGTGGTCAGCGTGCCAGCTTCAGTTTCCATGGCAGCCGCCTGCCCGTTAACAGATGAAAGGTTTGTAAACCAAAGTGTATTTTAATGAATCCTGTTGTAAATCTTTCTTATTATTTTTTGAGAGACAGAAAAACTGATGCATGGCTGATGCATTCGTTTGGTTGATACTCGTGCGTGCCTGACCGGGGCTCGAACCTGCAACCTTGGCCTATAGGGATGACATTCAAAGCAGCCGAGGTACCCGGCCAGAGCCCTATGGTAATTATTTTTGTAAAATGAGTAATCATGTTCTGATTATCTCTAGTAATGCATATTTTCATGTATCAGTTTTGCTCAAGGGTCTACCCTTAAAAGGAAGAGGAACATAGGAAGATGTCACTAGCTTAGAAAAGAAGACCATAGTGTTTCGCCTTGACCGCTTGGCCGTGATGGAAGGGAGCCGTCTCAGAGGCGTCCTGTCGCTGGTCCCCACGGGCCGGGGTCTGTAGGTGGTCAGGCCCTGTGGCTGTGTGTGCCACCTCAAACGCCGTATCCCTCCCTCCCCTCGTGGCAGTAAATGCACAGGCGCCTCTGAAAGGTGCTCAAACCCCAGGCCCCAGACAAACTGCCCATCAGCACACATGCGGGATGTGAGGAGCAGCCCCACCGAGGTGACCGCTGTCACAGGCAGCAGGCATATGCAGACAGACGGCCTTGGCCCCCAGAACCAACACTGCAGAAGCGACACAGCCCCCCTCCCATTGGTGCCCGAGCACCCCAGTCCACGGAGGCCCACGGCTCCGCAGCTGGTGGCTGAGCGTGAGCCCCAGGAGCGTGAAGACAGGTTACAGTTAACTCAGTGAGAATCACCTTGGCGGGATAATGGTGATTTTCTGACGGCTGGTGATAGATTCTGCAGCCGGCCCAGACAGGGAGGCAAGTGTACAGTATGCTCAAGAAAAAGGCAGGGCAAAGGCGGGCTCCATACTTCCCTGTTTTAAAGAGAGAAGGAGATCATGAACATTTGCCGGGAACAGACAGGGACAAAGGTGACATCCAGGGCTCCTCCTGCCTCCCAAGTCATCTGAAATGTCGCTATGGACAAGGCGATATTTTTAACAACAACGAAAAAAGGAGGATCAACTCGAAACTCCGTTAGCTGTTTGACAGGCATGTTCTCGCTTTTAAAGCATATTTATGATACTACTTCATGTCTCGCAGGCATCGATACCCTCATGGACACTGGCTTTAAAGAGTCTTCATTTTCGAGTACACTTACTGAGTTCCCATAGTGTGTCCATTATTTACAGAGTGAGGACAACAGTGGATTTAGGTTGTTCATATGGAAAATAATACAATAAACAAGAATACAAGAATAAACTCTTTCTCGTACTACCAAGTGTAAACCTACTTTTGACCCGCTCTGGGTATTACGACAGTTACAAGAAGTATTTGCACACTGAACGTAACCACAAACATAATACTCATCCCCTTTGGCCCCTCCGCGAGTCAGGAACCAGATATTAAATTGCCTAGTTGCTGAGAGCACACTTCTGAAAACCAGTGACGGGCATTTCGAAGAGGAAAAAAGGAATAATTCCGCAACACAGCTTCCTGGTTCCATTAAAACCAAAATAGCTTCTATACTTAAGAACAATCCCCATTGCTTCAGGAGAGGAGAGCGAATTGGAAGGTCAAGGTTCTTACCTACAGTGTTTCCCGGCACAAAAACAACCATGCTCATCATCATAGATCCCACCCAGTACAGGCCGATGGCTCGGTAACTTTCCCTGGAACGGAAAAGTCTTGGCTCAGAAACACTACCGTTTGCAAAAGATGACCCAGGACAGTGTCTGTATTCTAACCGGTGAGTCGAACCTCACTGGGGAGTCCTAAGTCACACACAAGGAACCCTGGTGAGCAGACAGGGTTTCCGTGTGTGATACACCGTAGAACCCTCCTTGTGTCCTTGTGACTGGGAATCCCGCCTGCTGACTATGACACACTTGCCACGGTGAAGGGGGCCCTGCGTGTTACATGTGGAACGAAAAAGACGACTCAGCCAAAGAACGGAAAGTGGACTGATATCCTAAATCGGGGTAGGTATGTGTGGTGGGACGGTGATGGGCTTTCCCTGGTGTCACAGAATTTGGGCCAAAACCCAAAAGGTGACAACAGGAAGTGACATATGCCCCTGGTCTCCTTAATAGGCAACACTGACAGGAAGATCTTCCCACTGATATCCACATAACCCACCTCCATACGAGCTCTGAGGTGTTCCGAAGGAGAGTCTCAGCAGGGACCAGAGTGGAGCAGACTATGTGTGTCCCGCCCTGCCCCCCTCCCCACGCCAAACCCAGAGGTCCCCAGAGGACTATTCATGGTGGCGGACGGTCCACCGTGGTGGAAGACCAGCAAGCACCTTCTGTCCCAGTGGGTGTTCCCGGGCTGCAGAAACCTTGGCCCACTCCTGACAGCACCCAAGCAGAGCCCGGGCATTCTCAGAAGAACCTGCCGGGTTGCCTAGAGCCTCACTGCCGGGACAGGTGCCGTGCAGGGGTCTCCAGAGAGCCTACGCATAAGCCCCAAGACACAGACCAAGACCCTGCCCGCTTGCTTTCAACCCCACGCACATACAGTCCCAGAGAAGCCTGCGCCCACTGGCTTGAGAAGGAATAAAAGGACAGGCCCCTACCCGTCTGGGCTATACCCAAAGGGCGGGGAAAGAGCAGCTTTGGATAAAAATGAGCTGGGCTGAAACTCCCAGAATGACTGTTCTCGCGAGAGAACGTAATTGGAAAGCTGAGGGGTCTCTCTGAGCTGTCGCCGTGGCAGGGGGACACCCAGAGGGACACGTTCAGAGGTCAGGGAAGCAAGTACAGCAGTGTCTGACCGTCTCCGCCCGGCGCATGCCTGCAGGTCCGGGGGTGCCCGTCAGCGTGTTTGCCTCGAGGGACATTCTCCTCACCGACTGGCGTCTCAGCTGCTAAGGTGGCAAAGGCACACACACAGACACACACCAGGCGAAGTGACTTACTCCCAGGCGATGGCCGCCACCATCACCAGGTACATGAGATAGTGCACGGAGCCATCCCAGTAGCAGAGCATGTGCCCATGCGCAGTGTTCAGGTAGGGTTCGCCCTGAGGGAAGCACAGAAAGGAAGTCGGCGTTACCTGGGACTCAAACACCGGTGGGGAAGACCGGACCTGTATCGCAGGTAAAATAAAACACAGCTCATGGGCGTTAGTCTGCTACAGTGAAAGAGCCCTTCCCCTTAGAAAAGGACAAAGCTGGCAGGAGGGCGAAAATAGAACTTGACCCTGCAGCCACCAACACCCTGGGCCCTTTGCTCTTCCTCGCCTTGTCCTGCCTGGGTGAGCTCCTCTCCTCCCAGGTTACGAGGTACCAACTGTGCTCCTGCAGCTCCTGTCTCTCCACCGGGGCCGTTCCTCACCCTCCAAAGCCCTGCCAGCTGGGACGCCCGCCAGGGTGTGTGCCTCCACCGCCTGAGACTCCACGTGTCCCCAAAGGAACCCGGCATCAGAACTTCGGACCTGAGCCCCAGCCGGACAGAGGGGAGACACGGCCTCTTTCTCATCTCCAAGCTTTGGCCCCAACTGTGCCTTCCCCTTCAAAGGCCCTCCGTCTTCCTAGGGAAGGTTCACTGTCTGCTGCCATTGCCACTTGTTTTTTAGCGTGAGAGCAGTGTCACGCACACCCTGAGACCTCCCCCGCCTGTTCTGGTTCCGTGGGCTCCATCCCTGCACTGGGACAGAGCTCGGGACCCAGAGCCCACTACGACCGACCTCTGGGGAACTGCAGACCACCCACCACCCCGTGCTGCTCTGGGCTTCAGCAGCCAGCACTCTCCCCAAAGCAGGACGTCACTCCCTGTCACCCCGGTTCATCCCAGAGTCCCCCTCCGAGCCACTAGAAGCCTCCTGACCGGTCCCAGCTCGACGCTCTGACCCTTCCCTTCAAGCCCTTCCTCCCCAGGCTGACTGTGCGTCTCCTGATTTCAAACCTTCCTTCATACACAGGATAGAATCCAAACTGCCTTAGCTCGTGTACAAAGCTCCCCATTATTAGAAACGTAGGAAGACTCTCAGCTCTGCTCCTATTTCCTGTGTGACCTTGAGTAGATTGCTCCACCTCTCTGGGGCTGGCCCCATCACCCCATAAAATAAGGAAATAGGACTAACTCTCAGGTCCCAGGAGGCTCTGTCACGCTGCAATGGGGAGTGGGGGGTCGTCGCAATCAAACGGCTTCATTAAGTGCCTCGGCATCTGGTACTTTACGCACCTAAGACTCACTCGGGCCTTCAGATGTAGTGATATTTTAATAATATTACACAAATCCTCCGTTCATTTAAAGGACCTCGTTTATACTAAACACAAGGAGGGTTTAGTGGGTCAGGGGTGAGAGGGCAGAGAGTCGCATCCTGTGACCTAATCCCCACTTTCCGTGTGAAGAAATGGCCTCTGTCCAGGGCAGTCAGTGACATGCCAGGTACCGCACCTGCTCACACGGAGGGACAGGAGTTCGCCCAGAGCAGAGAGGTTCACGCGGCCATCCCTGGGGTGGAGGGCTCAGCCCGGCGAGGCGGTGCCTACCTCTCTCAGGTAGTGTGCCATGAAGCCGTCAATGACGCCGTCCTGCTCCAGTCCCGTGATGAGGTTCACCACGCTGGTAAAGCCAAACACTGCGTACACTGGGGGCAGAGGGCAGAGGGCAGCGGTTTACAGCGAGCAGCTGGGAGATGGCGGCCAAGAGGCTGGCGTTGGCCACCAACGATGGATTGTTTCAAATGTGTTCCAGGAGACCCTGAGGACGCTGTCATCGTGGACTAACAGGACGTACCTCCAGCACACAATGAGGGAGCACCATCCATGCCATGGCTCTGACCTCACACTGCCCAGTGCGCTCAGGGAGGGGACACCCACCGTGGGTAAGAGTGAGGAACTCACCCCCTGACTCCCTCCTTCCCCCACCTCCTCCTGAGTGGCTACCCAGGGTCACCCCTGCACCCCACCTGCACAAAGCCTGTAACCAGCGGCTAAAGCACAGAGGTGACCCCCAGGTGGATTTAAAATGATGACGCAGGACAGCTCGTTCAGCTCCGTGATTCCCAAACAGGCCGGCTCACCGCGTGTCTGGCCGCACCGCACTGCCTCACCCACCGTCCCCAGCACCCTCTGACCTCCGACCTGGACTCTGCACCAGCTCCTCAGGCTTCCAGCTGGAAGAGGGTGGGGCCCGCAGCCAGGGACAGGTGTTGGCTTGGAGGAGAGGGCCGTGTCACCCTGGAAGGCTCCTCCACCTCCTGCCACTTTACCCTTGGGCGCGGAGGCTGCCTCGCTGAGCTATTGCCATGGGGACAGACGTACCGTAGAACAGCGGGTCCCGGGGTGCTTTTCTTTTGACGAGGATTCGAGCTGACAGGGCTACCAGGAGCAGGATGAGGGCGGCAACCGCTATGCTCGTCCAGAAGCTGGGAAGACCAGAAGAGGGAGGGGGTCACTGATCAAAATAAACACGCTGAGGCCGGGAACTTCCTGGCGGTTGAATCCAGTCACTGCCCACTCTGCTTCTGCCTGCAGCCCCAACCCTGTGCAGTCAGCGACATTCATTGACAGCACCCTGGCCCCTCCGGGTTGCCCACTGTGACTTTGGGGGGCCAGAGGCGCCAGGGCCTCGCGGTCTTGTCAGCCAGCCCCCCTGCACCGATGATGTGTCAGGGCGGCGGCTGCTTCCGCTCCTCCCACCGCCGTTCCCTTCGCCTGACAGGCCACCTCCCTCAGTACCAGCCAGGAACTCTCAGCCTGAGCTGCAGGACCCAGGCTGGAGGCACAGTCATGCACACGTCCCAGGCCTAGGACGAGGAAGAAGAGCCACAGGCCATGTATGTGTCATCCCGCGGACCCAGGGCCGAGGCTGGTCCAGGGAGAGAAGAGTCTGGGACATTCCTGAGGCAGTAATGAAAGCAGCCACCCACGCCCGGGGCCGGCGAGCCAGCACCCTACCCCACACCCAGAAAGCCACGGCGAGGCAAGGCTGGGCACAGCCCCTGGGGCTTCTCCTGAGGGAAGATAGAGTGCCAGGCAGACCGGGGGCCACGCACCCTCCTCTGTGGGCAGCAGGCGGCCAGAGGCTTGGTGGACGTAGCAGTCTGGAGGCCTGGATTCTGATGGCCTCATGGTGTGACCTTACGAATACCACGGCATTTGTTTTAGTCAGTTTATTTGCTCATTTAAAAACATATTGAAAAAGAAATGTATTCTGCACCCCTATGTGCCAGGTAGGAGCGGCCCCTGTATGCACGGGGGGGACCTATCTCAGTGGACTTGGAGCTTGCCCGCCCTGGGCGCCACCTCTGGTCCCTCAGAGGCACTCCCCCCGCCACCTCCAACACCCGCGGGGCTCTAAGTTCCAGGCAAAGCACAGCCCGGCCCCTCTGACGGCCTACAGCGCACACCATAGCCTCCAGGACAGCCCTAGAGAGCCGTGGGAATCAGCGCCACAGCTCGACAGGAGCGCCTGAGATAAGCTTCACCCACCTCCCTGGGCTTCTGCAAAGCACCCTCCTTAGTCACAGGTTCCACAGCCCGCCGACACCCACTCGTAACTGAGGGACCAACGCAAGCTGAAGCTCCTTCCACGCACCTCCAGCTGGGATGCATGCCAGGCACCAGTCAGAGATCTGCCCCCAATGTCACAGTCGGGAAGTGGCCCTGCCAGCCTGCAGCTGGTGGGCCCAAGGACACAGGCCCCAGCTGCAGGAACCTCATCTCCGCGGCATGCAGACGGCAGGGGAGCGGGCCTGGGTATTAGCTGTACCCCGGATTTGCAGGAGTGGGGCAAAGGGGTGGATGACACAATTTAAGAATAAGAACACATGTGACCACGTGTCCAGGTAAGAGACCAAGACAGGAAGTTCCCAGCGGTGCACATCAGTGATACTCCTCCCGCGGGAATGGGCCAGCGGAGGGGAGGAAGGCACCGGAGGCCGATGCGGGTTGAGAGCATGAGGCTGAGCTGAAGCGTCCCTCGAAGAGGACAAGGGTGAGACGTGCTGTGTAAGCGGACGGGGATGTTCATCGCCACCGGAGGCAGACGGTGGCGGAAATGACCCCCATCCCTGCTCCTCCGAGGACGCGGGCTGACCGCAGCAGCATCACGGAGCAGGTGCGCCTGGAGCCCAGAGAGCAGGTCACTGGGTCACCGCGTCCTCTCACGCTCTTGCCTCTGGAGGAGGCGCGGAGACGGGAGGGAAACTGGGGCAGCAGTCCATTTGTGTCTCCCAGTGACAGCCACCACGGGCAGGACCCGCTCAGAACAGGGACAAAGGGGTCCGGCAGGGACTGGAGAATGGGGGGCAGGGGGAAGGCCTTTGACTGACCCGAGGGTGGGAAAGTTCTTCGTCTTAGAATGGGGGGGTGGGGTGAGCAGAGGTTATTGGTGCCCTTCTGCGAACAGAGACACCTGAGAGGGGACATGTGTGGGTGAGAATGAGCAGTGTCTGTGTCTGTGTGTGTGGGTGTGTGTGTGTGTCTGAGAGGGACGGACAAACAGATCCCAGCCCTTTCCTGACTCCTCAACGTAATCTGCTTTTTCTGTTCTTCAGACTTTTGTGAAAGGTCTGATGGGAAGGGATTAGCTTCACGTAATTTCAACTTAACTGAAGGCCTGCTACGCACCAGGCCCTGTGCCCAGCAGGACAATACAAAGGTGAGCAACGGCTGGGAAGGAAAGTTCCAGCCAAGGAAATAAACACTTGTGGGAAAGGCACAGTGGGGGGGAGGGGCAGGGGGGATGGTGAAGGAGGCAGAGATCACATCTGCTTGGAGGGAGGGTCTGGAAAAGGAAGAGCTGGCATTTCACTCTGGGTCATAAACTGCAAGGGTGGCTCCAACAGCTGGGGACAGGGAGGAAGGGAGACCAGCACGCACAGTGGAGAGCAGGCGGGGTGGTGAAGGAGTGTGCAAGGGGCACAGAACAGTCTGGTGCGGCTGAAGGTCGAGTGTGAGGGGTGGCCCACCGGGGCAGGGGGTCCCCGACAGAGGCTCTGCTGCGGGTCCCATTCAGAGAGGGCCTGAGCCAGGGGGCACCGCATGGAGGGCATCGTGGGGAAGGGGCAGTGGAAGGAGGCAACTGGGATTCCAAGTGCAGGAGGATGGGAAGAATGGAGGGAACCTGTTCGTCACCACAGGACTCAGCAGTGTGCTCAGGAACACACGCACTCAGTAAATGGCCGTCCTTCTCCACCCAGTGGCTGAGGCCAAAACCTCAGGGTCATCCTGAAATCCCCTCCGTGCCATGCAGGCCCTCATTAATCTGTGTGGCTCTCCCTCTTAAACATGGCCACCACCAGCCACGCCCCTCTTTCTGCACTGCCCCCACTTCCTCTACCTGGAAAGCTCTGTCCCCAGATGGTCCTGTGGCCACCTCCTCCAAGAAGTCTTTCCTGACTACCAGTTCCCTTCCCAGTCACTCTCCTGGGTCGCCCCGTGTTGTTTGTCAATCTCTATCTCAATGCATGTCTCCCCAGCCTTCTCCGACTTGTTCACAGCTATAACCCCAACTCATAGAACAGTGCCAAGTATACTGTAGGTACTCAATAAATATTTGTCGAATGGCCCAAAAATGCCATCTAAGGAGGACAGGGACTGCACTATGGTCACAGACTTGTGACATTCACAGCCCAGAGTTGTGTGTTCCAAGAGACGTGCCGGGGACTGGGTCACACCAAGGACAGTCACTGCCGGTGCCCAGCGATCAGTCGGGATCAGTGGCCGCCATCTGGATAAGGGGGGCAGTGAGTGGTGGCCCCAGCGGCGACAGGAGGAAGTCACGGCCTTATGGGCAGACAGTTCCCCGCAGCCTGGAGGCTGGAGGGGGGTTGCTGCCTCCAGTCTGACGCAATTTCCTTAGCACCAGCTGCTGCGGGTAACGCAGCCGGTGACTTCCCTCTGCTGCAGACAGCAAGGCACGTCGGCAGGCACGAAGTCTGGCACCCTTCCCACAGGCCAGGGTGGCCTGCCACTGCTGGTGTGGGGTCCCTGCCTGAGGGGACCCCTTACTGTGGACTGAGGGGCAGGGCTCTGAATGGGGCACTTCAGCCTCACCCACTTCCTTAGCAGGGCAGCCTTCCTCCCCACACCCCATCCCACCCAGTCTCCTCCAGTCCCAACACAGGATGCAAGCGCAGGCCATCGGGCAGACCGGAGCACCGAGACGAGGCCGCCCATCAGGGCACAAGCCAGGCTAGGTAGAACCCCGGGCTTTGCCCATCGTGGTTCAGGGCTGTTTCTGCTGGCCATTCTGAACAGTTTCTAAAATTACTAAGAAACGATAAGTATGCGTGTGTCCATACATGGAAACATTCCTGCGAAAACTCCGAACCAGGCAGGAGCAAGACCAACCCCCCCCCAGCTCGTTGCTGCGGGTGTCTCACCGCCCCCCAACCTCGCCCCTGAGCACCTCAAGGGCAGGGGCATGGCCTCGCAGACCTCTAACCCGGGTACCTGGCACAGCGCTGGCACCGAATGAGTACCCAGCACTTGGCCCAGAATTGAGCTGAATAGCAAGAATGCCAGCCTGTGAGCGAAAACCCGGGCCGGTGCGACCCCTCGGGTGCCTCCCCTCCTGCCCCTGGGCGGACGCAGCTCCCGGCACACCCGCGACCCACGGCTCTGCGGTGAAGCCTCAGCCCCACCTGAAAAGTTGCCGCTCTCCTGCTGTCCCTCGGCACTGCCCCCCGCCCCCCACGCCCCGCGCGCCCACTCACTGCTGCTGGGCCGCCAGGTGGTTGAAGACATAGGTGACTGGGATGGCCGAGAGGGACAACATGAAGACCCCGGTGGCCGCAGAGGCACTCATTGCTGCCGACCCGCTCGCCCTTCACAGCATCCCGTGTGGGCGCACCCCGCCCCTGCTTCCGGCGGTGCCCCGTGGCCGAATCCTCGGAGCAACCGGCCAGCGCGCCCCACGCGAGCTCACAGTGCCCCCAGCCGCCCAGCGCGCAGGGCCGCCCTGCAGCCCGGGGTGGCGCCCTCGCCGTTCTCCAGCCCTGGGGCGCCAGGGCACAGACGCGAGCTCGGGGGCGTGCCGAGGGGCGGCGACAGTGGCGGTGACAGCCCCCTGCTTGGGGACAGGTGCTCCCGCAGCACGCGCTCTCCGCAGGAAGGCTGCGTCACAGCGGGTAGCAAGTCTTGGACAACCTGGGGAGGCTCCGGGTTGAGGTGCGGGCCAGCTCGGGGCTGGGGGTAGGGGTGGAGCCAGACCCCGGGGGTGTGGCCGGAAGGGTCCTGGAGAACATCCACGTGGAGAATTTTCCCCCAGAGTCGGGAAGGGACAGATGGACACCTAGGAACCACTCCACGGGGCAGCCATCAGCAGGCAGCAAGCACAGCTCCTGAGTGGAGTCCAATTCCTGTTTTACGCCCAAGGTCGCCAGCCGTTGACCTCGGTCCAGTGACGTTGTATCTTTTTCGTTTCTCTCTGAAATGGGGATGCCGCAGGTCAGCGTGATTTTGGATCCCCTGGGTTAAAGCACTTACCCTGCACTGTGGGGTCACCTGCAATTCCCATTTTGGGGATTGAAACTGGCACTGGGAGGAAGGCCGTGACTGAAGTCACTCCAGCCCCGCTCCTGTCTATCCTATCAGCCTTCCCGCCAGGCCCTACAGGGTACAGGGACCCCGAAGACAAGACTCTGCACACAGGACATGGTCAGACAGGTGCCTACTGGTTATAGGGAGAAATCAGTGCACGTATTCCCCTGGCTCCGTGAGCACGTTGGGGCGTAGGTCTCAGAAGGCCCCCGGGACTGAGTCTGGATTGGTCTCCGGGTTGGGAAAGAGAAGGGACATGCGTTTCAGACAGAGAACAAACAGCTCCCAACAACTGAGGGAGACAAGACATGTACTTAGTGTCCTGACAACTGCCCTGAGCTGACAAGACCACGAGTACAAGGCTTGGAAAAGAAGCCGTGACCTGCTCCGGCGTCACCCAGCCTCTCTAAAGCCGGCTCTCCCATCCTGAGTCCGGGAGAGAGACTCGCCCGAGGTGAAAACTGCTGCTCAAGGGGCGAAGAAGAGGGAGGGTGGGTTTGAATGCAGGGTTTCTGAAACGTCACATACGTCCCCCGACGCCACAGCCAACCAGTAGCAAGGCACCACGTTGGGCACCTAGAAATGGTAGATGGACACGCTGTAGGTGTGGCCATTTGTCTCATTCGATGCCCGGGAGGCCGTGGTCTCCCTGGCCTTCTGCTCCAGGCAGATCCGTAATTGTTAAGCTCCCACTTGCTTGAAAAAGGGTTGGCTATGACTTAAAATTGGGGGCATTCAGACAATAACGCTGTTGTTTGATTTTTCAAGAGCGGCACTCTTGTAGGCCAAGGAGGCTAGTGTAGCTGTGAAATTTGACTCCAGGCTTCCTGGAAGCAAAAATAGAACCTTGGACAGTCTCCCTGCTGCCCATTCCCTGATGAGAAAGATACAGTTCTCTGTCATGTCAATCCAAAAATAACTGACCTAATCAGGGACTGAACAGAAGGGCCCATCACCATGCCCGTGCTGGCCACGGAGAGGAAGCGAAAGCGGAAGTTGAGGGAATTGTCCCCAGGAAGTAGGAACTAAGAAGGAAAGTCGCTGGGCTGGGCCGCCGCCGCACAGGGAAGTCAGTCCCCACCTCACTGTTGAGCCCCCAGCCCTATGGTGCGCTCTCTCCCCCCTTCACCTGTTTTCATTCTTCCAACGAAAGTTGTGTTTGTGTTCTTATGAAAGGCCGCACACGGTAGATCAGTGATTTTCACCTGGTGTGCCGCAAGAATGTTTAAACCATGCAATACCTGATTATTTCATCGGGGCCAACGATCTCTTTTCCCTGAGGTTGTCAAATTAAAAAAAAAGACAACAGCCAACATAACCATAGCTAGCTGTCCAGTATGAATGCGTCAAAATTATGCCTATTTTTTCGTCCGATCGGCCCAAAAAATGTACTTTCTGGTGTACCGTAGAATTTCAGTGATTAGTGTATGTGTGTCACGAGATGACGAAGGTGGAAGGTTGCTTCTGCAGAGGGACTCATAAGGGGCTGGCAAACTGCCCGATCTGTGGGGTGTGCAGGGATGCAACACATGACCGGAGCATGACCAGGACGAGGGTGGTGTGCCTTGGCGGGTAGATCACTAGGATCCTGTCCAGAGAAGGGACCGCAGAGGGACCAGCGTACTCAGAGAAACACGAAGCGACTCTAAAACACTAAGTTACATCAAGCACCAGACGCTTCTGTAGCTGGGGTCGCTCAGAGTACGGCTACGGTCACTCAGATGGGTGTTTTTGGGCAACGGTGGCTGTGTGCCCCGCACTTAGCACCATGCCAGGTGTAGATGTTCACTGAAGAAAAAAAAATGAGGAAGCAGAGAAGGTGGAGTTAAAAAAATTTTAAAAGGAGAGACGTAGAAAGAGGGGAAAAGGAGGAAGCCTGCAAGAAAGCGATAAGAAAATGAAGGGAGAGGTGAAGTTAGAACATAACACATTTGTCAAAAGGTCTTGTGCAGTTGCTGCCTGAGGCCTGTACCATTGTCCTGGGTTTCCTAGCAACCAAAGCAAGAAGGGAAACACAATCAGCGATCACAGCAGGTTCGCAGTGCCCAAAAGATAAGAGCGGATCAGGCGCTCCAAAGAATTCTCCCCTGGGTCCTCTCAAAAGGAACACGGCGTCATACAGTATGTCCTCTGCAACGCTTCCTACAATAAATATAGAAGCTGATTCTGGACAAGTGTCTCTTGGTACGGCTTCCACACAAGTGACTGGCTAAGGGCCAAGAGCCCCTCGGTATACTTTGGAAGTCAAAAGAATTTCCTACGAAGGAGCATCTTTCTGAAGCTGGATAAATGTCAACAATATCTGGGGGGGGCAGGGATGGAAAATACCTCCCTGGCACGCACACCGTCAACTTCCAGTGAGCAGTCGACCGTCACGGCCAAGGAGGTCACGCAGAATGACAGAGAGGGGCAGGTAGGAGGCCAGTGGCCTTCGCGGTGCCAGTGGAGTGGTGGCCGAAGCCAGACTATTGGGATGAGGGTCAGGGGAAATAGTTATATATGTGTGGGTACCAGGAAAAGTTGCCAGTAGAAATGGAGAGGTTGAAATCACACACACACACACACACACACACACACACACACACACACACACACACAGTCCCATAAGACAGTAAGGGGATGAACTCAAGACCCAAGGTGGAAAAAAACTGCTTTGAAAAGAAAGGAAATTTCTGAGGTGGATGGGAGAAGAGCAAGCCGACCTACTTATAACTGGGTTGATGCAGTTTCTGGTGCTGGGAAATGAGCAGAGATGGACAAAATGAAATGAACCGTGTTCCCATAACCAGCCTGGTCTATATTTACTTGCCCGTAACCAGAGAGGCAGCATGTTCTCGGGGGCTCTGAAACCCGGCCTGCTGCTTTGAATTTCTTTCTGGCCATGACATGCTTTTTCGTGGAAGGTCATATTTATATCGCGGCAACTGTGCTCGGGCTCCTTGGCTTATTTCAAAGATTTAGGACATGTGGGACAGATAATTCCAGCTCAGTGTCCTTGGAACCCTAGTAACATTTTTATGAACGCGACAGCATCCTTGATAATGTGTTGTAAACTGGACTAATTATAGTTATTTATCTTAAGCTTGATTGCATCGAGATAGCAGGCAGGGTGGCTAATAATAAAAGTACAACTGGACGGTTAAAATAAATGAAAAAGGAAAAACCGCAACTGGGACGAAAATGCAAACACTATTTAGCCTCCAAGGTAATTTCAGAAATGTACATTTCAGAGATGAGGCACCATCTATGAAATCATCCAAAATACAGTCAAACTATGAAGTGTGTGCAGGACAGACGGTGGGGAAATAGCAATACAGAATGACCACTTTAACTCAGTTCAGTTCTTTGAGTAACTAACTGCGAATACTTAGGGAGCATTTACTCCAGCTCAAACACTGTCCTGATGTGTGTATTCATCCAATCTGCAGTTAACCCTCCGAGGCAGAAGGAGTCACCATTATCATCCCCATTTTCCAGATAAGGAAACTGGGGCGCAAGGCGGTTAAGAAAATTGCCCAAGGTCATGAAGAAAGTAAGTGGCCAAGCTGCAGTCAGATGCCTGACCGCAAAGCCCTGCTCTTAACTAATTCTGCGCCCAGCAGTTTTCCCAGCTTCTTCCCACTAGGGGTGGCCCTCTCCCTGATGGCTTTTTAATTTCTGGAGCCAGACCCCTGGGAAAGACTCCTCAGAAACTGGACCCTCAAGAGGGAAGGGGATATTGTTTTTTTAGGGCTTAGGGGAATCACACCTCTCTGAAGAGTCGTTAATGCTCGGCAGGAAATAGGTCAAGTGTGGGGATAACAAAATACCCTATGGGCTTAGACATCTTGGAGAGAGAGCTGCCTGTGTTAGTATTATCGCCAAGTTTGGAGAAGGTGTGGACTGGTTTAAGATTTAAATCAGATTCTATATTTATTTTCCCTTTTTTGCAAGAAGGGAAATCTTGGTTCCCCCCTAACTTTTCCTTCCCTTAGTCCCTGGAGCTTAAATTTGGCACGCGGGCATCACTGCAGCTCAGGAGGAGAGAGTATTATTTCACACACTTATCAGTTCCCTGCTGGACACGTGAGTCTTTTTCTGCCTTTAGCGTCTATTTATACCTACAATCCTCATCCTTTCAAACAGAGGGTAACTCGATAGCAGCTACATTTTCATGCACTGCTGCAATATAAAAATCCGAAAGACGTAATAATCACCTTTTATCTGTTTTAAATGTCCTCTCTCTCTTCAGCATTAAAATGATTTCCCAAGTAGAGCCTGTCCTCCTTTCTCCTGACTACCTTTTCGAGAGTATTACTAATTTTTTTTTTGTCAATAGCTCTGTTTCTTATAAGTCCTCACATTTGTTCTAATTATAAACTAGCAGACCTGGTGATATATACGACTTCCCTAGGCTGAATTCCAAAAGGAGAGCTCCAGGAGTGAGGTGAATTTAGTCTAGGGCATTGCACATGCCTTGGCTGCTGCATATTTTTTTTAATCCAAAAAGAAGTTTTGTTTCTAGCTGCACAGGTTGTAATGGGTGTCCCCCGCCTTACTAGTTTCTTGGGTGCATGAAATGGGTTCCGATCAGCTTGGTAATCTCACCCCCTGCGCCTTGCGCACCGTGGGCATGAGTGTGCAGCTGAGTTAGGTCGCATGGAGTCAAAGGAGAGCTGCTCCCCGGGAGCAATTCGGAGGACGTTGAAGGAATAAACTGCATCTTTGGGTGCAGACATGCTAGTATCCTTGCTAGAGCTCACCATGAGTCCATGCACAATTCGTACAGAGGCAAATCTCACCATATTTTTACTTGGTGGAAAAAAGCCTCTGAAAAACCACTCCCAATAGTTTCACTTCAAAAGAACCCTGAAAAAAAACCTCTTTTCTATTCTCAACTAAGAAAATAAAAAGTGGGAGGCATCACTCGCAATCCCATCCCTTTGCAATATACCAAATTAATAACAATGGTTATAAACGTTCCGTCTTTTATATGTATAACACAGACATTTAAACAAAATGGGGCACTCTGAGCTCATAGGTCGGAAGGGTAAGCTATACATCTTGTTCTGATCCTGCTCTTTCACTCAGCACTATCGATCCTTTCTCATATCAATAAACGTTCTTCCAAAGATCTTTATTGTTCCATCCTGTGATTGATTGGCTGATAATAGTTTCCTTTCTGTGAGCTCTCTTGGTCAGGGTTTGCTCTCAGAGTTAATTTAAGCCAGCGGTGTAATGTGAACTTGGAAGTTCGTCATCTAAGTTCTCAATAGTTTATTTAGCATCTATTCTCGGAACATGTGAAGGCATTCCAGTCCCAAACACTTGGCATGGAAGGATTTCCACAATGTATTAAGTGAAGGGGGGAAAAAAAGTTTCACAAGTATGGCACCGTTTTCATTTTCTAAAAATTGCACTCAGGGGTGTATTTCTTTAGATAGATAAGGTTCTTCAGTGCACAGGGAAAAGTGGAAAAGATCATCAAACAGGTAAGCATGGTAACTCCTGTGGGGCGGCTGCAACAAGAAAGAAGAGCCAGAATTATCAGTTCACTTTATACGTGTATCTCCATATACTCCTCTACGAGTTTTTCACATTTCATTTACGTTTCTTTTGAGGCATGACTTACGTGTAGTAAAGGACGTGTCTCCAGTATAAAGTTAAAACATTTGTACGTGTGTAAACACCTCCAGCCAATCGCATTTCCCAAAGGTGACTTAAGGATATGCCCAATGTCACATGGCTTCTACACAAATGCCAAAGAATCTATGTCCCTTCCTTATAAACCTGGCAGGCCTTTGCAAGCACCTGCAAAAGTGTGCAGGCCATAGGCTGTGTGACTGTCAAGGCTAGCTCTAAAAAGAGATAAAGCCTCTTCCTGGCTCTTAGTCTCTCCTGTCACTTGCCCTTGGAGCCGCCGTGCTGTGGGGAACCCCATTATGTACAGGGGCTCCTGGGCCCTCAACGCCAGCTGGGCTCCCAGCACTAACTTGCCAGCCACATTTCTTGGAAGTGGATTCTCCAGCCCCCAGTTAAGCCACCCCAGAGGGCTCTGGGTGGAGCAGAGCCTTCCCCGCCAAGCCCGGCCCATGTTGCAGATACACGAGAAAAACAAAAAAAACAAAACAAATCGCTGTTGTTTCTAGTTGCTGAGTTTTGGGCTGGTTTGTTACACAGTAATAAATAACCAGAACTACACCCACTAAGTTCTAGATAGAGAACATTTGTTAGCCTAGAAGTTTCCCTTATGGACCCTCCCAGCTGACAACCTCCCGGAACGGACCTGCTCTTCTGACCTCTAGCACCACATGTCAGTTTTGCCTACTGTGGGGTTTCATAGAAGTCATGGTGTTTTCTTTGTGGCTGGCTTCTTCTGCTCCACAAATTTATGAAATTCATATCGCTACATTATTAGGGTTTGTTCTTTTTCATCCATTGCATGGATACACACCACCATTTACACATTGTCAATATATTGTACTATTGACAATCCTTTGGCCACTTGTTATGGATAAAGCTGCTCTGCACATGCATGTACTTCCCTTTGGTGTGGGCACAAGTGCTAGTTTCTTTTGGATTCGTGCCCAGGAGTGGAACGGCTGGGCCGTGGAATATGGGTGTATTTCTCTTTAGTAGTGTGGCGGTTTTAAAACATGTTCACAAATTCTTCCATACTCCTCCATTAAGAGGTGGGGTCTATATACTCCCCACTTTAAATCTGGGCTGGTCTTAGTGACTCATTCATAATCGATAGGATTCAGTGGCTTTGACCTCACATGACTTCCAAGGCTAGGTCCAAAAAAATTATGCAGCTCCCCCTAGTTTTTGCAGGATGCTCACTCTGGGAAATTTCCAGCCAGCATTTCCTTAAACACTGCTTTTCCTCACTGTCTAGTACTCCATCACACATATGCTAGTTCTTTTAATTTTGCCTCATATGATTAACAGACATACATTCTTTTCTGTATTTTCTGCTCTTTGTACCTCTGGTGTTTCATAGTCTGCTGACATGTCTTTTAGTTATACTGTGTCGTGTTTCTAGGAATTTGTCCATTTGACCTAGGTTATTCAATTTGGGGGCATACAGTTGTTCACAGTACTCTCTTACAACCCTTTTGTTGTGTTGCATAGGTGGTAACATCCCCATTCTCCTTTCTGATTTTAGTAACTTGAGTCTTCTCTCTTTTTTTAGCCAGCTAAAGGTTTATCAATTTTGCTGACTTTTTGGAAGGACCACCTTTTGGTTTCATTATTTTTTTTAAAAGATTGTGTTTATTTATTTTTAGAGAGGGGAAGGGAGAAAGAGGGAGAGAAACATCAATGTGTGGTTGCCTCCCACGTGCTCCCTATTATGGACCTGGCCCACAACCCATGCATGTGCCCTGAATGGGAATTGTACTGGTGACCTTTTGGTTCCCAGGCCCCGCTCAATTCACTGAGCTACACCAGCCAGGTGGTTTCATTAATTTTATATACCGGTTTTCTGTTCTTGATTTTATCAGTGTGCTAATATTTATCCCTTCCTTCCTTCAACTAGCTTTGGGTTCAGTTTGTTCTTTTTTTCTAGTGCCTTAAGTTGTAAAGCTGGGTTGATTTGCGATCTACCATGTTTTTAAGGTGAGCGTCTGTAGCTGTAAATTTACCCCCAGCACTGCTTTCATTGCACTTGGTCTGTTGTGATTTTGTTTTTGTGTGTCTCTGAGTATTTTCTAATTTCCCTTGTGATTTCTTCTTTGATCCTTTGGTTGTTTAAGAGTATATTGTTTCAGCCTGCGAACTAAGGGATCCTAGTTCGATCCCCAGTTGGGGCACATACCTGGATTGCAGGCCAGTTCCCAGTAGGGGACACATGAGAGGCAACCATACATTGATATTTCTCTCCCTCTTCCTTTCCCCTCTGAAATAAATGAGTAACATCTTTTTAAAAAGAGTATATCGTTCCATTTCTACAATTTTGTGAATTTCCCAGTTTTCCTTTTCAAAAAAAATTGATTTCTAACTCCATCCTATTGTGGTCAGAGAAGACACTTTGCATAATATCTATCTTTTAAAATCTGTGAAGTCTTCGGTCTGTGTCCTAACATGTGGTGCACCCTGGAGGATGCCCAGGGTGCCCCGTCTGCCCTTGGGTAGAGCCCGCAGGCAGCTGCTCTGGGGAGTGAACTGTATGTATCTGTTAGAGCTAGGTGGCTCTACCAGGTAGAGAGGGGCTGTGCTATTTTTTGTTTTGGTACTTTTATAGTTTCTTTGAGATTTAAAATATGGCTAGCTTTGGGTAACGGATTGTAACCTTAAACAAAAATTCCGTGCGTCCACACGGATCCTCAAAAACACAGCAGAAGACAGCAAGAACGAAGAAAAAGGAAGGAGCTAGATTACAGAGGGTCAACTCTTATCTCCCCCCCCCCCCCACTACCTCCCTCGGCCTTGCCTTCCGCCCTCTCACCTTCCAGGTGAGAAACTCCCTGAGGGGGAGCCCAGGGACCTGTCCCAGATACACGGGGCGCTGCACCTGTTGTCGAGGACCGGGAGGAATGGAAAAGGAGGGAGCAGTGCGCATCCTAGACCCGCGGCGGCGCCGGGGCGTGGCCTGGTCGCGCGCGCGCGCGCTCGCTCTCGGACCGGCGGGGGCGCGCGGCTTCCGGAAGCGCATTTCCGGGAAGGCTGGGGGGCGGGGCGGCGATGGCGGCCGAGCGGCGGGCGGGCTTTCCGTAGCCCGAACAGCCGCGCCGCAGGATGGCTTCGCTTGGGCCGGCAGATTCTGGCGAGCAGACCCCGGGGTCTGATGCGGAGGCGGGCGTCGCGGGGCCGCCGCCGCCGCCGTCTCCCCTGGGGCCGCTGCTCCCCCTGCAGCGGGAGCCGCTGTACAACTGGCAGGCGACCAAGGCGTCGCTGAAGGAGCGCTTCGCCTTCCTCTTCAACTCGGAGCTGCTGAGCGATGTGCGCTTTGTGCTGGGCAAGGGCCGCGCCGCCTCCGCCGCTGCCGGGGGCCCGCAGCGCATCCCCGCGCACCGCTTCGTGCTGGCGGCCGGCAGCGCAGTTTTCGACGCCATGTTCAACGGCGGCATGGCCACCACGTCTGCCGAGATCGAGCTGCCCGACGTGGAGCCCGCCGCCTTCCTGGCGCTGCTGAGGTGAGCGGCCCGCGGCCTCGGGGTGACCTTGGCCGGGGCTCCGGCCCGCCTGCCTCGGCGTCGCTCGGGAAGGGCGACGTCCGACCGGGCGACGGCATCAGGGCCCCTGGGTGCCCACGTCCTGTCCTGTCCGGTCAGCAGGGCCCTGCCGTTGAAAGGCGCCCTCACGTCGCGTTCCAACAGGGGGTCGTCCCGGTGGCCCGTTTGCCCGGTTCTGTGTTTTGGTTGCGGGGAGGAGACCCCTTTTTTTCCTTTCAAAACACTGTGACCCCCTGATTTCTCGGCGTGAAGTGTCCGTCGTCAGGACCCGGGAGAGTCAGTGCCAACACAGTAACTGTGGGGTCACCTGCCTTGCGTTTCTGCAGACCAGGGTCCCGTCATCTTGGAAAGGAACGCTGCCGTCCGTGCTAGTTTTGCTTCTGGATTGTTGGGGTTACACTGACTCCTGATTAATTTCATGCAACGGAAGGGACCTACCAGTCTGGCATTATTATCTTTTATTAACAAAAGTCCACATAGGGAGGTATAGGGATCGTTTTCCACATTTTTGCAAAGGGGACCGAGGCCCAGAAAAGGCAAGTAACTGGCCGAAGGTAGCAGAGCCGGCTCCACTCCCAGACCCCCTGGTTTTCGCTGCCGGAGCCCACTGCGTTGTTATGACAGCAGCGGCGTCCTGGGTGGTACCCAGGCCCTGACCCGAAGGTCATTAGAACCAGTCGCTCTTCCAGACAGCCGACAGCTCAATCAGGGAGATCAATACGGAATTGAGTACAAATTCACACAAGTAGGAAGGATGGTTTAGGGAAAGGAGAACATTTACAGCTAATTAACAAAGAATGTTTAACCTCATTAGTAATTAAAGAAGTGCAGATGAGAAGGGAAGTACTTTTTCTCTTCACTTCTGGTTTGTGGGTCAAACCGGGAGACTGCCTTCCTCTCCGGGAGCCAGGATCCTGTGAGATTAAAATGAAGTGATGTGTGGGCAGGTGCACACATCAGGCTGCTCACATCATAGTCCTGGTGCACATTTCAGGTTTTCAGGTTGTGTGTTGTCTTCTGAAACTATTCCTCGGAGCTTGAACATTGATGGATTGCTTGCTTATGTGAAACATTACTGACCATCTCTGCAATTTCCAATTGCTTTCCAGGTTTCTGTATTCAGATGAGGTTCAGATTGGCCCAGAAACAGTTATGACCACTCTCTATACTGCTAAGAAATACGCAGTCCCAGCGTTGGAAGCACACTGTGTGGAATTTCTCACCAAACACCTCAGGGCAGATAATGCCTTTATGTTACTTACCCAGGTAGGTCCGTGTGCCTAAGAAGTGTGCCATTGTAGCTTGAAAAATTGGCTGTAACTATATGGATAGTTACTACTTCCTGTTGAATTAATCCTAGATCATTATTTTTAAGTAAAGGTAATTATTCTTACTGTTCTGTTCAGGGAAATGTATCAGATTTAAGTGATTTTAGAATGGAAAGGAATTAGAGTTAATACACTGTCATATAGGTGGAGAAATATAATGAGTAGGGTGCTCAGACTCAAAGTTACGTGGCTGTTCAGGGTGGCAGTTGGGATCAGGGTCCAGCGTGGTACCAGCTCTGATTGAGAGAACGGTAACGTGAAGTTTTCTGAACATTTATGCTCTCAATTTTTGGGGGGTCTGAAATAATCACTGAGTATTTAAAGTCTCAAGAAGTTCCAAAATTTACTGTCTTTGGACTTGTTATCTGTACCTTGCTGATGCACTCCTGGGGGAGTTAAAATTTAAGGCTTATATGAAATATGCTTTCTGTGACTTTAAAAAAAAAGTTCTCACAAAGTAAAGGAAAAGTACACATATCGTAAGTGTGCAGTCTGGTGTATTTCTACAAACCAAACACATCCATGGAACCGTTAACCAGTCCTTAACATACACTATTTAGCATTTGTCGAATGCCTGTAAGCTGAGCTTCGTACTTCAGACATAAGCAAATTGCTGTTTTTCTTTTAGGCTGTGTTATAATACTCTTGTATGAATTTTTTAAAGAAAATTCTAAGCCAGCCCCTAACCATGTGTTACAGGTTCAGTTGTGTCCCCCAGAATTGATGGCATGACATCCTGGTCCCCAGTACCTCAGAATGTGACCTTATTTACAGAAGTCAGCAAGTTAAGATGGGGGTGGGGAACTAAGTCCGTAACATATAAAACTTTCAAATATTATTACTGGCAATAGTCATGATGTCCCTAGCTCAACCCTTTCATTTTCCCAATAGAAAAACTAAAACCTGGCCTAATAAGTTACCTGCTAAAAATCTCACCACAGCCTCTGTGGGGCTAGAGCCCAGAGCCCCTGTGTCCCTGTTCTACATGCCGCCTGCTTGTAGAAAATGTGCGAGGGCACCTTTTTAAAGAGTCTGATTGTCCAGAAGTATTTGCACTTGCAGAATAAAGAACAAGCTGATCTCGCCTCTCCTTGGACATAATCACTGAACTCTGTGTCTATATATAGGCTGTGCCAGACATTAAGCTAGTCCCTTTATGCGTATTCTCACCTTGACTCCTAATTACAGCTCTGTTACATTGCTGCCTATTATTACCCCCATTTTAAAAGTGAAAAAATGGAAGCTTAGAGAGGTAAGTATCTGTGCAACATCAGACAGATACATTAGCAGGTGGTAAAAGTAGTCTCCCCTCACACCGGTAGTTAGTTCTCTAGCGGTGGTGATGCTGCTGACAACGAGAGTGGCGTGTGTCGGGCACCGCTCTAAGTCGTTCCCATGCACCGATTCACTCAGTGGTCAGGAGACCTTCAGGAGGTGCACGTGTCCCAGGTGAAGGTTTTCTTGTCACTGCGGTTGTGTCGGTGAGGCAGTGGAGGCCCAGAGAGGCGCCCTAACTTGACCAAGATAAAGAACTAATGACCGATCTTCTGCATTTTTCCCTTTTTTGAATTTGTGGTGAAACTCTAATAAAGAAGTTGATATTCACAAATTCTTAATTGTCCAAGGGGTTGTATTGTGTTATAGAGACGATCACATAACTACTTTATTTTAAAAGTTCAGTCTTAAAATTCAGAAGGCAGTAAATGAAAGTTTGACAATTAAAATATACTTGTGGTGTAGGAGGTCAGAGGTGGGGCCTGAGAGCCTGCATTTCTAAGGGCTTCTGGGTGGTGCTGGTGTTTCTCGACCACCCCGGGTGTAACAAGGGCTAACAAAGACCACTGCAGGGCAGAAAAGGACCTTCTCGGTGCCTTGTTGGTCTGAGAGCCCAGTTTTACTCCATGGTTTTCATTGGTGGGTCATGTGAATTAGTTAAACTGTCATGTGAACTTCTTGTTCCTGCCAAGGGAGTCATTTGGAATGAGCCTGCTCACTCACTGGAGGAGACCCAGCCCTGCTTCAACACCAAGGGCTGGCGCACCGTGCCAACTGATTTGCACAGGGAAAAGCACTTAGTACAAAGTGGTGCAGTCAGAGCGCTGTGTGATCAGAGCTGATGCCAGACTCTGAGAGGCAGCAGTGGGTTGCACGGAAACTTGATCCTGCCTGAGTAACTCGGGGGACTGAAGTTTGACGTTTCTGCTCTGAGTAAAGTAGTTCTAGTTCTTTAAAAAATTATTTTTCCTAGAGTGAAAGGCGAATTTTTGCATGGACACCAACTAAAGATACAGTTGAGTTGGCCGTTTAAAATGTTTGCCCATATTAGAATTTCATTTGTTAAAAATGTACTGTTTTTCACATCTTAAAAATGTATGAGCTACGATCCCAGACGGGATCCTGTGCTGGAAGGATGAGTGTTACAGACTCATTGCTGGGTCCACTGACGGACTGCACACAGAGAGTGGGTCAAAGGGCCGTGCTGTCAGTTAACACTGATGAGAGGGTGCCCTTACTCTCAGCAAGTACATATGGAGATATTTAAGGGTGATGGTGGTAATGTGTGTAATTCATTCTCAGATGGCTCAGGCCCCCTCCAAGTACGTACACACACACGCATGCACACGCACACACACACGTATATATAACATAAAATATACGTAGCCTGTTTTCCAGTGCACTACTTAACTTTGATCATTAATGAACTCTCTAGGTTATATAAGGCAGACATTATTACCCCACTTATATATACCCATATACATCATTCATGCTGTCATACAGATTTTGTGTTTCTATTTAGGGCTAAAAATTTATTCAAAACTAAGCAATTAATATAAACAAGCTTGCTAAATAATCTAAGAAGAGCATTTACAACTATATTTGAATATTCTATAATTTTAAGAGGTGTTCTACTGATTAAAATATATGTATTTATGTGTGTAAATATAATTATGAATCATATATTGGATTTATATATTTAAAATATAAGCCAGTGTGTTTAATGTATTCATCTCTCTTCTATAAAACACAGATAACTTTTATATATATATATATTTTAAGATTTTATTTATTTATCTTTAAAGGGGAAGGGAAGGAGAGAAGGAGAGAAATATCAATGTGTGGTTGCCTCTCATGAGTCCCTGCTGGGAACTGGCCTGCAACCCAGGCATGTGCCCTGACTGGGAATCAAACCACGATCGTGTGGTTCACAGGCCCGCACTCAATCCACTGAGCTACACCAGCCAGGGCCACAGATAACTTTTTAACTTAGTGGTATTTATCTCTTGTTCAGTAGCACCTGAGTTACCAAATCTTTTGAAAAATGAGTTTTACTTTAAAATTAAATGAAGAGTCATAAGCCACACCAAATAATGGTGTTGTCTGTGGTCCGGTCAACTGAGTGGCAGTGTTCGTGGCAGGTGTCCCCCACCCCCACGTGACCCCTGCTGAGCAGCTGGTGTTTGTCCCTGCCGTGGACTCAAAACGGCTGGCACTCGGCCGACGGAAAGATGGGCACACCTGTTATCACACCTCCCTTTTCAGCGTTACGGTTTTTTAACATCTTTTAACATCTCGTCTGAGTTTAGATTCCACTCCCGGTCCCTTCAACTTTTTAACTTAAAAAAAAAAAAGATTATAATGTGCATCCTGATAAAGCACATGTAACCCTGACTTCTGATTCCCAAAGCTTAGATTAGCTTTGCTGGAATCCTATAGCCTGTACTGTTTTGCTCAGTATATTTTGTGGCTTCTTTGGCTTATCATGTAAGTTTGTGGGATTCAGTCATATTGCTGTGAATAGTTGTAGATTTTCATCCTCGTTGTTGTCTGATATTCCTTCATGAAATCACATGAATTTATTTATTTGTTCTTTATTAGGCATAGTTTTTATTAGGTTCCCAGAGCCTTCATTACTTTAAAAGTCTGCTTTATTTTCTCCCACCAATCAACACAGGATATGGGAAAAGAAAATCTAATCTGTTTGTACCAGTATACTGGGCAATTGATAGTTTTTAGTGAAAAGATCATCAGAGCCCTGGCTGGTGTAGCTCAGTGGATTGAGCACGGGCCTGCGAACCAGACAATCGCGGTTCGATTCCCAGTCAGGGCACATACCTGGGTTGCAGGCCGGTTCCCTGCAGGCCAGCTCCCAGCAGGGGATGCACGAAAGGCAACCATACATTGATGTTTCTCTCCCTCTCTCCTTCCCTTCCCCTCTAAAGATAAATAAATAAAAATCTTTAAAAAAAAAAAAATAAATAAAAAAAGAAAGAAATTTAAAAAATTAAAAAAAAAAAAAAGATCATCAGACTTGGCTTTACGTACTGGCTTTGCAACGTAACTAGCTTGGTATTAGGCAAGTCAGAATACACCTCTCTGACCCTCTGTCCCCGTCTGGAGAATTGGATACTAATGTCTTGCTTATCTTACGAGGGTGTTCGGTAATGATTGAAATAAGTAATGCACAAGGAAGTGGGCAGTGGACATACACCCATGTGAGAATACAGAAACGGTGGTGATGTGACTCTGGTGTCCCAGCAGGACACTTGTACTTCCAGCCTTTTATTTCTGATTGTGGAATGAAAAGTTATAAGGATATCTAGATGTTACAACTATATTTTAAGTAGGTGTTTTTACAGTTAGTCATTATTACCGTTTACAGTGTTAACTTTGTGTATACACAGCCTGCAGATAAGATAGCTGTGGAAACAAAATCATGGTCTTTTCATGTTCAGGCTCGACTGTTCGATGAACCTCAGCTCGCTAGTCTTTGCCTGGACACGATAGACAAAAGCACAACGGACGCGATAAGCGCCGAGGGGTTCACCGACATCGACATAGGTGAGTCCGGACAGATGCAGGCGGTGGCTGTCCGTCCCACACAGGGATGCCCGACCGGTCAGCCTTGCAGGGCCGGCTGATTTAACATTAGGGTTTTTCTTCCAAATGATTTAAGTCTACCCCTTTAAGATTTTTGCTTTCTTTAATTTGGTGAGATATTCCTAAAACTCTTAACTACCTCATTGCCTTTTAAAAGATGTCAGATCTGAAAAATATTCATTGACTGCTCACATATGCACAGCATTATATATTTACAAGGGTCCTATAAAAAAAAGAAATACACAGAAAGGTAAGATATAATTTCTCTTAAGGCAACTATCATCTATTTGGAGAATCAAGGGACAAATTTGTGAGACTTAAGATTTAAGACATTAACAGAAGAGACAGCGTAGGAGAAAAAGTGATTTTTGCCTTTTCTGAATTAGATAAATAGAAAATAATTACTATGCAAATCCAAAACATGAGGAGGTCCCCTCTGATTGGAGGAGTGTTAGGAGTCTTCACAGAGGAGGCTCTGGGAATGAATGTTTGGCCGAGGCAGAGGGGACCGCGTTAGAGGCAGGGGAGCCGCGTGAAGACGTGTCTGTAGAGGAAGGGAAAGGCGAGGCCAGGTAAAGAAGGGTGTGGTTTTACCATGAATGTGTGGACCACCGCCGAACAGAATTTTTTCAAAATAAAGTACAGTCTGTAGTTTTAAGTTTCTAACCTAGAGATTTGAAAACTTATTATAAGCAAGTTTGTCAATATTGTTTATGAAACAACAAGGTGTTTCTCATTTATTTTTTGTATTTTACCTGTAGACACACTCTGCGCAGTTCTAGAAAGAGACACACTTAGCATTCGAGAGAGTCGACTTTTTGGAGCTATTGTACGATGGGCAGAAGCAGAATGTCAAAGACAGCAATTGCCTGTGACTTTCGGAAACAAACAGAAAGTGCTGGGAAAGGCACTGTCCTTGATCCGCTTCCCACTGATGACCATCGAGGAGTTCGCGGCGGGTAAGGCCTTGGCCGGACCGGAGTGTGTCCGGAACTGCTTCAGTGGTCAGTCAGCCACTGCACGAGAGAGGAAAAGAAACCGTTGTTTGTTGAGGACCAGTCCCTCTTCCAGTTACATGATATGTGTATGTGCATTTGTGTGTGTAGTTCTATTTCATCCTCCTAGTCCTTCAAGATAATACAGGTTATGTAATTAATGTATTTGAAAATTTAAATTTATAGAAAGTAGGTATTTTATGGGTTAGAGAACTGAACCTGAGAGTGGTTAAGTGCCTTGTCCAAGGTAATAATCCTTATAAGACACCAAGAATTTCTGTGTAACTCTTTCGTCACTTATCAGCTCCTTTCTGCTAGGTTCCTTGGTCTCAGTCTCCTCTTGCTTGTGCATAACGTAGGAATCAGCACACACGGAAAGTGTGCCTGACACGCTGGCCTTGTCTTTCTGCTACACCCCTTCGGGGGTCACTGTCTGGCTGCCTTGGAGGCTTTGAGTTCCAGTTTGGGTCTCCTCAGTCCAGTGACGACCGTCCCAGGTACTGGGTTGCCAGTTCCTGTTTGGCAGCTGGGCAGTGAGGCAAAAGCAGCACCTAGCCCCGGGTCAGGGGGTGACTGCAGACACAGGGCTCCACCTCCACGAGCTCCCCTTCTCTGCCCACTCGGGAGAGCCGTGTTATACATTCTACCCAGAGCTGTTCTGTGACAGGGACCAGCTCTTCCTACAGAAGTAATGTTTTTATAGTCAGATATCCCTTTTTCCCAAATTGCCTCTGTTTCTAAAAGTGTTCTAATGGACAGGTCCCTTCCTTTTCTCTGTTCTGGTGTTGTGTGCGTTGGCTCTGTTTCCTATCCAGAGATTTGGACATCGTAAGTTTTTCATTTACTTCCCCCTCTCTATTTTCTTAATTCCTCATTTCACACTGAAATAATATTGACTTCCCCATTTAAGACGGGAACGGTGGGATGGTGTGGTCTTTCTCCCCGCCTTTGCGGACCCCTCGATGGCACCAATGGCACACACGCACGCACTGCACGCTGCCGCGGCGGCTGCAGGCTCTGCTGCTCTCGGTGCCCGCCCCAGTCCTTGTATGGCGACCTTGTCTTCTTCCTTTTGACCCAACCCTCTGTCACCCGGAATGTGTCTCTGATCACTTTCTTTAGGGAGGTATCTGGCGCATGTCCGAGAATGTTTTTCATGATCTGAAGACTATTTGTTTTTCAAATATTTTATTATAGACTTAAATTATGGCATTATCTTATTTCGTATTGTTTGTTCTTCAGGAATGCTAGTAATGTTTAAAAATTAAGGTTTTTCATTACAATCTAACTTTGTGGCTTCCTAACTCAAATTTCTACGTTATCAGCTATTTATTTTTGCAGCTTTAAATTTTTTTTTTAAATTTAGTTTTGCAGTCTCTTATTTGGATTGTTTTTAACCAGCACGGGAAGGGTTCTCCTGGCCTCGCTGTGAGCAAGAGCCTTTATTCCCGGGTAGGTTAAGGCGGGTTGCAGTTTTCCTGTTCTCAAAAACAGCAAACGGGGCACCGTAAGATGCGCGTGTGGCTTTCACAGCTCTTCCCGTGTTAGCGCTTGCCCTCTGCTCATTGCTGAACCCAGGAGGAAAGCCCTGACCTGTCCATGTCCCCCTCTAAATACATGCCATTGTTCAGTCTGTAGCCTCGGACAGGTATAGGTGGGGAGGGAGGTTGACAGCATCTCTGGTTGCTGTTACCTTGCCCACCAGAGGGAAGGACTCTCCTCTTTCTGGTGACAGAAGTCTGTGGTCCTCAGAGTAGGTGAGTGGATAGAAAAATCCAGGCTTCCATCCAAGCTTTGATTTATTAATGACTTTAGTTATTTAATTTTCTTATTAATGATTTTAACAGATTTTATTAGATGAACTGCAAATGGAATTAAAAAAAAAACTTGAAATGCTGGATTGGGCACAAATAATGCTCCTCTTTTATTACAAAACCATCAGCCTGTAATTCTGCAACATAATAATATCACACTCACGCACACCACATGACAGTTTAGGTGGAATGTTCAAATTAAAACTATAAACAATGACACCGCGTTATTGCCCTACCAGCCACACTCAAGTGGGCGTTTCTCCGGCCGGCCCCTGCATGTGCTAAAATTATAGGTGCTAAGATTTGTCTACCTCATTGGTGCTTTGCATCTTCCAGATTTGAATTCACATTATTATGTGGAGGGTTATAAAGTTAGGAATTGAAATCAAGGTGCTTTTATTGAGGGTTGTACTTTTATTTCTACAGGCCCTGCTCAGTCTGGGATTCTGTCAGACCGTGAGGTGGTAAATCTCTTTCTTCATTTCACTGTCAACCCCAAACCCCGCGTTGACTACATCGACCGGCCGCGCTGCTGCCTCCGAGGGAAGGAATGCTGCATCAACAGGTTCCAGCAAGTGGAGAGCCGCTGGGGGTACAGCGGAACGAGCGACCGCATCAGGTACCTGGCGGAGCGCTGCTCGGCGGGGGGCTGGGGCGGCTGCCATCCTCCTGTTGTGGGAGGTCATTGACCCACATTTTACTTCATACCCCGTGTAATGCATTTGTCACTTAACACGAGAATCAAAAAGTCCGTGAGGCATAGTGGTCTCCGCACTGAATCACAAGGAAACAAGTGAAGGAAGAAGGGACTGGACGGGGCCTTCCTTCTATTCCGTGAGTCCCGTTTGGGTTGCCGCTGTGGGTGAGCCGAGGCCGGGACCTGAACTGATCGAGCGCCGTCTCTACGGTCCTAAGGCTGCAGTGTATTTAATGCACTTCCATCTCCTCGTTCAGTGAGAGCTGTTGCTTTACTCGGACATTGCAGGGGAAATAGCTCAGGACATGTATTTATAAAAGCTTTGAAAGAAAAAACATCTAAAAAGATGCATGTGTATAATCTTGTTAGGAATTTATCTTCTAATGTATGTATCTCTTTAGGTTAAATGTCAAAATAGAGTAAGAACCAGTTTTCATAAAATCAGTTTTCACTTATTTAACAGCATTTTTGTATATAACTAGAAACTAATGACAAGTTTGTCAAAAATGGGACTCCCAGGGGATGAGGAGCCTTATAAATATTGGAATAAAATGGAAATTAAAAATGCATTTTTGGGTTATTCGGTAATCATTCTCAATGAAAATACTGTATCTGAAAACTCATGAAGGACCAAGTGGACAAAGTGTCACACACACAAAAATCTTATGGACTACTTTTACTAAATAAATTAGAGTAGAAATAATTTAAGCACTCAACCCAAGTAGCTAGAAGGTGAACAGCAAAAAAAAGAAAAAGGAGCCCGGCTGGTGTGGCTCAGTGGATTGAGTACCGGCCTCTGAACCTAAGGGTCGCTGGTTCTATTCTCAGTTGGGGCACAGGCCCGGGTTGTGGGCCAGGTCCCCAGTAGGGGGCGCATGAGAGGCAACCATACACTGATGTTTCTCTCCCTTTCTCCCTCCCCTCCCCTGTGTTTAAAAATAAATTAAAATCTTTAAAAAGGAAAAAAGTAAGTGTAGAAATTAATGGATTAAAAATAATAGAATTGATAAATCCATTAGCTGGTTCCTTAAACAGGCCAGTAAAATAAATAAACCTCTGGGAAAAGTAATAAAGAAAACACACTTACATTTAGAAATAATGGGAATATAACCATATACTGAGGAGATTTTTATTTCAATTCTGGGTTTACTCTGTGTTAATAAATTGAACGTCTTGATGGAATGGATCGTTTTATAGGCAAATATAAATTATCAAAATTGACTGAAGAAGAAAGCCTGAATAGACCCATTACCATGGAAGGATTAAAAGTTATCAAAGAACTGTCCCTTCACAAGGTGGTTTTTACAGGTGAGTTTTATGAAAACTTGAGGGAACAGATGTCTTCCTTGAGCATTAAAAGAAGAAAATGCGTATCGGTTATTTATTGAAGGCACCATGACCCTTGACCCAGGAGTCTGACCAGACAGGAAGTCTGGAGCTCAGCTGCACTCACACAGGGCGGGAGTCTGTGTAAAATGTTCGCATAGTGACTCTTGGCAGGACCATAGGAAAATAGTACCGTACAAACAGATAGAATTTATTTGTAGACGGAAAGAACGGCTCAGTATTAGGAAAAACATAAATACAATTCACCACGGTAGCAGATCAAAGAAGAAAAACAATTAGATTATTTTAGTAGTTCTCAAAAAGACTTGTGATAAAACCCCACCTTCGTCCCACGCACAGTCGTTAGCAGACGAGGTCTGGAGGAGCGCTGTGAGGGGGGACTGGCGAGCCCCCACGGAGGGGCGCCTGCTCACCGTGCTGCGCTCTGCAGCGCTCCAGCCACGCCATCATGAGCAGGAGCAGGTGTTTTCCCGGATGGATTCTGACAGGACACCTGAAAGCCGGGACTCTGTCTGGGGGCTGTTCTAAGCCCTCCAGTGAGTCTGGTGTCTCCCACCCCTGCCCCTAGTACCCCAGAAGCTTTGTAAAAACAGAAGCCTCCCATGGCTTCTGAGAACAACCTCAGCACAGTAGACATGTACTAGGACCAATAAGAGAAAAGTGACCACTTACAAAATACATATGCAGAAGCCAGTGACGTTCCTGTATGGCACCGGTGGCGGACATTAGGCCAACAGGCTGAGTCGGGCCCTCCACCTTGTTTTACCCGGCCTGGCACCTTGTGTCTACCTGGCAGCAGCGCCTAGTTCCTTGCCCCTGGTTAAGGAGTGGTTACATTTATACAGTCCTAAAATTACGTTTGGCCCTTTGAAGGCGACTGGGAGGCTGCGCCCCGCAGTGACAATGAGTTTGACACCCTGCTGTGTGGCATCAAACCTGCTTTCAGAGATGGGTGGTCGTGATGGTTCACAGCAGTGTGAGTGTGCTTAATGCCACTGACCCTGCCACTTGAAACGGTTAAGATGGTACGTTTTGTTATGTGTTGCTGCAATACAAAAATAAGAAAGTTTGCATTTGCAGTGACCGTATTGAGTAAAAACAGATTTCACTTAGAATAGTAGTAAGTGTAGAATAGTAGTAAGTGACATAAAGCAGTGGGATTGAATCCTCTGAGAAGTGCACAGTATGGCACCTTCGTGAAGAACTGGAGAGTGGGACCGGGTCCCACGTGTCTCTCCAAACCCACCAGTCCACGTCTGCGGTTACTCTCGGGAATCACGTGTTTGTGCTGGGGGGGCGTGGCCTGGCAGAATTAGTCTGCAGGTTATCTGAGGGAGTCAATGTTTTAAAAGAGAGGTGTGGATCAAATGTAAGTATTGTAAAGCTATAACAGGTTAGTATCGTATGGAAGATTACTAGAGTTCAGAAACTAACCTAATGTAAATGAGCTTTTAGATTGTGAGGGGACATACAAGATCCTTAGCGATTCCATCTGCCAGTGATTATATGCATTAGAGTCTTAACATGGAAAACAAAGCCGTGAAGCGCTGGACCGGGAGACTGTTCACTATGAGGGTGAGATGGGCCTCTTCACAATCGGCATAGGTCATGCTGAGGCTGCCACGGATTCAAACTCTTATGTCCAAAACCACTGTGAAGTTAAAAGATAAATGGCAAACAGGAAGCTCTTCGTAGTGGATATTACTGAGAAAGCATAATAACTATGTAACACCGCCTTTCGGAGAAAAATGGGAAAACAATATGAGTGGGTATTTCATTAAGGAGAAAGTCCAGTAGACGGGAAGCATATGAACAAATACATCAACTCATTAATAATCAAGGAACATAAATAGAATTTGTTAGTCATCTGTGTTTCAATGATGAAAAAGTGAAAATACTCATGGTATTTGAGAGAGAGACACAAATGATTTTCATTTCTTTAGAGTGTTAATCAATTTGATGTTTAGCTAAAGCCTTAAGAATATACCTTTCATCTTCCCAAGCAATTCTACTTCCAGAAATTCATTCTCAGGAAATACTTAAGACTGCAAAATGAATTAGTTGTGAGATTGTTCATCGTGATATTGGTGTGTAATAACAAAAACTGCGGAGAACCTAGATTGTCCAGCAAGCAGGGGCTATTTAAATACAGTGCATCAGTACTAATCTTTTTTTACATAAAAAAGAAGATTAAAAAATGTTTCTGGCACGATTTTCAAAATAACACATGTTCACAGAAAAAAAGTCTGCTTTCCTGTTGTTAAAAACTGGAATGAAAAATCTGTAAAGGGAAGGTACCGACAGGTAAATGGGGTCATCTCTGGATGGCGGATTCAGATAGCTTTAAAATTTTTCCTCCTTTGTTTAGTTGAACTTTATATATTTTTTTTAGCAGAGACTATCTTGGTTTTTTATAACAAGGAAAATATATAAATTCTCTGTTACAAAGTTGTTCAAGATAGTCCTCATGCTGCCCTGGAATTTAACGCAGTGCTGAGAACATGGGCTTTTGACCCAGGGAGACCTGGACTTGTGTCCCAGCTCTGCCGTGGGTTTTGATCGGACCATTTGGTTTCTCTAAACCTAACTTTTTCAACTACAAAAACTGTGGATAATAAAAATAATATCATGTTATTTAACTGTAGAGCTGTTTTGATGGTTGAGGGAAGTAACTCACGTGAAGAACCGAGGCTACGAGCCTGGCACAGGAAGTGCTCTGCGGTGAGGGTCGCAGCTGTGGCGACCACAGTGGGCTGCCAGTTATTCTGATGTGAAATCTCACTCTGCTCCTCAGGTCCAGTCCCCAGCCCCGCCACCACCAGTGTTCCGTCACCACAGCCTGCTGCCCTCACGCTCTTACCACGACTCGCATTGATTAGTTCCTCTAACTGTCTGTTATCAGTGCCCTCTGGTGGGCCGTCATTTCCCCAGCGCCAGGCCCAGGCCCTCACCCCAACAGGCCCGCGGTGAGTGCGCGTCCCGCTGAGGGACTGTCCCAGTTCGGGGTGCCGCGCTTCAGGCCTGGTGGCCGACACGGTGTGCACAGAGATGTGCAAACAAGTCGGACAGAAGTCATCATTACAGCCAGAGTGGGTATTTAATGTAAATAAATTCCTTTGACTCAAAAATGTATAGTACAGAGAACAGGTTCTCCTTGTGGTTTTAACCATTAAGTTAACATTTACTAGAAAGTTGCGGTTTTTTTTCGTAAGCAGGTGGTATTTCCACGGATGTCTAATTTGTAATGGTTTCCTCTTTATGAGCAAAATTAGACATTCTGGGTAATACTTTAAAAACTTGATAAGCCTTTAGAATATGAATGCTTACTGAATTATGTATGTTATTATATTTGATTCATTCTCTCAGGTTCACAGTTAACAGAAGAATCTCTATAGTCGGATTTGGTTTATATGGATCTATTCACGGTCCCATGGATTATCAAGTCAATATACAGGTACACTTTCCCCCTGCAACTATATATCATTTTCAAATATAACAAACCTGTAATTTTATCATAAGATGTTGTTTTGAGGAAATCCAAATTTCAGTATAATTATCAAAGGAATCAGAAAGCCTCTTAGTAGCATTTTAAGCCTAGAGAGTTCTGTTTTACAATTGATAAAAAATCAGGTTTCAGAAAATTGGAGTCTTGGAATCCTTCGTGGAAGTATTAAGATACAAGGAGGTCTTTTCCCTCAGAGCCTGGCACAGATTTGGAACTCAAGTGAAAAGTCAGAATTTTCACATTTTAATATCCACATGTCTGAATACTGCACTTAAGATCATTTTAATTTCAGCGAAATAACATTTGGGAGGTCCTAGTAACGAGACATAAGCTGGCAAGGAGCAGAGGCTTGTTTCCCTCAGTTGTCTAACAGCCACACCTTCGAAAAACCCAGCCTGAGCCACGCGGCTGTGACAGGCGCTGCTCCAGCAGCCCGGCCCCCGCCCCGCCCCCGCCCCACCCTTGCTGCGATGGGAGACAGCCACCTTGCTGGGGGTTAGAGATAAGTAGAGGAAAAATCCTCACATGAGATGCTGTAGTCTATTCTGCCATTCCTGAGGGCTTTACATTTTCTGTGAAACTTCGTTTTCAGTTGGTTTAACTGAAGCATAACTTCTCTTTTAAAAATTACAGATCATTGAATATGAAAAAAAACAAACCCTGGGACAGAATGATACTGGCTTTAGTTGCGATGGGAGCGCCGGCACATTCAGGGTCATGTTCAAGGAACCCATAGAGATCCTGCCCAATGTGTGCTACACAGCGTGCGCGACCCTCAAAGTAAGTGGTCCTGATCGCACTGGACGTCGGGCGGTAGGGCCCGTGGCTTCCTCCATCCACACGTCCGGCCACAGTGTGTCTTCAGCAGAGGCTGAGTCAGCGGCTGGGAGCCTTTCGGGAGGAGGGAAGGGAAGGGCCTCCCGGCACAGCTCTGCTCTGAAGACAGTGGTTCTGCATTCAGAAGTAGCTCTTTGTTGGAATAGGAGATTGAGTGAGTGACAGAGATAAAATAACTGTCTGTAAAATACTTTGTTTTATATCATTGATTTTTGAGAGAGAGAAACATCGACTTACTTGTGCATTCATTGTTTGATTTTTGTATGTGCCCACACCAGGGATTGAACCCACAACCCTGGAGTATCTGGATGATGCTGTACCAGCTGAGGGACCCAGCCAGGGTCTAACCATTCTCTTAAAACCATCACTGTTCTCCAGTAACGAAGCTCTCTGTTCAGTAATTTTAATCACTAGTTAGCTTAGTAGCAAAAATGTATTTTTCGTTAAAGGCCCCAGCATAAAATTTTATATAGGAGCTATAAGGCAACATACTAGATCGTTACTCAAACTAAGACACCACCTAAAATTGAGTGTTTATTAAGGAAAAATGACTAATGAACTTTTATTCTCATTTAGGGCCCAGATTCCCACTACGGCACAAAAGGACTGAAGAAAGTAGTGCACGAGACACCTGCTGGCAAGACTGTTTTCTTCTTTTTCAGCTCCCCTGGCAACAATAACGGCACTTCCATAGAAGATGGACAGATCCCAGAAATAATATTTTACACATAATTTAGCATCATAATCCGTCTTGGCTAAATGGTGCCATACAGTCTGGTCGCATAGGCATAAAAATACTGGCCACCAAGAAAAGGTTGAATGTTAGGAATATTTATAATTCTAAGAAAAGAAACATTTTAGTTTCTTAGAGGAAATAGATAAGTGCTTATTTAAATCTCTGCATAATTTAAAGGCAGATTATCCATTTTCTTATAACCTTAGGGGAAAGGAAAAGTGGGTTCAATTGTTTGAAAAAAAAAAACAGCTATTTCGGCTTTATCTTGTATCATTTTGTAGATGAGCTGACTTGCGACCTTTCAGCGGTTTTATAATGGGAAGGTTTTTGTGTTATTTGGCTGGTTTGTTTTGTTTGCACTGTTTTGAAGGTTCCATGAGATGGACATATGATGGAGGCATACAGGGTCAGTATTCCTATAGAATTCCTATTAACGCAAATAACTAATTTCAGACAATTAAGAAAACTGACCTTAAATTTGGAGTTTGGAAATACCTGGTTGTTAGCGTCAGGAATATTGCTAGAAACACGCCTAATAGAGTGCCCAAGAAAATTTTCAGGGCATTTACAGAAAAGGGTATTTTGTAATAGTGTAGTAACGTGTTACCTAGTACAGGTTTAAAGTACAAAAGGAGTTTGTATGAATTGGCAATAATGTGATAGGAACAAAGGATCTGCAGGTAGAGTCTAAGACTAGATTCTTTGTCCCCGAAGTGCACTGTCACCCCCTGTCCGTGGGGGGGCGCTGCTGCGAGTCCCTGGGGTCCAGGCAGGGTGTGGTGATGCCAGAGGAGATTGGGTGGACACAAGCCAGAAGCAGAGTAAAATACATTTACAACAACTACTTTGAAATTTTAAAGATATCCAACAGAATTGCTCCTGCCGAAGTGACACCATACTTTGTCACCTATACAATTCTATCCCTGAAGTAAAATATGTTTAATATTCATGGCCTCACAAACGTCACAGGTACAGCTGTGTTAGGAAGGGATAGGAAGTATATGTGGCAGAATGACATTTATATACTTTTTATAAAACAAAATTTTTATATAAATAACTCTTTTTTCTTTTGAAAGCGATATCTTATAAAAACATGTAATTAAGTTTAAGGTATATCAACTAGTTGTCAAAGATGGTTAAAAAAATCACAATTCTTTTAAGTATCAACTGAAATAGAATTTTTCTAAATACTAGTAACTTAGGATATCAAATTTTTTCATTTACAGTAGCATTTCATTTTATATTTCAACGGAGGCAGTGTGATATGCTTGTGGCCGAGGTTTCTAACTGAAGAAAGGGGGCTTTTTTCTGTCCCTGGTACCATGACCTTTTGGATCTAACCCTCAGTTCACTGGAGTGTCTGTGGATGTGTGGTGAGGTGAACCAGCAAACACCCTGAACTGACCGCTATGGAAAATGCTTCTGCCTTAAAAAGGACACTGTGCTCGAGATGAGGTCATGGTTTTGACATCTGGGGCATTACAGGTGCTTCCACTGCTTTGCATCTGAGCAGTGATCGCACCGGAAGGTAACTGTGGGAGGCACCAGAAACGGAACTGTTTACTGATACGGGACATCCCTGGAATTTAAAAAAAATAAATATTATCCATTTATTATTTTTTTTGTCATTTGTCTTTTTTTTTTTTTCCTAATAGCTGAGTGTAAGATGCCGTTTTGGAACAAGGGTTCTAGTTAATTGAGGTTTAACTTTTAGTTTACAGAAGTAACACAACACAAAATAGCAGTGCCTCGCTGCTGCCGTAAAGGAAGTCATAGGAATTGCAGCAGCAACATCTGCTGTCAGTCTGTTCTCGATCTGGCTCTTGTGGTCTCTGGCATTTCTCTCCTGTTGCAATGGCAGGAGGTAGGAAAATGAGGACTGCTTGCTACGTACTCTGTTGCAGTGTGACGACGGTCTCACTGTTGTTTAGTGTCAGTGACAGCTACCGGAGCGATTACCGCAAACCAGACTCTGCACCGAGTATTTTACACGCATTCTTGTTTATTTCTCACATCACTGTGGGGTGAGTAAGAACCATTATAGTACCCTCTTCACAGGCAAAGATATGCATGTTCACAAGCCTCGTTAGTGGTGGGAGGTGGAATTGAAACCCAGGTCTAACTTCCAAGCTACAGAGTTGGGAAAACATTTTTCTGGGTCCCAAAGTAAACACTTCGCCATTCCCTCCAACTTTACAATAGGACCTGGCTAACCTGTATTTACTACAGAATGTAAGTATATTCTATTTTTCAGGAAGTGTGATTATTCCAGTATCTACCCCACAAATTGAGATTATTTGTTTGCATTATCTAAGTGTCCTTTGTTTTAGGTCTACATAAGTAGTAGCTAGAGTTTCAGAGAAAAGGTTTACCTGGGAATAGACAAGCTTGAGGACCTCAGGGGGGAGCCAGGGCTTCCAGCCCACGGGGCTGCACGTAGTACGTCTGGAACATACTGTTCCACGTCCCTTTCTAGTCCCATCTGCTTCAAACTGCTTGCTTTCCTCTGCTTCCCTGGTCTGGCCTTTCAGATTTGAAACCTGGGAATTGTTGCTTGCATTAGACAACACGTGTCCTTCATAAGAGAGGGTGCGGCCATGGTGATCCCAGCCCCAGAGCTGCGCGGCTCATACATTCTCTTGTCTAGTTTGTGTCCTTTAAAAATCCATTTTCTCCATTGGCAAAGCCAAGACAAGATGGAGTGTTCACGTGGAACTTTACTAGGAACTGAAGATAAAATAGGAACCAGTACAAACATTAGGTTTTCTGCCACTTGGATCATAGCCCCTGTCCTTCCCTACACCACTGGGCACTACCCCACTATTCCTCTCTCGAGACAGATTTTGGGTGGAAGTAACAAGTCCCAGGCACAGTTGGTGGCAAATGGGGCCGATGGCTCCCCTCTCCCCTGCAGTCACCTTTGGGAAAGGCTGAGTGGTTCTGTGCAAGGCGCCCCTTCACCCCTCCCCTCAGGTGCCAGATACTGTGGAAGCCTCACTAGCACAAGGGTCCCCTTTGTTCCCACGGGACCTCTCCACGCTCCAGCTGAGGCTGCCAACCCAGTGCTACAGGATGCTGACTCAGCTTTAGTGCCTCATTCCTTGACCGATTTAAAAGAAAATATGGCTTTGGGTTAACACCAGGTGCACTTTGTTCTACCAAAGCCTTCTTACTGAGTGGCCCCCAGGTCCACGAGGAGTGGACAGCCCATCCAAACCCAGCTTCCTGTTTCCTTCCTTCCCTGCAGCACATCTGCTGCCACTCAGGGCCACCCCCCTGTGCCTCACCATGTGGAACTGCACTGCCTCTGAAGTCGTACAGCCAACCGCCTGCACCCTCCGCTGCTCTCAGCTCCCTCTTGCACTCCAGTTCCATGTTTTTGAATTCTCAGCCCTCTTCACTCCTTACCCAGTTAGACTCCGCTGTCGATCATTTGTATTCCTTCACCTAGTGATCTTGAATCACTTTAACCACTTAATTTGTAACTCCAGAAGCCCCTTCTACCCACCTGGATGAATCCATTGGTCCTCAACTTCCTGGCTGCTGGGTCCAACGTGTTCAAAAGTGCACAGATGGAGGCCATGGTGGTTTCATGGTCTCCAAGTCCACCTAGACCCCTGGTGCAGCTCTGTGCCATTCTCCTGAGCGTTTAAATCTGTGCCACTCACCTCACACCTTCAACTGCCTTCCCTGCTCTAGGTTATGAAAGAAGCTCCAGCTCCTCCCACTACACCCGTGAACACACCTACACGTGCACCCCGGTTGCCCACTTAGGAAGGAAAGGGTGTCTGCCAGGCTTCCGGTAGAAGGGCCAGTCTCTCCTGTTGTGTGCAGAACCCCACCCTCTCCTCAGCTGTTAGCCCCCTTCTGGTTTGACTCCTATCAGAGTTAATATCAGAGCTAATTATCCTATTAGCTGCCATCCATTTTTTTGTCTTAATGTCATGTGCCCTCTACAGAGTTAACTCCTTCACAGTGAGTTTAAATGATTCCCTGCACCACTGGGTACACGGGGATTCTGAGCGCCTGGCCCAAAGTGGGTGTCCCCCATCTCTGGGGCTCCTGGGCCACTTTCCAGGGCAACAAGGTCCCGCGCGGCATGAGGAACGAGTATTGCTGCCGCTGGCCGGCAGGTGTCACCCTTGTGCCAGAGCGGGTTCGGTCCGAGATTTGCGCGGGCGCAGAAGGCGTTTCCGGCGCCGGCCTCCGGTGCCACCGCCTTCTTGGAGAGGATGCTCCGGCTGGGCTGTGGACTGAGGCCGATCGGAGCGGGACTTGGTGCTCAGGCCTCTGCCCGGCTCCTTGAGGGCGCCGAGATGCCGAAGAAAGCTAGTGCGACGAGCAAGGCTAGTAGCAAAGTCCTGTGGCAGCGGAGGGGTGGGCGGCGGGGGAGAAACAGCACGGCGGGGGTGGGAGCTCCTCCCGCCGCCCGCCCCTGGGGGTGGGTGCTCCCAGGGCCATGTCCCCTGCTCTCCCGGCGGGCGTTTGTTCTGAGGCGCCTTCGGCCTGCGCCTCCCGGGAGGCTCTGTTCTGCCCCCTCTTCTGTCAAAAACTCGCCGCGCCCAGTCTGCAAGGCGAGCTCCAGTGGGCAGCTGACCCGGGCGCCCAGGCTGGACAACCTCCCTTCTCCGGAAGTGACGCCTGCGCGCTGTCATTACTGTGTGTTACAGTAGAGGAGGTTCTTTCTCTCCCGCTGCGGCCTCAGTTTGGATGGGGGGGTTGGAGGCGGCTGGACCAGGTGTCCTCATGCACGTTTACATAGCCTGTACCTGCGGGCTGCCCGGTGCTTGTGTGCCGAACTGGGAGTTCTGGTACTAACTCACCTAGTAGGCCTTTAAACATCACCATTCCCATCTCTCCCCCAGATTCATTCTCTCTCTCACACACATACACACACGCTTCCAGGCTTAGTTGTTCACAGACCCTTATTAGCTCGTGCTGCCTGAGATACAAAACATGAGTAAGTGGCCTCTACCCCGGCGGGATGGGAAATGCAGAGGCGACCATAGACACTAAGGTTCAGGTCAGAGTTGGGTCTCCAAGGCAGGAAGAAAACGCTCTGTGGGGTCGATGGGAAGGCTTCGTGGAGGAACTGATTTGAGCCATGGCAGATGTTGGAAAACCGTTCCAGGTGGCCAGCATTCCCTGCACACGGACGACTAGCCTCGCTTGTCTTAGTGAAAGGGAGTCGTGGAAGGATCAAATGTGTGGGAACATATGTTGTAACCTGTGAAGTTGTAGTGTGGTTGTTGTTGTCGTTTTAGGGTAAAAGCCAGAGCAAGGAGCCAGAGAGACCACTTCCTCAATTAGGTCCTGTGACAGTTGATCCTAAAGGTTGTGTCACCGTAGCCATCCATGCCAAACCTGGTTCTAAACAAAATGCTATAACAGGTATACCTGAACGCTGGGGTGGGAGTCCCACACGAATCAGGCGGCCCCTCCCTCTTCCCTTTGCCTTTGTTGAAAGTTTATCTTACACAGTCAAGTGCGTTTTTTCACATCTGCAGTTAAAGGCTTTTTCATTCTTAAATTCTAGATTCTAATATAAAGTTGTAAAACCAATGTTTAAGAGTATACAGAGTTTAAAGCATATCAGATTAGATGAAAAACCATGCTATGTTTTTTTTTTATTTAAATACGGTGTTTTAGAAAGGGCACGTAAAAAACGTGGGTGGAGTTTTAGATTATTAGTTGTCCTCTCCCAGAATTGGAGATATTGTCTAGAGACAGAAAGAAGACATATTGGTGGAGTCTAATGATCCAAGGAGGAAGGGAAAACCTGAGATCCGAGAGACTTATCATTAACTCCCTGTGCAAACTTGTTTTAAACCAAAATGATACAAAACATTTCTGGGTCCAGTTTCGTCATCTGTCAGATGGGAAAATTGGACTAAGTTAAAAGCTTTCAAGCTGTTGCCTCAGGAATCTGTGCAGTGGGCAGGGAGGCCAGCAGACAGGGTTTCTAGCTGTGTTTACATTTGTTTTAAATGTTGGAATTTCAGGGGAAATTGTTGCGTGTGCGTGGCAGGGAATTCTCAGTGGAAAATAAGTTCAAAAACCATTGATCTGAATTACATTGAATGTCTTTTTTACCTCTTAAAAGTATGTCAGTTTTTAAAAATAGTTTTTAAAACAAGACCTCAGAATTGGGTTGCCAGGCCTGGTTGCATGAATGGCCAGGTCAGCTTGGGTATTTGTTGGCCGTGCCCTCTGTGGCCAGCATTTCCTGAGTCGTTGCAGTGGACACTGGCTATTCTTTGAATGCCATGTGTCATCACATCAAAGATGCCACCAACTGTAAGGTACACAAATAGTTCACGTACCAATTAGAAAGACAAAATCTATAGCAATTAAACACTTTCTTTCCATCTATTACAACATCTGGGTTTCAAGGCGATTAAAATTGGAGAAAATACACCTTTGAATTAGTGACAGGAGAGAAGGATGGTTGTTTTCCCTCATCCTTGTGGAGTCTGTGGCCAGAAGGCTCACGCAGGACATGTGAGCATGTGAAGTGCCTGTCAAGTGACCCCAGATGACCCTGAGTGACCCCAGCTCAAGCTTACTTGCAGACTGCTCTGAGCAAACACTTCTCTCTCTCAGAAATAGCAATGGAGGGCTACAGGGAGGACACTCTGTGAAGGTCATATTGATGGGCGAGTCAGGACCACTGTTCAGAAGCTGGAGCAGGGTTCTTTGTCCCCAGATTTCAAAGCATGAGTTTAAATTTATTTTATTTTATTTTTTTAATTTAATTATTGTTCAAGTACAGTTTTCTGTCTTTTACTCCCATCCCAACCCACCACCCCCCCAGTGTAAATTTATTTTTGATTCACAACCTCACTTCCTAGCCATGTGACCTTGGGCCCATCTTGATTCCTATGTCATTTATAAAATGGAAATTATATTGGTATTAATGTCTTCATAAAGTTATGAGGATTAAACAAGTTAATATTTGCAAAGTCCTTAAACGTGTTTGTATGCCCTTAAAATTAGTGTCTGTGTTATATAAATGTTCATTAAAGATTGCATTTCGAGCCCTGGCTGGTGTGGCTCAGTGGATTGAGTACCAACCTGTGAACCACAAGTCTCCACTTTGATTCCCAGTCAGGGCACATACCTGGGTTGCAGGACAGGTCCCCAGTAGGGGGCGCGTGAGAGGCAACCACACATTGATGGTTCTCGCTCTCTCTCTCCTTCCCTACCCCCTCTCTAAAAATAAACTCTTAAAAAAAAAAAATATATATATATATATATATTGCATTTTGTAAACATTAAAGAAGGATTTTACATAAGAGACAAATCCAACTCAGTGCTCTTGTTTGTCTGAGGAGGAAGCCCTGAGCAACCCTGTGGCAGCCAGGGGGCTGCCCTACTCATCCTTCAGTGAGGTTGCTGGGGCTACACCCCACTCCTTACTCTCTGCCTGGAGCGCTTCCTGTCAGAGAGGCATAGTTCCCAGTCACCTAAATCCAGGATTCAGGAGGCCCATCTCGGTCAGCAGGGTGGGGGTGAATGCTGGTTTTCTTGTCTGGGTTTGTTTTCTGTAGTGGTGGAGGCACATTTATCATATTTATCACATTCCCTCAAGCCTGATGAGTTTAATCCTTCATTTCTGCATCCAACAGTTATTCATTGAAAACCTATGTGCAAGACAAATGCAAAACACCCTTGCTTCCCGAAGAAGCACTAAAAGTCCACACTATTCTCATTCCAGATTTGACAGCTGAAGCTGTCAGTGTGGCTATTGCAGCACCTCCGTCGGAAGGGGAGGCAAATGCCGAGCTCTGCCGGTATCTGTCCAAGGTCTTAGAGCTCAGGAAGAGTGATGTAATTTTAGATAAGGTAGGTGTCTCTTTTTCTCTTTTTAAATATCTTTGATTAGCATGTCTTAGTTATTATTTTCAGAATACTGTTTTCCTTTTCCAAGTAATTGAGAAGCTAGTTGTTTTTAACTGTCACTCATTTTACTACTAAAATCTGTGAATTCTTCCTATTTCATCTTCCTTTCTACTGCATTGATCCTTACGCAGACTGTGCTCTTCTATTCCTTTGTCCACACCACTTCCAGTATTTTCTCCTTTCCAAATTCATTCCTGTACCTTTTCTGTCAGATTAACTTCGCTCCTCTTTTCCTCCGAGTCATACCATACGAAACAACCTAACATGTATGGTTCATATTGTTGATCATCTCCATTAGTGAGTCCATCAAGTATTTTTGGCCCCGCTCAGTTACTCTTGCTCACCAGGAGAAGCTCATACAAAGCCATTCATGCCGCAGGTTTGCAGTAGAGCGGCATCACGACCACCTGGGAATGGATTCTAAAACTCAGGTTTTCTTGGCCATCGCCCTAGACCCACTGGCATGGAATCCGCACTAGTGAGATCCTGCCCTGTCTGTCTCTTAAAATCCTACTTGCTTTCCAGAGCTATGCCCTGTAGCTCCCATCCAGCTTCCAGCTGCCATTCAGAGTCATTGATTAATAGGCTGCCCCTAAAAATCCATCTGATCACACCAGGTCCCTCAACATCCCCAACCCGTGGCAGGTCATTTCTGGTTTTCTGCCAGTGTGCACCCTCTGACGTTTGCCGGAAAGGCGTTCCCCACTCTTCTGTACCTGGGCAGCGTCCACCCAACTAGGTAGAGCCCTGCTCGGACTCTCCTGTCTTTAAAGGCTGTGTTTCTATAAAAATCCATGTGTATTTAAATGAAAACAGGTCTCAGACAGATCCTCTGATTGATAGTTGTCTTAAGCAGCTATGGAATCACAGCACTTGGAAATGTGGACAATTTTTTTTTAATTTCCAGAAATGTGTAACAGCATGAAGAATAACAATTCATTCTGTATTTTGGAATTGTTTAATACAGAGTTATATGAAATTGCAATATTTGTTTTGGCAACTTAAAAAATAATGTTTACTTTAAATTTAAACAAAAGAATGACTACAAACCAGAATTCATTAAAAACTTTTAGCCCAGTCTGGTGTAGCGGGCCTGCGGACCAAACAACCGTGGTTCGATTCCCAGTCAGGGCACATGCCTCGGTTTCGGGCCAGTTCCCAGCAGGGGACACATGAGACACAACCATACATTGATGTTTCTTTCCCTCTCTCCTTCCCTTCTCCTCTAAAGACAAATAAATAAAATCTTAAAAAAAATTTTTTTTAATGCCCAGCTTTTACCATTAGAGAAATTGGTGTCTGAGTGCAAAAACCCTGGAGAGTTGTGAAATTTGTAGGAAGGTGGAATCTAAGAGATGGCCTTTGGGTGGATCACAGTGGCCAGGAGAAAGGGGTGGCTGAGCCGACAGGAGAGTTGCAGGCCATCCTCTAAGAGTCCCACCGGACATGGCTGTAGGGCAGACAACTGAGGTCTGTCTCTAATAGTGTTAGGAAGTACAGTGTGTCATCCTGACACTGTCTTTTCCTTTTAACCCAGGGTGCTAAATCTCGTGAAAAAGTGGTGAAGCTTTTGGCCTCCACAAGTCCAGAAGAGGTCTTGCAGAAATTGGAAAAGCAAGTTGAAAAAAAATAAAAGTAAGAAATTAAAAAATACATCCTTGAGAAACTTTTTTATTGCTAATGATGAAGAGGCTATTAAAAAGGAAAATGTATTTAAATGCACAGAAGAAAATGTAAAAAAAAAATCCATGCATATTTAAATGAAAACAGGTCTCAAAAAAGAAGTAGCTGTTTTAATACTGTACCTTGGATATGGGTTTTAAAAATCCCTGACCCCAAATGGCTTGCAAAATATTGCCCAGATTTCGCGGCATCACAGAATAGCTGGAAAGGATATTCAACATGACCTGATTCGGCCCCTTTTCTTTTCTGATGGGGCTTCTCATATGCTGAAGCAGAGAGACACTCAGGGTCACACTGTGCAAGGTGACAACCAGGACCCAGGTCCCTTGACTGCTGGTTGAGTGCAGTCTGTCCTGACTGTGAACTGAAAGGACAGTACTCCCATGCCACTTCCGGAATTCTAGGGATTGCCTTCTAATCCAGGTTACATGCAACAGGAAAACTTGTCACTGCTTTGTAGTCTTTATATTTTAAAATGCTTATCTGTATGCAACAATGTTGTCTGCATCTTTCTTAAAATGCTTGAGCATTTTATGAAAATGTAAGAATAATCCGGACTCGGACAGGCATACCTCTTTTTATTGCGTTTTGCAGATACTGGTATTTTTACACATTGGAGGTTTGTGGCCACTCTGTGTTGGGTAATTCTGTCAGCACCATTTTTCCAACAGCGCTCGCTCACTTTGTGTCTCGTTTTTGTAATTCTCATAATATTTCACACCTCTTTGTTATTATATTTGTTATGGTGATCTGTGAACAGTGACCCTTGATGTTACTATTGTAATTGTTTTGTGGCGCCATGAATTACACCCATACAAGACGGTGAACTTGATGGGTAAATGTGTGTGTTCTGACTGCTCCACCTGCCAGCTGTTCCCCGGTCTCTGTCCCTTTGCTCAGGCCTCTCTATTCCCTGAGACACAGCAGTAGTGAAATCAGGCCAGTGAATAACTCTACAATGGCCTCTAGGTGTTCAAGTGAAAGGAAGAGTCGCACATCTCTCACTTTAAATCAAAAACTAGAAATGATTAAGCTTAGTGAGGAAGGCATGTCCAAAGCAGAGATAGGCCGAAAGCTAGGCCTCTTGCGCCAGACAGTTAGCCAAGTTGTGAATGCAAAGGAAAAGTTCTTGACGGAAATTAAAAATGCCACTCCAGCCAATACACGAGTGATAAGAAAGCAGAACAGCCTGATTGCTGACATGGAGAAAGTGTTAGTGGTCTGGATAGAAGATCAGACCAGCCACAACGTTCCCTTAAGCCAGAGCCTCATCCAGAGCAAGGCCCTGACTCTCTTCAACTCTCTGAAGGCTGAGAGAGGGGAGGAAGCTGCAGAAGAAAAGTTCGAAGCTAGTAGAGGTTGGTTTGTGAGATTTAAGGAAAGGTGCTGTCTCTGTAAGTTCAAAGTGCCAGGCGAGGCAGCAGGTGCCAAGGTAGAAGCTGCAGCAAGTTACCCGGAAGGTCTGGCTAAGACGATCCATGAAGGTGGCTACACTAAACAACAGATATTCAACGTGGATGAAACAGCCTTGTACTGGAAGAGGCTGCCATCTAGGACTTTCATAGCTGGAGAGGAGAAGTCAGGGCCTGGCTTCCGAGCTTCAAAGGACAGGTTGGCTCTCCTGTTAGGGGCTAATGCAGCCGGTGACTGTAAGTTGAAGCCAATGCTCATTTATTATACTGAAAATCCTACGGCCCTTAAGAACTACGCTAAATCTACTCTGCCTGTGCTCTATAAATGGAACAACAAGGCCTGGATGACAGCTCATCTGTTTACAACATGGTTTACCGAATATTTTAAGCCCACTGTTGAGACCTATTGCTCAGAAAACAAGATCCCTTTCAAAATATTACTGCTCGTTGACAACGCAGCTGTTCACCCGAGAGCTCTGAAGGAGATGTACGATGAGATTGACGTCGTTTTCATGCCTGCCGACACAGCGTCCGTTCTGCAGCCCATGGCTCAAGGGGTCATTTCAGTTTTCAAGTCTTACTATTTAAGAAACACATTTCGTAAGGCTATAGCTGCTGTAGATAGTGGCTCCTCTAATGGGTCTGGGCAGAGTACACTGAGAACCTTCTGGAAAGGATTCACCATTCTAGAAGCCATTAAGAACATACGTGATTCGTGGGATGAGGTCAAAATTTCCACATTAACAGGAGTTTGGAAGAAGCTGATTCCAAACCTCATGGAGGACTCTGAGGAGCTGAAGCCTTGCGTGGAGGCAGTCGCTGCAGACGTGCTGGGCATGGCGAGAGGACTAGAACTAGACGTAGGGCCTGAAGACGTGGCTGAATGGCTGCGAACTCATGATGAAGCTCTAACAGCTGAGGACTGGCTTCTTATGGATGAGCAGAGAAAGTGGTCTCTTGAGATGGAGTCTCCTAGCGACGATGAGGGGAAGATAGTGGGAATGACAACGAGGGATTTGGAACATTACATAAGCTTAGTTGATGAAGCAGCATCAGGGTTTGAGAGGATGGACCCCAATTTCGAACGAAGTTCTGCTGTGGGTAAAATGCTATCAAATAGCATTGCATGCTACAGAAAAATTATTCAGGAAAGGAAGAATCAGTCGGTGAGGCAAACTTCATTGTTGTCTTATTTTAAGAAGTCGCCACAGCCGCCACAGCCACCCCCGCCTTCGGCAACCACCACCCTGATCAGTCAGCAGCTACTAACACCAAGGCAAGACCCTCCGCCAGCAAAGAGATTGCGACTCCCCGAAGGCTCGGATGATGGTTAGCATTCTTTAGCAATAAAGTACTTTTTAAGGTACGTACAGTGTTTTGCTTACACTACGTACAGTGTTTTGCTTACACTTTATTTACATTGACAGAACCTAAGAAGGCAACACCCGACTCTTCCTGCCCCTGGAGACAGGAGCCGAAAACCTGGCCCCTGCGGGCCTCTCCCCACTCCTTTAATGTGGGGGCCGCGGGGGGCGGGGGGCAGGCTGGCGGGAGAACCAGAGCATGTAGGTGGTGCCTTTGCAGTGTTTAAAATTCCAGACGGCTGGAAACTCACCAACTTAGGGCGGCAGTTCTTTCCTGGGCTGGGGTTCCCAGCGTGCCCCCCTTACAAAAATTCTACGGTTTTGGTTAAGTAGTTCCTTGAACTATAATGCAGAATATCAATTTTGGAACCCACCATGGCTTCCGTTTCATATATATATATATATATATATATTTTAATACATGTGCCTGGGACTAAAAACGTAAGAACCTAAATTTTCAATTTCAATCCAAGAGGTAGCACTATAATGCGAAAGCAGAGGGCCACCTAATTTGAAGACAGAACTCAACTGCACTATTTGGAAGTCCCTTCTGCAGTGCCTGACACCAGTGATCCTTCTTGTCTCATTTTCTCAGAGGCTGCTCTGGGGCTGTCTCCTTATATCTTGAGTTTAGCTCAGACTAGAGTATGGTGATAATCCAGGCTGACTGGGCACCCAGAAGTTCAGGGTCACTGCTGTGGAGGAGTCAGTATGACCTCCCTTAACTCACAGCTTTCAGAAATCCCCTTTTAGTTGGTGGTTTTGAAAATGGAATTGGGCTGGACAATTGTCAGGGACTAAATTCTAAATGAGATATCAAATTGATTCCTTTGAGTCAAGAACACACCTGCCAGTTAGACTGAAGAGTGGCCTCCTCTAGAGAGTGCGTTCCGTCCCTTTGGGAAATCTCTTAAGCCGGTTGTTTGGAGGCTGCTTGGAGAGCTTGGGATCGGGGGCAGGGAAAGCACAGGCCCGGGTCAGCCCTGACCATCTGGAGCTCGCATTCCTGCTGCAGGGAGAGGCCCAGTGTGTCTTGTCAGCCCCTCTCCTGGGACAGTACTGGACACTGGGGATTGATGGCACAGGAGCTGCCTTTCTCTGCGCTCCAGGGAGACCACCTCCTTCTCCCCACCTAGGCTTTCTTCAGAGAGTCCGTATAACCCAGTGAAGATGTTCAGCATTTCATGATCCCAGTCCAGCTGTGTGTCCAGCTGTCTGTCTAGTCTCCTTGCTGTCAGAGTTTGGGCGGGGGGCATATACCGACACTGCAGCACCAGTTACAGACTCTAGTCCCTTCTGCACAGAAGTCCTCTCACCCATGATGCGATTTGACTTTCACAATGGCTTTCAAACCATGTCAGAGCTTTAGGTTTCCCGTGATGCCTTGGGGGTAGGAGCACTGTGGGGAGTAAGGGGACAAGTCATGGTTTGACTTTCACAATGGCTTTCCCACTACCTGGGGGTAGGAGCACTGTGGGGAGTAAGGGGACAAGTCATGGTTTGACTTTCACAATGGCTTTCAAACCATGTCAGAGCTTTAGGTTTCCCATGATGCCTCGGGAGTGGGAGCACTGTGGGGAGTAAGGGGACCAGAATGCCAAGCCTTTTGTCCTCCTCAAGCTGTGCTTCCGATGCGGTGGTGGCAGCCACATGTGGCTGTTGAGCACTTGAAGTGCTGCGGCTAATCAGATTTCAAAATAAAAGATGAAAGTATCATAAAAACAAAGGCCACGCTGGAAACAGCACCAACAAAGAAGGTGCTGAACATGGCCTGTGGTTCAGAAGGTGGGACAGAGAAAGGTGAGCGAGGAAAGGAAAATGGCAGGAACAGAAATCAAAAGAACATCAGCACATACCTTATTGGAGTCCTGAAGAAGAGAATCCAAGAAATGGAACTGAAAAAACCATAAAGATATAATCAAGAAAATATCGGAGAAATAACAAGATAAATTTACAGGTACAAGGCACAGTGTCCCAGGTGAAACGCTAACAAAGAACGACCAACAGCGGGACACAACCTGGTAAAATTCTCCAATTCGAAAAATAAAAGCTCACAGCCATCCAGACGAAAAATCGAAGTCATGGGGAGGGGGCGGGGAGACACATACCTGCATCCTCACATGTTGTGGATGGGACTGAATTGCTGCAGTGTTTTAGGAAATGTGGTAGCATTTATTAAAATTAAAGGTACCAGTCCTTCTAACCCCACACTTCTGCTTTTGAGGACGACCCCACAGAACATGCAAAAACACCGGAGGGTGTGTGGGAAAGCAATGCGGCCTTGTCAGTAGGGGCAGGAGGGGAAGACAACCCACGTGTCTACCGAGAGGACAGTGATCATGTTGTCATTGGCAAATCCGTACTATAGTATGTTCTTCTAATCAAATCATTTGATTTTCATCTATAACTGCTGACCTGGAGTCTATTATATTTTGTTGCCTAAACAAAGAATATACATATATATGTGTGTATGTGTATGTATTTTTATATACAATAACCGTACGTTAATAAAAAAAAGGAAAATGTTCACGTATATCAAATTTATGTATGTTTGTGTGGGGAAAGAGACGCACAACAGACCGTAATCACCAGCTGGGTGTAGACTATTCATATTTGTATTATTTCATTTTTTTAATAATATTTATATATACATAAAATCTAGTGAAGGAAACTTAAAATGAGAAAAACACAAAAAAGGAAAAGTTCTGGCCTTGAGCAATTTGAGCAGCTTTATTAATTCAGATGAAGAGGCTGGAGCTCCTGGCGGGAGTTAACGGCACTGGCAGTGGAAAAAAACCACGAGATCATCATCACATCGTCCCCCGAAGCTGGAGAAGGCACTGAAACCCAGAGAAAACCTAACTGGTAATTAATACATTTGGGCTCACTGTGTCCTTCGGGGACAGGAACGAAAGCACCGACTGAATCAGCCCCTCAGCCCCTGGAGACATCGGGGGAAGATCTGTGCGCTGCACCTGCACCGCAGGCAGCCCAGAGATGCTCCTGGAGCCACAGAGCTGACGGGGACTGGGCCCAGCTTAGTGACAGGCGCCGTGTATGAATGCTTCACCTAACCCTGCAAGGGGGCCGCAGTCACACTTGACATATGGGCCTGCTGGGAGATTAACAAAACCTGCTCCTCCCATACCATCCTGTAAATCTTAAAATCCAAGGGGCATTTTAAAAGCTTGGCTCCACTTTTCTAGTCTGATAGTATTGGTACCTCATTCATATTTTAATTCACATGCTAATTCATATAAGGGAACAATCACAACTCCTAAGTCTCCTCCATACCTCATCTGTCAGTTACTCTACATCCTGTATATGAACACTGTGCTTTATTTACATTTCACCAAATACTTTCCTCCCTTTGCTTCAACAAATGTTTATGTGGCACCAGTTATGTGCCACCGAGGGGTTAATGGTCACAAATTCTGGTCTGTCCTGTCACTCCTGTGTGGTCGGTCTCTGATTTATTTTTATGATAACTGGGAGAGTGGCAGGGTAGGTATTATCCCCGTTTTTTGCAGGTAAGCAGATAAACGCACCGCCTAAGGGATTTTCTCAAGGTCATACCTTGTAGGAACCGAACTGGAAGCCAGGACTCCTGACACTTAATGCCATTACAACAGACCATCTGTTTGAGATTAATTCCATTTGACACTATTTTAATCCCCTTCAAGATTACTTTTTGGATGTTATTTTCTGTCTCTGTGCATGAAGCAGAAACCATGTCTTTTATGTCTTCCTGGTTTGGGGCACATATGACTGCTGTTTAAGGAAGAAAAGAAAGAAAAAAAAGGAGAGAAACTAATATAAAAGCTTTATCTCAGAGTTCATATGTGTAATGAATGAGAATAAATGTCAATGTGGCTTTTTAAATATACTACATAAAATAAAACAAGTGGAATGTTGGGCTAAAAAAGAAAAGAAAGAAACCACCAGCATATAGATAACTCATGTGGAATGCAGAAATAGCTCACGTTAAAGGGAAGATTCTTAGCGTATTTTCAAGCAGAGCCGGCAGGCCATTCGTACCGTACTCTATCCGTGTTAAAATATTTAAATATTGTTGGAAAATCACCTTCCTTCTGAGCTTTCTGAGAGGCACCCCTCACTCCAGCTCTGCCCCTGGGCCTCCGGGTCTCCCTAACTAGTGTCAAAAGTGGACACGGCACAGGCTCCAGGATCCTGCTGTAAAGCTGTGCTCAGCTGCTGTCCCGCTCGGTAGTGCCTGGGCTCCTTCAGCTGGTAAGGATTTTTAATGATCCATCTGCTTTTAGAGAAGATCCTGGGTCACAGGCAGGCCAGTGTTATACCTCTCTGGGCCAAATGTCTGGAGTGTCACGGCCTATCTTTATGGTTGTCCATTCATGTAATGAAAGGAGTGCAGGAAACCCCTTACTTTTATTTACATCGGAGTGTGAATAGTTGTTTTATTAGGTCCTTTCCAAAAAAAAAAAAAGTTACGTGAAAGATGGCTCTCCGGGAAAGGGGAAGAGGAGGGCGAGGTGCAGAGCACGGAGACAGGGCCCCTGGAGAAGTCGAGGCCTGGCGTGCAGTGCCCAGGGAGAGTGCAGACTGCCCAAGCTGCCTTTTAATCCCTCTGGCCTACGTTGAAATATACACTCTTAATATTAGTTTTAAATATCAAATAAACCTTTTTCAATGGATATGAAAGAGGCAGTAATAAAAAAGTGCAAGACTCATGTCACCATATTAAAGAATAGGCTAACCACCAAAACTTGAGAAATAGATTCATGTTTTAAGTATTTTATTTAAATAAAGCCATTGGAATGGCCGTTAAAATTACTTGAAATATAATGATCACTCTGAAAGGAAGTTATAGCATCATGGTATTTATAGAAGAGAAAGCGGCAAAAGTGCACATTTGGACGTGAATATGACGTGGTAAGATCAGCCAGCATTAAGTACCAGAAAGGAAAACAGCCAGGTAATTGCAGTAGAGTCCATTACACATGATTGAAAAGGAAAGGGGAACATTACAGCGTTTTCCTCGTACTTTTGCATAACATGAATTTTGACCCGCTAAGTTAAAGTTAGCAAAAAGCCTTAAAGTTTATATAAAATGACTGCAAGCCCTAATCCCACGCACCATTAGATCAAGACTCTAGAACTGAGAATGATTCCTTCCTCATATTACGGTTTTATTCTTGATACTCCTCTAAAAGAGACAAAAATGACTGTGGAGCTGACTCATACCTACAGAGTAATTACAAAGTACCGTAGTCACATAACAACAAGAGCCAAAAATGAAACCCACTACAATTACTTTACGTTCCAATGGCGGGTGTTAATGTACAATACATCACAGCTAAGCATGGCTGTGCGTTCACGGGTTGGCTTTACAACCTCTGTGAGGCTGTAGGAATGAGCATATGGACATTTCCTCCTATTGCAAAGTAAAAGCAAAGATTTTCTATTTTAAAATTCTAACTTCTGTGTATAACAAAGACAGAACTGAAGGTCAAACAAGGAAAAGATACACAAAGTTCGAAGCACTATGAAGTCATGAAACAGAAGAGTCTGAGGTAGAAGTTAAGCAACATAACCCAGCAACCATCACATACCTCTCCAGTAAGATGTTAAATGCCTCAAGTTCCCCCAAAAAATTAACCTGTTTTCTAAAATCGGATGTAAAACTATGACCAACAGAAGATACACACAGATGTTTGCCTTGTTAACCAAGTAGATGGTTTTACTAAAAGCCACTGACGTTGCTCTCAGTAGTAACCATAGGGAGACCGCTGGTTATAGCCATAGTGTCCATACTGGTGAGGGTAGTAGGCTTCTTGTCTGTGCTGCTGGTAATTGTTCCCCCAGGGCCGTCCATGCCATTGATTGGATCGATTGTCACTCGGCCACCCCCGTCTGCTGTCCCGACCTCTGAACTGTCTGTTGTCTTGTAACCTACAACAAAAAAAAACCCCAGAATATTCATATACTTCCCTTAAGACAACACATTGCCAATCTATCCTGTGGCATTTGATTTCTCAGTTGAGTACTTAGTAAACAAGAGTGATAAACATTTTTCTCTACAGAATGTTACAGCACCAACCATTCAAAACCTTTCCTAAGACTTAAATCATCCTTCCACTGTTACATTGGACATGGTTTGTAGAGAAATGGGCAGACTTCAACACCAAACCCAAAACAAGATCGTTCTGAATCAGAATGAGAACTATTACACTATGGAAACAAACAATGTGATTTATTCCTTTTATCTATTCCAGGGTGTCAAACTCATTTTCACCGGAGGCCACATCAGCCTCACAGCTGCCTTTAAAGGGCCAAAATAATTTTAGGACTGTATAAATGTAACTACTACTTAACCGTTAAGGACTTGAAATTACATTAGGCCCTTTGAAGGCAACCACGAGGCTGATGTGGCCCCTGGTGAAAATGAGTTTGACACCCCTGATCTATTCTGAATCATTAAATAGAAGTAACTTCCACTATAGTGGAAGTATATAGTACATATAGTATATGTACTTTCTCAAAGAAAACAAAAACTATCTTCTTTATGGAATTTTATACAAAGTTTTATAGAAGACTCGAAGTTTTTACAGTATATTTGCAAATAAAATATTTGTCCACAGATGGGGCGGGGGAGGCTGGGATGGGAGAAATAGACAAAAAAACTGTATTTGAAAAATAACTAAATAAAATTAATTTAAAAAAATATTTGTCCACAGAAAGAACGTTTAAAAAAAGAAATTAGCCCTGGCTGTTGTGGCTCAGTGGTTGAGTCTCAGCCTGCGAATAAAAGGGTTGCAGGTTCGATTCCCAGTCAGGGCACATGCCTGGGTTGCGGGCCAGGTCCCCAGTGGGGCGTGTGTGAGAGGCAACCACACATCAATGTTTCTCTCCCTCTCTTTCACCCTCCCTTCCCCTCTCTAAAAATACATAAATAAAAATTAAAAAAAATTAACATATACACAATTAACAGTAAGGTGAAAAAAAAAATACATGGGCTGACAAAACGTTCAGACAGATATGTACCAGCCAGGGAACAAAAACCGTGTGCCAGGGAACGAAAGCTGTGGTCCCTGCCCTCTGGTCTCCTGGGCCAGCAGACTGCAGGTCGTTCTTCGCAAGCAATACCTACCAGTTGCCCCTGGTTCTCTGGTTCCCGCCAGCTCTGCTACTCCATTCCTCGACAATGGGAGGGGACTCAGGAGGGCGTTTCAGGTATTCCTGGTACTCTTTGTCATCTTCTGTGAATCTGCTGGCAAACATCTCTTCAAAATTTGGGACAGCTTCCGAAGTATCAGTCATTCTGGAATTCTGTACACTTCTTGATTTGTTTCTATTAGAAGTTAAGAAAATGAACAGTATTTTGCCAGTGAGAAACCAAGAAATAAACAACTTTAGGTATGCCTAGGATAAAATGCGGGACGTGGCTTAAAAGAAAAAAAAGCCAATTAAAAAGAATACAGTCTAGAGTATTTTATAATGGCATCGAATGTATTCTTACTGCAGACTCTGTGACAAATGAAAAACAACTACTAGTATCCATCCTACTAGTATCCAATTGGATACTACTAGTATCCAATTAGTATCCATACTAATGGCTATAAAAACTGAAGTCTGTATCAGCTGGATCTTCCAGGACTGTTATGAATCCCTTCAACAAGTAGCACTTCACTGACATTTTCAGAGATCCCTCTACATCTGAGAAAAGATGTGGCTTAGGCCGCAGGGACCTAATTCTTGAGAAACCAGGGGACAAAGAGTTCACTTCTTTCAACCTTCACCCAAATCCTGGAAGCCAACCACAGCAGTGTTCTGTCGGGAACCCCACTTTCCAGTCTTCCTTGATCAGATCCTGCTCCGTACTGCCTTCCCTTTCCTAGCCCAAACCCATCTTTTTGCCCTTTGCCTCAAGACTCCTAAAACCTGCCTTCTGATTTGGGGCACCTGTGACATCATGCTAAAATTTTAAAACCAAATCTCCTTATCTGACATCCCCCAAATTCTCTTTCTTCCTGTATTTAACTTACAGTAAAGAGTTTTTGATAAAGAAATGTGATATTGGAAGATAGCTGCTTTGCTAGTTTGTCCTTCCTCCAAATCCCTCAAAACATGCCAATATTTGTAATATTGCCTTCATCCCAACAAAATTAAGCAGACTATTGTTTGGACGCAAGAAACAACATCTGGATGTTCTACCTTTCAGACCACTGCTCTCTCAGAGAGTATGCCTTATTAAAAATGGCAGACTTTCAATGTGTCTGGGAGTGGCAAACCACTGTCCAATTCTCAAGTCCAAGGTACGGTTTAAAATAAATTCTGCTAATTAAAATTCGTGCTTGAGTTTCTATAGGGATGACACAAATCACCAGAAAGATGGGTGCTATTCTATTTTTAAGTTCACTCATATCACCATCCCACAAGTAAATCTATTTATCATTACTCATGAGAATGCAATTTAAATAGAATGCTATTAACCCATCTATGTTACTGCAATACATTTAATTAAAATAACAAATATAATTTTTATTGACTCAAGCTTTACTCACCAACAGGGATTTGAAGTTGCACAGTCTGATAATGTTTGGGTTGTCTAGATCTGTGGGAGGGACAGAAAAACAACCTTCAAGAAAACCTCAAAAGGTGCAGGGAAGTAGGGAGAGACCATAAGGGCTTTAAATTAATGCAGGGGTTGGATTAAAAGTGCTCTAGTGCCTTCCAACGCTAATTTGAAAGTGCACAGAAGTGCCAGCGAAGAGACAGAAAATGATACAAAGACTTGGCCTCCGAGCCTTCAGAACCAATCAACTAGTTCCAGCGTGAATAACTAGTTCCATGTTCTTTTCCGCTGAAATAAAGGGGTACGGCCTTTATTTCAGACTCTCACTCGAACATGAGTTTATTTACCATAAAAAAAACCACACAGAACCTTTCCTAACCTTGGAAAGGACTAACCAGAATGAGGTTTCGCTGTCCCAGGAGGTGAACCCAGAGGACAGAGGGAGGTAAGGACTGGAAACCACCGCGGATTTTTCAGTACGCTCCCAAAGCAAATCAGAGCTGGTCTGCCAAGGCTTTGGCAGATCCGCCCCTTTCCGAGGCACCTTAGATGTCCCGGTGCGAAGGAAACTAGAGGCCGTGAAGGGCAAGGGGCTTCCGACCTCGCAGAAGCTCCCAGACCTGGAGCCGCAGACCGAGGACAGCTCGCCACTCGGCTGGGCCCGCCCGCCTCCCTCCTCCCCGACACCCAACCCGGCAAATCACCCTCCAAACGCTGTGTCTACTCAGCTCGGGCCGAGCTCTGCCGCCAGAACGCAGAAAACCCACCTCTGCACCCAACGCGTCCAACTCTGCACCACCCCACCTCTCCAAGGTAACGGAGCCACTACTGTCAGAATCCGACACCCCCTTGACTTCCGCTTCCGGCAAGCTACGCGGAGGCGGGCCTGTCAAATCTCGCGATATCTAAGGTGCGGCGTGGGGCGTTTTCCCAGTTTTTCAGATTGTGGTGCGAAGGTCGCGGTGCGCCTTGCGTGATGCCCTTCCGTGCATTTGACGCCTGCCTGGTACCTGTGTAGAAGAAGTCGTCGCCATATATTAATTCCCCTTGAGTGGGAGCCGGGGACGGATAGGGACGGAGGTCCTGGAAATATGCAGAGAAGGGAGGGAAAGGCCGCTTCCGGCCGCCTGCTTCCGCGGTCTGTGGGGAACGCGAGGCGAGGCAGGCCGCGAAGAGAGGAGCAAATGGATGACCTCAGCGGCGCGGCACCTTGACCTTCTGCAGGGCAGGCCTCGGCAGTAAGAGTTCCACACTCCGTTTTGTGCGTGTTTTCCCCAAACACGTCCCCTCTCCCCTCCGGTTTCCTTGGAAAAGGCGACCGGAGTCAGCGACCCGCTGCCTCCAAGTGTCTCGGCCACATCGTCTCCAGCCTTCCGCAAGTGTATACAAGCTGAATATCCCGAACACAGCTTGGTCTCTTACCTCCCAGTTCCTTTCAGGCTCTGCACGCCTTTTGCACCTACCACCACCAGTTTCCAGCGTGGATACCAGGATGTCTGTCTGGGGTGCCATTTATTGCCTTTCTGGCGCCCAGCACTGACTAAGTTCTGCCGACTGTACCCCTGCAGGAATTCTGACGTTCAGGGCGAAGCTCCCGTTATCACCCCCCGAGCAGCGGGAATGCAGTACCTTTCCCATGGTGCCGTTCCTCCAGCACGTCCCCTTATCAGTCCGTCTTGCATTCAGCTGCCATAGGTTTGGATCACTTTCTTTTATTTTATTTTAAATTTTCTTTTATTTACTGACTTGAGAGAAAGAAAAAACATCGATTTGTTGTTCCACTCATCTATATGTTCCACTCAACCAACATTCATTGGTTGATTCTTGTAGGTACCCTGACCTTGGCGTTAGGTAGCACAGCACTGATCCAGAATCTTTACTAGCTTCCTCTTGCCTGTACATTAAAGGCCAAATTTAGTTATTTATTCATTCACTTTCTGTTTTTTTCTTTTTTGCTCAATCCTTCCACCTTCCAGCATGCCCCCCTATTTATTAAGGTGGATTTGAAACTCTTAACTTTATTTCCTGCTATTCCCCTTTCATTCTCCCTTAGCCCCTAACACTGAAACTTCATGTGTTCATTCAGTACTTAACCACTTTCTAACTTAGAGCTGAAATTATGCATAAGTTGCCCCTCCCACTAGACCATACAGGGACCTTTACCCAATTCATTCCTGCATCTTGCCGTGTGTGACGTTGTGCTTTGTATAAAGTCAGCACTCAGTGCATGTTTCTGGAATGAGTGATGGAACTACAAATGTTCCAAGCCATGTTTTAGAACCATTAACCGAGCAAAAGTGTACAGGATAGCGTGGGTGGCAGATAGCATAAGCTGGGTGTTGGGGAAAGGGGAAAGTGGAAAGACCTAGGTTACGATAGTTGAATAGTCACTGAGCAGGTGACGGGAGAAAAGGATTAGGTGGAATCAGGGAGGATTCCTATTCCTAAAGCCTGGGGAACAGGGAACAGAGAAGGGATAGCCACAGGGTAAGCTGGTTTTGAAGCAAACATAAACCCAGAGCTCAAAATGATTTGTAGAATTTGAGTTGGTAGTGAACTTTCTAAAAGAAAAATTTTAGGGGGGTTTTGGAAATACAGGACTGAAGCGGAAGAAAGAGAAGCTATGCCCAAATATGTAAATGTATGAGTCATCCACAAAGAAACAACAGTTGAAATAATCAGTGTACATGATCTTTTCCACGGGAGAAAGTATTTATAGAGAGAAGCAGAAGGCCAAGGCCTACGCCTCAGGAAATGCCCAGATTTAGGAGACAGGGATAGGAAATATACACTTGAAAAGAATATTACAATAAATATGATATATGGGTAGCAATGTAGCAGTTGAAAAAAAATGCGGAAAAGTGCTTCCCTACCTGGTATCAGGAGACAGGATATTTGGGAAAAGGAGAGCTATTGAAGACCAATTTGCTGATTTCCTCATAACTATGATGGCATTATTCCTGGGTATCCAGGACTTACACAGAAATCAGTATATTTCTTTTCTTTAAATCCCTAAGTGGCATTTGGGAGCTCATAGGCTTCTGAGAGTTTCTGTGGAAAATTCTAGGTATTCCAGCTAATTTTCAGATGAAACTATTGTTGCCCATAATGTTTTCTCATATTATGGTACTTTATCAGTTATATCATTTTCTCACATCATCAGGAAATAATCTGTTCCATGAAAAGGAATTTTCCAGATAACTGACACTTAGCCTTTAAATACCAAAACGTTTTCATGGGAACCACTTTTAATGGGAACATGCATAAAATATACTTTTATGCAATAATCAGAGTATTTGTGCCATAATTCAATCTGCTTGGCAACTAAAGGTCATTGTTATCATCAGTTATGATATTCTGTTGCATGGTAAATGTCCTTGGGCCTGTTGACACACATGGAAAAGATTAGCTGTTGTTAGTTGACTTTGCTCTCTGTTATTAGTGTTATAGCTCAGTATTTTATCTTCTAGCCACTTTAGTAATTAACCTGATTTTACCCATAATTCAAGCCTCCCTTTGACCCTGTGATCTGGAAGCAAAACACATCAGCAGAAGACCCTAAGGAATCCTGGCGTCCAGAGAGCCCTGCATTCTGAGGCTGTGAGTGAGCCAGGACAATGACCATTCTCAAGATGGTGAAACTGCAGTGCAAAGGGGCATCTCATTTAGTCAAGGGCACAGCTGGTAAGTGGCAGCAGGATTTTGCTCAAGTCTGTGCTACTTCAAAAAGCCTCGCGTTTTCCTCAGTGAAACACTGTTTTCTCCTTTTCATTTCTGACTCCACAAATCTTCAGCCACGTTCAACAACTTTGGTGCTGCTGATCGGCCCTGGGCTCTTCCGCTCGGCTGATGTGGACCTGCAGGAGGCAGGAGCGCTGCCCGGCAGCCTCTGCGCCAGGAAGTGAGCACCACAAGGTATCTGCTGCCCTGACTTTATCCTCTGCAAAATGGGAGTAATAATCCTTGCTACTTCTCTGCTTCGTGAGGTTATTGTAAGAGTTAATCATTGCACAGATAAAGTACATCAGGATCAAGTGAAAAATGATGCTGTGTGCATGCTAATGATGACTAGCGTTATTATACGTTACATAAATGTTTAGTCTCTAAGAAAATACTTCGAGTTATATGAGACATTGGTTTAGAATCACGTCCGTACTCCTGTGGCTGTAATTACATGTAGTTGTTTTGACCAGAGATTACAAGATTTTAATCCAGTTCTTTGCCTCACTGGCATCCTCCCACACAAGGAGTTCTTTGTGCAAGGGAGTCTTTTTCAGGAGAGTGTAGAAAGCAAGCCAGTGCTAGTTACAAGTTGCTTTGCTACCTGAGTATTACTATTTACCATAGAAGCCAGTTGATACCATAGGAGAAATCACAGAAGAAGGAAAGATGAGCAATCTTGGGGAAGAAAAAGTTGTGAATTGGGCCTAATGGGTTGGAATCAAAGTCTTTTCCAATTCTAAAATCTGTGATTATGATAGGAAGGTATTTTTCTCTCCTTTTTCCTATTGTTCATTACACAAATAAAGGCACAAATTCTGTTTCCTAAGTAGAAGTGATTTCAACTTGCATTGTAGAGTATCTGCCTATTTCTGTTTCGTTTGACAGGGCTCATCCTAAGCCAAACGACAGCACTCATCTTAAAGATTAGTACCCTTCCTTCACATTTTGTGGCTGCTTTGTGTGCTCCATTGGCTAGCTCTAGTAATCCACTTCAGGGCCTTGGTCCTTCCCAGCTCTTCATCGGATATACGAGTTACACTTAGACGAGACCTTGGAGATGCACAGAGAAGCCAAGGGACTTATCCAGAATTTACTCTCAACCACTCCTTATCCCACCCATACTACCATCATCCTTCCTCCACGTAATTTTCCAGAATCTTTTTCATTGACCTGATCATCACAGTGTGAGTGTTAAAAGCATTTTCTAAGCACTTGAAAATGGCCGAGTAAGTCAGGATCCTTAATCTGAGGGTGAGCTTCTGACATTCTCCCCGTTGTAAGAGGGTAAGTCTTCTGGGTTTCCATCCAGGGTTTGGCAAGTTTATTGTCCTTGGTGACAGGGAGTCTGTTCCACATTTGTGTGAAGCCAACCTTGCCTAATAATCTTTTAAAAGAAAAGTATAGAAAGCCCGATTTTAAAGCAGATGTTCGGGTGATTCAAGTATCTTCAGTGTAAGTGAGTATAACATAGGGAATGGAAAGAGCAGCAGACAAGGAGTCAAGACACTTGACTTACTCCCTGTGGGTTATGGTTGGAGGAGATCTTTCAGAGGATGTGGCCAACAGCTGACACAAGAACTGGACCTAAGTAATCAGGGGCTCCTCACCCCTTCCCCTGTCCTTGGAACAATGTGTTCTGACCTCCATCCCCACTGTCCATTTTCAAGGGTGCAGCCATGAGAGAGGGAGGTGTTGAGACCATCTGGACTGAACCCAATTAATGCCTCCGTACAAACTTTAAAGATTCTGGTGGCTGGTGCAGAGATCTACTCATCTTGCACTTGCCCAAGACGAGCCTCAAAAGTAAGTTACCTTATTGAAACCGCCACCACCTTGCTGGGCTCTGCCGCTTTCCTCACCTCTCCTTTCTCTCGCTGTGCAGGAGCCACTTTGCAAACCAACCAATGGTTATACAAGTCGCCACCTCTCTGGGTTGTTTTTTTTTTTTTCACTTTGTTTCCTATTTCACAGGTAAAATTAAGGTTTCAGCATTAACTCCCTGGGTTCCCCAAGCCCGTACCCACAGTCAGACCGGTTTCTGCCCCCTTTCACCTTTTGTCTTTCAGTCTTGCTGCTTCGAGACATTGGTCTGTCTGCGCAGTCAGTGCTCTGCAGGGCACTGCTCTTGCAGCTACACCTCCTCCCTTCTCTGTTTTCACCTCCCCACCCCCAGGCCCTCCACCCCGTCCTGGCTCCTCCCATACCCACTGCCTAAGCTTGCTCAAGTTTCTCCAGTCTCCAAACAAAACCGACACCCTGGCTGGCCTCAACCCCCTGTCCTCCTCTGAATATCTAGGATCCCCTTTCTGCCCAGGGGGGGTCTCTTAAAAAGAGCACCCCACACCTGCGGTAGTGCAGTGTCCCCTCTCCCTTCCTCTTCACTGCAGCCTTGCTTCTGCCCCAGCCACACGCTGAAACTGCCCTGGCAAGGTTCTCTAACGGCTGTTGACCTAGGGCCAAGTTCAGTGACTGCTTGTCTGGCATCTTCGGTTCATTTAGTATCTGTGCAGCCTTTGACACTTATCTCTTTCATCTCCTTCCTCCCTGAAACCTTCTTCTCAGTTTGCTCGCACGTTTTTCAGGATGCTCCTCTGCCCTGGGACACTGTTTCCTCGCCTGCTTGTCCCCAGATGTCGGTGTCCCCTGGCCTTGTCTGTACTCTCCTTATGTTACCTGTGCAGACCCAGTCTCTCTGTTGGCTTCCAGCTCCGTGCTGATGACTCCAGCCATCCATGCTATCTGAGCTTTTGACTCATAAACACTCCTGCCAACTAGAAACCTCTCTCTGGATGTCCGACAGGCATCTCCAGCACACAGTCTGAATGCAATGTGAGTTCATCTTTCTTCCTGAGCCTGTTCATCCACCTCTATCTCCATTCTTGAAGAATGCTTCCTCCTCGTTACCCATACCAGAAACCTGGCAGCAATCCTGGACTCTGCCCACACACCCAGTCCCTCCCCAGGGCCCGTGCACTTGAGCTCCTGACCATTTCTTCTGTGTGCACTCCTCTCCTTTCGCCACTCTTAGTTCTGACTCTCACCCCTTCTCATACAGACCACGGTGATAGACTCAGCTGGTCCCTGTAGCCAGCTCTGCGCCCCTCCAGACCCTCCTCCATTCTGCTAGTAGAGCGCCCTTCTTTAGTTGTTAATGAAGTATACAGGACAAGAAAGTAGGTGATAATATCACCAGTTCTTGTGTGCCTACCAGCCAGCTCAAAGTAGGTTCTTTCTAAACCACAAACTCGATTGCATCTACCCCTTGATCTGCCCACTTTTCAGTGGTTCCTTCTCGGATGCACCGTACACTCCTCAGTGTAGAATGACAGCCTGTTAAGATTTAGTTCTGCCCTATCTGTTCAGCCTCGTCTGCCACCCTCCCTAAGTAGATGCACAGCCACGTCACAGTGCTTCACGTTCCCGGAAGAGCTCACGCTGTGCTGCATGCTTGCTCTTTCTTCTGTGTGCAGTGTCGTCCCTCCCCCTCTCGCTGGCCCACTTGGTAACCCCTGGTCTGTTGTGTCATCTTCCGCTGGCCTTCCGTAATACCCACCTCCTCGTCCCCAACTCCGATGAAAACTGAGTATTTAACATACATAGTCACATATTTATCACAATGTATTGTAATTTGTTTACTTCCACCTAAATTCTAAGCTCCTTGAGAGTAAGGCTGTGTCTTTCACATCTTTGGCCATTCGCGTAGAGTCTGGCAATATAATGCATAGTTGGTGCTCAGTAAATGTTTGTTGATCTGGCCCCTACCTTCTTCCCCAGTTTTATATTTGACTAATCTTTTACACTGAGCAAACACTCAACCATGTTTTTACTTGGCTCCCCTCCTGTGCATCGCATCTGCGTCCCCCCGGACACCCCTTTATCATGGCACCACTCTATCCAATCTGTCTGTCTTCATGTCCATCTTTCCTGCTGGTACGTAAGTGCTGGGAGGCCAGGGACCTCGTGCGACATCTCTGCCTCCCCTGCACCTGGTGCTGGGGCCGATGCACCCAGGCCGGGAAAAAGCCTCTGTGAACATGTGAAAAAAGGAGTTAGACTTGTTGACTGTCAGTTCTCCAACTGCAGGTTCCAAAAGCAATGACGTAATCTAGAGCTTTGCTCCCAGTAGATGATGAGAGCAGTTGAAACACCAATTCAAACAGTTGGCAAAGACAAAGGTAAACATTTAAGATAGTGAGTCAGATGAAGGTGAATCCTCCCAAAGGATCGGGAGCATTGGCAGTGAGCGTGTCCAAGTCATCTCAGGCCGCCCCTGCGCACTGATGGTGGCTCCCATATGTTCCCTCCCGTGACACGTGTGCCGGGGAGCTTCTCGGAAGGGTGTTTGACAGCCTCCCTGTGACCAAACTGGCTGGAAATAGGCTGAAAGCACATTACTTCTCTGCAGCAAAAAACGCTTTTTCCCCATTAGCACTTCACTTTAATTTGCTCATTTTTGTCAACTAAACACAAAGCTTAGTCATTTATTTTGCACTTGATTTCCATTCACATAAAATTCTAGAGAAAATCCTAATCTAAAGACTCTCTTAGGATTTGTGACCTCACTTATTTTCTTCACTTTACAAGTATTTACCAATATCCAGAGTATATCTGGGCTTCATGTTGGGAGAATGGAGAGAATTTTTTTTTTAAGTGGAACACAAATTTTAAGATCTACTTGAGTCGAACAGAAGATAGTTATGATGTAGCATATGTATGATATGAAATAGTACATGGTAAACTAATGGGGTGCAGGAAAAGGTAATTCCAATCAAAGTATTGGGAGACTTTGGAGTGAGGGGGAGAAGCCAGAGCAAAGTGACAGTAACCCAGAGAAATGTACTAACTGAAGGTGGTGAATCTCCAAGACACACTATGCACAGACGGCCGGAAGTAAGACCCTGTGAGTGATCTGGGTGGATGTGGAGGATGGAGACGGGCTATTCTGCTGCTGAACATCTTCAGAGACTCCACAGCTGCTCCATTTCCCTTAGGCCAACTCCCAGGGCTCTTTGCTCCTCTTCTCTCCCAAGTCCCCTCAGGGACCCCTGTGTAGCACCATTTCTGTCAGTTTGGAGTGAGGTGGTGCCAGCTCACTTGGGGAATGCATGTCTCTTTGAATTTCACCATATCCAGTTAGAAACTGGGGAGGGTTGACCCTGTTTTTCTCTGTGGCAGGTAAGCACCTGCTTTCTCCCACAACTGGGGAGCTGTGCTCTACAGAGATCTGCAGTGATTGTAGGTGGGAAGGGCATTGGCTTTAGATGCAGACTAACCTGAGTGACTTCAGCCAAGATAGGGGCTCATTTTTTTTCTTCTAAAATGACATTATAATGATTCTTATTCTCTACCTCCCAGATTATGATTATAAGGATTCACAAAAGTCAGTTCCCCCTCTTCTTCCTCACTGTGTTTCAGGGAACCATCCCCTTCATCCTGGGCCTATCGCCCTGGCCTGTTCCTCTGTATGGCCTCCCAGATGCTCTGAGCTTTCAGCACAGTGGCTCTCATCAGTTTACTCTCACCCCCCTTTTCATTCCCCAGTTCTGCTGTCTTCCCAACGCCAAGGGTGCTGCACCGTCTGAAGTGACCACTAGTTTATCTGCTGGGAAGGCAAGCCCAGAAGTGGGTTGGAGGACAAAGCTTGTCTTGCTTAGCAACATATAATGGCTCAATGTGGACCTTTATTTAATCCTCACTGCAACCTTCAAGAAGAGGTATCAGAGTTGTCCATGTTGCCACGGAGAACTCGGGGCACAGGGAAGTTACATAATATACCTAAGGTTCATAAGTGGGGGAGCCCAGGTAAGAATCCAGACAGCCCACTCCCTGCTGCATTCTACTGTTTAACCCTCAGAAGCAATTTTGTGGTTACAGAGAACAGTAGGGAGGCAGTATTCTCCTGAGAGCCAGCAAAGTAGTGGGTGCTTATTTCTTATGTGTCAAATTGGCTCTGGGTGATAGGATCCTTTATTTCATCATTTCCCAGGATGTGTCCTCTGAAAAAGTACTTAAGGCTTCATTGCTACTGAATTAATTTAATTTAGAAAATAGAGTAAATTGTGTTCCCTTACTGGTGTTTCTTAAGTCTACATTGAAATATTAGAGGTGCTTTAAAATAATAGTAAAGAACCCTATTTCATTTTGTCTAGCCCAGTGTTCCCCAGTCTGTGGAGTATGGAGCCTGTCCCCGCCACGCACCACCTGTTGACATCCCACGGAAACACCACTTTATGTAAACTTTCTGGAGTAAAGACAAATGAAGAGCTGTTTTAGAAATTGCATTTTAATTAAAAATGTACTGGCTCTATTGAAAGGGAGACACTGAATGTCCGGCCTGTTCTGCCACAGCCCTCTTTGATCCCCCGCACCCCGGGCGGTTGTGGGGAGGGGTCGGTTGTGTCGTCATTGAAAACGGCTCCCAGGCTCCGTTCGGCTGGCCTGGGTCAGAAGGGCCCCCGGTGAAATTTCAGCTCCCAGGCGGGTTGGTATCCAGTGTCTTCCTCTGTGAGCACTGACCTCAGACGTGGTAGATAGAAACTTCCCAGCTTAGTTGCGTACAACAACCCAGCCGGAGCTAAAGGGAGAACGCGATGTCACCAGCTATCTATAGTCATTCCCTAACTGACACCTGGCCGAGGAATACCTGGCTTGTTTGTTCTAAATTAGGACTATATCTCATTGTCATCCCTCGGCCGTGGGGAACTGAGCCAGGGGACAGGGCTGCCAGAACTTGGGATCACCCAAGGCCTTGGGCAGCAGAGGTAGAGGTGAGAGGCTGGATGTAGCCCCGTGTGGGGCGCACTGGGGGAGGCCTGTGTGTGGGAAAGCAGCCTGGTGGTCTGGCCGGCTCCTGGGAGCTCGGCACAGTCTGGCCGGGAGCCTCTCCCTGCACAGCCCCAGGAGGCTGGCTTGGCCCCACCTTATTGGTGGAACACTCTGGTTTCTTTTTTTCTCCCAAATCTGCCTTTCATGGGCAAGAATCACTTCAGGCTCTCACATGCAGATTCCCATACCGGTCTCAGAAGGGCTGAATCGGTCTGTGTAATAAATGCCCTGTGTGAGCTACACCAGGAGGGCAGTCTTGGGGACACTGCTCCAGCTGCTCAGGGGGCGTACGCAGCAGTATTGGGCTCAGTCCCTTCCTCCAGGTGCTTTTGTTTCCTGTCACTTTGTTTTGGGGGCCCAACTTGGGTTCTGTAAGAGTCTCATGCTGTCTCAGAAGGGACCACGAGGGTCTTGTCCTCCTCATCCCCATCTTCAGGGTTCTGCAGTCCTAGGCCCTCTAGCCACGGGCAGGTCAGAGCCAGATGCTGGCACCCAGCTAGAATAAGTATGTGTATGTTTTCTTCCTTTCTCAGCTCAGCCTTCCCCTCCTTGTAATGAGAAGTAGTTTTGAAGAGGCAGTTTGGTATCTTTTATAAAGTTAAACCTCTTATCTGCTCTAATTAGTCAAGGATATTTATCAAGCACATACAAGGTGCAGAACAGGACTGAAAAATAAACATGTCCCTGATTTCTTGGCATTGAATAACTAGTTCAGACTTGGGATAACAAGAAAGTTCTGGAGGTGGTTGGTGGTGATGGTAGTAGCGCAGCACTATGGACATTCTTAATTCCATTAAACTGAACTTAAAGACGAGTAAAATGGTAAATGTCTTGTTACGTATGTGTTTCCACAACGAGGGAAAAGCCGAACTTGTTCTGGAGACAGTGCACCCAAAAACCAACTGAAGAAGACATTTATAAAGTGTTAAACCAGCAAACGTAAAGAAGCACATGAATTTAAAGGGATGCTTGAGTAAAGGAAACCAAACACCTGTACAACTTCTGTACTGTAGGGTCAGAATTGGCAGTTTGGAGAATTATGCAGATGAGAGAAATTCATGTGCAAAGAGAACCACGGATCGTGTGTAATAAAAAGCGCGTTTCCCAGGGGAAGAGCCTGCTGAAGGGGCAGCTCCCGCACTGCGCACCAGCCCGGGTGTGGGAGTGTTTGCTGCAGGAATGGGGCTGAGGACTCGCAAGGAAAATGGTGACGGGCAGTCTCCCTGGGTGGGGGGCGCTGGGGAGGCCTCTTGCTCTGAGTGAGTAGACAGGTCTGGTCTTGACTCAAAGTGATTTTGTGCGAACTGTCCTGGTATATATATAACTCTATAATTACCGAAGGAAAGTCCCAGAGACCCCTGAGGAGCAAGCTGTTGGAGGTGGTTAGAAATGGCCAGAAAAGGTGGGCCCGCTGCCAGGTAACTCATCTCCACCCTGCACAGGAGCTGGGAGAGCGCGGGAGGGGCGCCGTGGGGCAGCACAGGCAAGGGCTTTGTGGGACAGCCGGCCAGCAACCTGCCGGGCAGCTGATGGGAGACAGGTGGTGTTCAGGAGAGCTGTTACCCGCCATGAGGACCCCAGATTTGCAGCAGCGGGGGACCTCACTTGGAACAACTGGTGGATGAGCTGAGCTTTATTGGAGGCAAAGAGGCTGGGAAGCAGAGCCACTGTGACCTCCCAGATGGGGCCGAGGAAGAGGGCGGGAGTGGGCTGTGTGTCCGATCGGCTAACCGTGCCAGCCGAGCCATCCGGGGCCAGTCTGGCACGTGGTAGACCTTCAGTAAGTATTTGCTACATTGAAATGAATGGGAAACCCAGTTGTTTCTATTTTGTGTGGTTTGCTTTTTGGGTTTTTTTGTTGTTGTTGTTTGTTTTGCTCTTAGTTTTCTGGTGAAGAGTTATTTCCTTTTTAGAGAAGAATATATTTGATTCAGCGAAATAACCCAGAAGGGGGTTGGTTGATCACACCTAGAGCAGGATGGCCCCCGGGGTGCTCATGACCACTCTTTGACCCTCACAGGGTCCCTTTCTTCCCCTGCTGACTCAGTCCATCTACACCTTCCTCAGCCCGACCTCTGGTCCTTCAACAGGCCCTTCCTGGGTCAGATACTGCCTTGCCAGTGGCTCCCAGGTCTCCCTTCCAGGCTCTGTGCCCGCCATAGCCAACTGCCTGCTGCACATCTCCTCTCGTTTGTTCCTCAGATTCCTGCATCTCAGCGTGTCCGAAATTGGCCTCACCTTCTCTCCTCTCTGATTTGCTGCTGTTCCTCTCCCTCTGGGATTCCACACATCCTTAAGGAGCATCATTGTCTGTTCGGCATCTCCAGTTGGAAACCTCAGTGCCGCGTGTGACTTCACCGCCTTTTTAACTCATCCTCAGTCTTGATGAGTGTGCGTCAGATGTGGCTGTGGAGTCCCGCCTCACCTGCTGACCCGCCCCATCCTGGCTACTCCAGAAATACCAACAGGCACCTGTCCGTTCTGCTGCCGCCGCCAGTCAGGGGCAGGGGATCCGTGCAACTCTAGTGCTCTCAGAAAGAGCTGGCAGGCCTTAGAATCACTCCCTCCTTCCCTGCGCCCAGCAGAGGCACTGCTCCTCCTTAGCCCCAGAAATTCCTGGGGTTTCCAAGTTCTCGTCTCGTCTGGAGCCCAAAGTCTCAAGAAACTCCAGCCAGTGAGCTAGGGTGTGTGTGTTTTTGTTCCAACCGGTTCCCAAATTCTGGGGCTTTGGGCTCATTTAGTTTTCTTTGGGTGCTGGGAGGCTTTCCCGCAGTGATTGCCAACCTGGGCTGCACGTTAGGATTCCGTAACAACATCAGCACATTGTGACGATGTCACACTCAAGCACATCATATGACATTTTTAGGTAAATTGTCCAAATTACAACATAAATGGGTACACCCATATTATTGCCCTGCCAACCACGTTCAAGCAGGTGTCCCTTCACACGGACCCTGTATTTTGTTTTTTATCCTATATCCCTTCTGCTATTCCAACAAATCAAACTTTTAATTTTCCATACTTCCAAGCCTTGACCATACATGCTAGTAGTTTTTATGCAATTATATTCACAGCACAGCTGTCATATGGATTAGTTTCTTTATGTCATCATACATTTATATATTTTCTTTATATCATGATATAACTTTATATCCTAGTCCATGTTGAATCCATCACCAAGACCTGCTGAGTCTGCCTCCAGTGTGTATCTGTAATCTGTAATCCGCTTCCCTCCATCCTTACCCTTATCTTTTGGGCTGCGGCTAAAGCCTCTTAACTGGTCTGCATACTCTTGTCTCCTTATCTCTTCTTCTAGGAGCCACAATGATCTTTAAAAAATGTAAACCAGATCGTAGTATTCCCCAACCTGCTTGTCAGTACATTGGGATAAATCCCAAATCCCCAACCTGGCCTCAGGGTCCTGTACTTGTCTCCCACCTCCTCCCCTGCCTTGCTAGGCTCACAGCGTTCTAGCCACACGATCCTTCCTCGCAACTGCTCAGTTCCCGGCTACCTAGGCTTTTGCAGTGTCCTCTGCCTGGGACCTTTTCCCTCCACACGCTGTCTGGCTAATGCCTCTTTGTTCTTCGGGCCTCTTAGATGTCTCTTCAAAGAGGCCATTACTCACTCCCGCCTGAGCCTAAATTAGGACTCTTATTCACACAGATCACAGTTTGTGTATTTGTGTGATTCTTTGATTAGTATATTACACCCAATTTCATAGTTCCGTGATAGAAAAGCTGTTTCTTTTGCTGAGCACTTCATCCCTAGTGCCCAGCACAAAACCAGCCATATACACAGTAAGTGATCAGTGTTTGTTGAAAGAATAAGTGTTTTTCTATTACTATATAGTCTAATAGCTACATAATACCTGATAGTTATTCTTTTAATTAATGGCTTTAATAGGACATTTGTTTCATATGCACTTGAAAGAACTGAACTCTTATGGTCAAAAGAAAAAAATGTTCAAAGTCTTGGATCAGCAGCATCAGAAATCCGAACACACTAATAATAACATTGTATGTGGACATAGTGAGCCTCATTTTGCTGTTGAAAGAAAAAATATAGAGATTATAGGTTGTGAAATCAATTTAGTGGGTTGTGAGCAGCACAGCTTTTAAAAATAGAACAGAATGAAAAATGTTAGAATGTTGTAGGTGAGAGGATAAGAATTATTTTGTCAAACTTTCACTTTATGGATGTAACTTTGTTTCCATTTTATATAGGTACAACTATAGGTAAAGTTGAGGTATGTGCTGGGTTGCGGTGGAAAATATATTTCCTCCTATGGGTTGCAGTTCAAAAATGGAGAGGCCCAGATTTCAGTGGCTTTGGGTTAGGAAAGCAGTTTCCAGTCCCAGCCGTCACCTGATGAGTTCCCTGTTCAGGGTTTCACTTGTCACACCTCTCTGATGTGGCTTGTGACGAGGTTGCTTGGAGGGTTGGGTAGACAGGAGACTCCAAGGGCTAGTTTCTTTTTTAATAAACTTTTTGTCTCGGACGAATTTTAATTTATGGAAAAGTTGCAAAGATAATGCGGAGTTCTCTCACACCCCTCATGTGGTCGACATCTTCCGTAACCACGCCATACACGCAAGGAACCACCACTGGCTGTCTCCGTGACCTAAACTCCAGACACTAGTGGGAGTTTTCCAGCTTTTCCTCTTTCTCGTCTGGGATCCAATCCACAGTCCTACTTGCGTTTCGTCTCACATCTTAGTCTCCTCTGGTCTGCAACAGGTCCTCAGTCTTTCCTTGTTTTCCATGGCTGGGATGGTTCGGAGGTGTGCTGGTCAGGGTACTCCCCCGTGTGGGTTTGTGTGGTGTGTTCCTCATGACGAGACTTGGACTGCGGGGTTGGGGAGAAGTAGCACGTAGATGAAGTGCGCATCTCATCACATCCTGTCAGACAGTGCGCGATGTCAGCACGGCTCGCCCTGCTGAGTTAGCCGTGGTCATCAGTATGTCAGCGGGGTGTCTGCCAGGTTTCTCCACTGTGAAAGCTGTAATTTTTCCCATCCCATACTCTGTTCTTTAGAAGCAAAGTCACAAGACACTGAGACCCACCTACTGTCACGGGGTGGGGGATGATGGTGATAAATTCCACCCGGCGGTGGGAAATCTACACATATTATTTGGAATTCTCTGCGGGGAAGATTTGACTTTTCTCTACTTCCTTAAAACTTATACTGGTATGGACTTCGGTACATTTATTTTGTATTCTGTGTTATGATCCCGAACAGTGTGATGTATCGAGCTGTGCACATGCTCCCCCTGACACCGCTGGGAGCTCCTGCAGTTGGCTCCTGCGTCCCTAAGACAGGCCCCATCCTTTCGTTTTTTTGAGCACTGCCTCACTTTCTGGTGTTACAACAAGCTCTAGGCCCCTTTTGTATTCCCCCTGCCCCAGACCAAGATCAGTCAATTCTCTTGACTCTAGCCTTTGAGAGCTGAGAGGCGGCGATGCGGAGGTCACCCTGTTTGGCACAGAGGGCGCACAGCGCTTTCTCTGCCCGGGATGGCTGGGAGGGCTAGTGGGCAGCGCGGGCAGCGCAGGCGAGGGGCGCATGTGCAGCTGCCTCCTGTGCCCTTTGTCTCCCAGGCTCACATAGCACTGTGGCCAGTGCCCACAGTTATCTGATCTGCCCGTCAGAGTTCAGGATGTCCTTCAGGATGTCCTTCAGGGTGATTGGCTGTGCCTGGATTCTGGAAGCCTCTGCCGCCCACAGAGAACAACAGGAATCCCGAGTCCCTGAGCTGGTGCTGGTCAAGGTCCCGCTGCCCAGACTTTTGGGGGCATCTCTGCCCTGCTCACTCGGAACTCTGGATCCATCCAGACAGCAGTGTTTACTTTCCCAAGGCTGCTATTTCACATTGGGCTTCCACCCCACCTCCCCTCTCTCACGCGTGTTTATTAGTGGCCCTGCCCCCTTTAGACAAAGTAGCCTCCAGGCAAGTCCCTCAGCCTCAGTCCCCTCCCCCAGTGCGCCTTCTCCTCTCTCCAAGGCCCACTCCGCCCTTTCCCAAGGGCCCGCCCTTCCTCCCCACATCTTCAGTGTTGCCCTCTCTCACTGGCTTCTCTTGTTCAGCCTTAAAGGACACTCGAGTCTTGGCCCAGACTCTTCTTGGCTTTGCCTGAACCCCCAGCCAGCAAGGAATCTCTCTCCCCGCCTCTTTCACTTTAGGCCTCTTGAAAGAAGATACTTCACCATCATCTCCCTTGACAAATGGGGCCACGGAGACCACGTGGATGGGACATTTTCCTTAAAAAAAAGGGTGACTGTGTTGGCTTCGATGGAGGGGAAGGCACTGAGAGGGAAATGAAGTCCCCTCTTGAGGGACGATGCCAAGCTGATGAAATAGCCCCTGAAGGCTAAGTCTGAAGCTTAGACAGGCCCTGGGTGTCTGGGCAAGTTCCTGGGGCTGGGGCTGGGGTTAAAGGGGAGGGACGGAGGCCACTCCTCACAAGGGACAGGAGGGACACCCATTTCCAACCTTGTCCGATCGACCCTTTCCTCTCCTGGCTGCGTTGCAAAAGCCTTTACCCAGAGTAACAGCCACTCTGCCACGGAGCATTTCACCTCCTGTGGGCTCACACCTCCGGTATCGCCCTCCTTTCCGCTGACTGTGCAAAGCAGCCCAGTGATTCACCAGCCCCACCTGCCTGGCACCACTGCATCTTCCCGAGGTAACGTGGGTGTGCCCGTTCCAACTGTGGAGCAAAGGAAACTCCTGTTCTGAGTCTGGGCGCTCCTCAGTCCCTTGCACCACGAATCTGCCCTCTGATACCCCTACACCAGCTGAGCTGGTTCCGGCCATTTATTCCCCATTGTCACTGCCAGGAACTCTCCCTGGTCTTTGGAGTTCAGCTTACGACACAGGTATCCTCCAGGACAAGTGCGTATTCTTCTCTGGCTCTAAACTTGAGCTTACAGGCCCTGGACAATCTTGTGTGTCTGTGGCCTGGCCTGTTCACTAATTTGTTCCTTTAGAACAGCATGTGCGAAGGTCCTGGGGCTGAAGGTGGGCTAGAGTGCAGAAAGCAAGGGGGAGATTGGGCTGGAGAGGACAGTGGCAACACAATGGGGCAGGGCCTTGCATACGTGTTCAGTGTCTTGGTCTTCACCCCAAGGACAGCGGGAAGGAAGACACTGAAGGGTTTTTCAGAACTAGAGTGACATGATCAGATTTGTAATTGTGAAAATTACCCCGACCAGGTCTTGGTGCCTGCCCCACAAAACTTGAGCAGTCAGCAGGTAAAGTTGTGGTCCCAGGGGAGATGGGGCTGGGGTGGGCGTGGCCCTGCGCCTGTTCCCTGAGTTCTCACTGTCCTGAGGTGCCCGGCTCCTGGGGGTGGTGTGCTCTCAGCAGGAGGCGATCCCGTGGAGGCCCCGTGGGGCACGAAGGTTAGGCTGGCCCCAGTGCCACCCGTTCACAGGGAGCAAGGACCTGCCACATGGATGAGATCAGGAGACTGCTCTGCTGTAGTGCCACCTTCATCATCTCGGGTTCCCTTGCTCTAGGAATAAGGTCAGGCTTGATCAAACCTCCTTGAAGGCAATTAATGACCCTCCAGTTGAGAGCCCTCATCCCATCTTCTCTCAGAGAAACCCCAGTACACCTGCTGTGGGTTGGGGTCCTCCCTGGGCCACCCAGCCTGGCCAGGGGCAGGAAGATGAGGGGACTTCGAAGGGCATGGCCCAGCCCATCTTGATTCTGAAGAACCTAGCGCTTACTTAAATGGGTGACCTTGGGCAAATGCCTCCCCCTCCTGGGGCCTCTCTGTGCCCTCACCTGAAAACCAAGGGGAGCCCCAAAGCCCCCTCCGGCTGCAAGTGAGACTCAGGCAAAGCAGGCGGGCAGGCAAGACACTCGCCAGCAGCACTGTGCGGAGCCCACAGTGGGCATGTTGGGGGGGGGGGGCGCACCGTCACTGTATCGTAAAGCGAAGGGGTCTGCTTGGGTGGCCATTGGCCACCGCGCACTGGCAGCCCCCGCTCCTGGGCTGGGCACACGGCCTGGGGGCCACGAGGTTACGTAAGGAGTGGGGCGGGGCGGGCACCGCCCCAACGCGCGGCTGCCCTGCCCCCGGTGGCCCGGCCCCCCCACCTGCCTGCCCGCGCGGCGGCGGCAGCGGTGGCGGCGGCAGTGGCAGCACAGCCCGTGGAATGGAGCAGCGCCGGGGCTGAGCCGGGCGCGCATGGGCCGCCGCATGTGCTTCACGGGGAGCAGCTGCCGAGCGGGCGGACAGCGAGTGCGAGAGGCCGCCTCGGAGCAGCCGCGGGAGAGCGCCCGAGATGGGGTGAGTGAGCCCCCGCGCCATAGGGCTGCGGGCCGCCCCCCGCGTCATCTCAGTGCCCCAGAGCCTGGAGCTAGTGCGCCGTCGACCCCGCGCCCACCACCCCAGCCCGCGGCCCTTCTTTGCAAGACACCTGGCCACCGCGCGGGGACAGGCGCCTGGCTGGATTCGCAGCCTCGGCCATGCGGCGGTCCCCTCGCTCCCGGGCGCGGTCAACTCCAGGGCCTGTGTCTGTGAGTGTAGGGAGCAGTTTGTCCTCCTCCGCGATTGGGTTTATTACAAACAAAATGGAAACCCAAGTTTTCTGGAAAGGAAATGAGAATAACCCCCCAGCCCCGGGAGGGCGGACTTTGAGATGACTAGGATGATGGCTGTCTGAGCAGCGAGGGGAGGCTTCAGTCTTTGAAATAAGGGAGGAGATGCTCGGAGCGAACTTGAAATACTCCGTCGGTGTGACTAATGCTTCAGAGCGAGCAGGTAATTTAAAAAGCAGGGTTGATTTCTCCTGGTTGCTCTCGGAGGGGCAGGCGCTGTGAGTCAGGGAGCCACTGTGCTAACAACAGTTACCTCCTAACATTTGCTCACCCGAGGGGAGTGCACTTCGAGGATGCGTGTCAGTACGCAGGGAACAGTTAGCATGCCCACTTCGCAGATGAGGAAACGGAGGCCTGCCGCGGTGGGGGAACTCCCCTGGTTGTTGGGCAGCTGGTGAGCATTTGTAGAGGGACACTGTGTACGGGCAGAGGGAAGCCACGGCTAGATAGTGGGGGATGGGTTTGCAAGTGAACTAGCGTTTCTGAACCTCTGTCCTCTGCTGCTGCTTAGCTTAGTGTCCTTATAGCCCTCGTCATGACCGAAAGACTTGTGCTCTGTGGGTATGGAGGTCTCGCTTTCCTGTGAGGGATAGGCGAGCAGTAGAAAGAGCAAGGTTGTCCTGGGGGCTGGATCCAGCTCCCATGGGTCGGTGGCTTTATTGTGTCTTGCTCTAGAAAAGTTTCTGGAGTCATTTTTTCCTTGTGAACTTTACCTGTGGGGTCTGCAGAGTGCTTGGAAGAATCAGAGGCAGGCCAAGAGGAGTTTTGAGGAAGGGAAGTATGAAGGCTCTGGACCAACATGAACAGGACAGGGGGCCAGGGAGGGGCCAGGAGATGTGTTTAAGACCCTTGTGCAGATCGAAGAGGTTTCACATGTACAGAAACTGGGAAGCAGATTCACTGTAGCGTTTCCGGTGACCCCTTGGTAGACCAGGACAGGGCTGCTCTTGGGGCTGTGGGAGCCTCTGTGGCTCTCAGATTTCATACTTAAAAAATGTATTCGAAGAAGGAGTTGGCAAATTTAGATCTCAAGATGGAAGATAAAGGGATCTGGTCATTTTAACTTCCTGCTCCCCCCCACCTGGTTCCCCCCCCGCCCCACCAGCCAACACAAAACTAAGCTAATACACTTGTGTGATCAAAACAAATATTGAAACTCTGACTGGCTGAGATCAAATAGTTCTGTGGAAATGAAAATGTTTACTCATAAAAGCTTAAAGAAAATGTCAGAAAATAATATTTGTTGGTGGAGAAGCAGGGAGGAGTAGCTTGGGGATTTTGTTTAAACGTGGAATATGTCTTTCATGTAATTTTAACATCACCCATAAATATCTATTACTCACTTCTTATAGGTAATGGCTGGTTTGTAACTCCTACCTACTTCTGCCATTTTTAATATACCCACTTCTTCTATAATTTATGGGAATGCACAAGCCGTGGTTGTAAAATGAGATGGAGCGAGAGCTGGATGAGCCTTTTAGACAGAGGCGGGTGGAGGGAGCCATTTTAACCGAAAATAGAACTAAAGTCATGCTTTCTGAGAGTTGAGTGGGTTGGAGGAGGAACAGCCAGGAAAGGGCAGTCAGTAGGTCACCTCTTGGTGGTCCTCCAGCCTTGCCGTGGCTGTACCGGCAGCCACGAGCAGGATTTAAGGGGAAAATCTGAGTTTACCTCTGCCCGCTTAGGACGCTTTCCCTCCTTCAGGTCCCTGTGCCCTGCTCCTCTTCTGTGAGGTGTCTTACCTGGTGTGCAGTGTCCCCAGAAGCCTGTGTTCTCACTCCCCAAGGCGACTTTTTCATGCCTTCTTCCCTCCTCAGACCCCCCTCTTCTCCCCCCGCACACACCTGGCCTCCCTTTCCAGTGACAAAAGAGGAGCCAAGACCAAGGACAGCCTCGCCTCCCGCCACACCTGCAGTGCCCGTGAGGCTGCCCTGCCGTTTTCCTCCCCACCTTGGCTTTGCTGAATGGTTGGCCAGTCCCTCCTCTCGTCCTGCCAGAACCCCACTCCTCCCAGGAGACCGTCCATCCCACCCCCTCTCGCCTCCTCAGGAAACATTTTTTCATCTTTCCCCGCCTTCTCCCCAGGCTCTCTGCCATCAGGTCTACAGCAGGCTTCAGTTCAGCGCTGTCCAGTGGGACTGTCTGTGCTGCTGGGGATGCTCTGCGTCTGCACAGTCCCGTGTGGCTGCCACGCAGGGCTGCTGGGTGCGGGGGTGCGGCTGGAGTGGCTGAGGGCCTGAATTTTTCATTCCATTCACATTTAAACAACCGCGTGCTAGTGGCTGCCATATGGGGTGCACTGTGGCTTCTCTTACCTAACACCTCTCTCCTGCTTCTGTCCCACTTCCTTGGGATGCTCCCCCTCACCTGAAAACATCTCTAAAGGTGTGTCTCAACCCACTGTCTCCCTTCCTTTTCTTTGCCCCTCACACCCTACAGTGTGGCTTCTGCTCCCACCTCTCCACTGAAACTGCCGGGTCACTGATGACCTGGCGTCAGAGTCAGGTTGCCAGACTCTGCCCTTGTCTCTCTCCACCTGACCAGTGGCTGCACCCTCCTTCCTGAAACACCTCTTCTCCTAGTCTCTCGCCACCCGATGGTTTCTTTTGCTCCTTTGCCTGAGTTCTGGATGATGGAGTTGCTGGTCCTAGTCCCCCTCCACTGTCATTTCTCTCTTTCCAGGTCATGTTACTCGCCCCCAGCCACTGCTTTATCTATCGACTACTTGCTGATGAGTCCCTTCAGACTTCTGACTCTTGACCATGCACAGAGCTCTCCACATTCCTTTCAGTTCTCTCCCTCCATCTGTCTTTCCCCTTGCAGTCAGTGGCCCCACCATCCATCCACTTGGTAAGAGTTATCCCAGATTCCTGTCTCCCCTGTCCCCTCCTCAGCCCTGTTCAGGCCGTCACTGGGTCCCAGGATCGACCTCCAGGGTACGTTGGAGTGCATTCCCCTCCCTCCATAATCAGAGCTCCCACTCTATTCTTGGCCACTGCTGCCTCCTTCCTGGACTGACTTCCTAACAGGCCCTCCAGCTCCACTCAGGGGTGTCTCCGGTCTGTTTTCCACACTGGACCCCCAGTGACTAACTTTTAAAACCAAAGATCACATCACTCTTTTCCTTATACACCCATCAGTCATCAAGAGGCTGGCCTGTGCCCCATCTCCACCTTTGCCAGCCAGTCAGCTGGACCCTCACCGACCTCTGCTCGCACAGCCTCCTTGGCTTTTCCCACCCCGCCTTGTGGTCTTTGAACTTGCCCTTCCTTCTGCCTGGGTGCCCTTGCCCTGGCTCTGCAAATACCTTCTTGCATTCCTTCAGATTTCAACATCGGGGTCGAAATCCTGGATCTCAGGCAGACTCTCCAATCGCTGCAACACGCTCTCTGGCTCAGTCCTCTTCGCCCACCCTGGTTCCTCGCTGACACAGGCGCCCCTTCGTCTCCAGTCGGGGCTTGTTTGCTTATTTGTGCCCTCTTCCCTGATGGCACCTGGCAAGGATAAGTCTTAACCTTTCTTACCAGTGTGTCCCAATGCGCAGCCCAGTATCTGTCACCTCAGAGGCCCCCAATAAATATTTCTTGATTGAGGTAATGCTTGCATGTGCTGGGCAGCCTTACTTGGATGCCGGCCTGGAAGTGGTGATAATTTTTGGATTACCTTTTATACAGCTTGCTTAATCGAGAGTTGCAAGGGCCAGGAGAGAAAGAAATCACATTTGGGTACAGTTTTCTTTTAATGCTAAAGCAAGCCATTTGGATTTTACTGTGGCGGGGTTGGTTTTCAGGCCATGGGCCGTCATCCAAGTATTGGGGTTGTAAATTGTCTTCACCTGCCTGCAAAAGGCTAGCAGAAAAGCCAGCTTGTCTGCTGTTGTGACTTTTAGCTGATTTTGTCAGTGTTTACAAACAAGATCTACTGTATTTCTGTCTCGCTTCAGTTTACACTCATTTATTTTCTTCAGCCAAGATTACATTGCAATGTACGGAGGCCACAATCTTGGTCATCTAACACCTCGGGCCTCCTTTCAGTAATCAATACCGGTGAACTTTCTTTTGATGTTCATCCCCTCTCCGTTAATTTTCCACTCCTCCCGAATCACACCGAACTATGCAGTTCCTACGAATCATGGCCTTTCATCGGGGGTGTGTGTTGACCGAAACAGACTTGGTTTCCCGGGTGTGTGGAGGGGACTTGTCTTCTCTTGGTCCCATTTTGGCTTTTTTAGACCTCACTTTCTAAGGTCCACTTAACCTCTTCATCTGTAGCAGTTGGAGACTCTGCTGGAGGCCCAGGGTGGGCAGGCCTGCCAGTTAGCTCCTGCCCTTGAGGGGTTCACAGTTTGTGAGGGGAGACAAGCCCCACACTCAGGCACCAGCTCCGTTTGTGAGTCTAAGCAGAATGTTATGATCCACAGCACGTCCGAGGTGGTGCCCGGCTCTTTGGGGTCATTGTGCTATGAGGAGGTGCTGGGCGGGCTGCTAGCAGTTAGCGTGACGCCCATTATTGAGACAGCCACCTCCCTATGTCAGAGTTGGAGAAGTGCATAGTGCTGGGGACAGGGCGGGCCCCGACTAGGTGTGTGCGGAATGAGTGAGTGAGAGGAACGAACACATACTCTCGTCATTCTGGTTAGAAACAGGGCTGCATCTCCTGGCTCCGAGGGTTCAGGGGGGAGCCCTGGGC